TTAAATATATTCACTACGTAATCAAACACCCAATAAAATTTCCTCAATTAACCACAATATTTTCAAAGTACCTTATCAATGCAAGGACCGGAACGAATCTCGGCTTTGGGGCCAAGGACTGGTACCGCTCTTTGCGTACACGGTCATTCGACGGAAGCAAACGCGCGCCGAGTCGCCTTGCATGGAGACACTGCAGAAGCCAACTTTCCAGAAACTATCAGCGAGGACGAGGAGTGTGCAGGGAGAGTTCAGGTTGGGGATACAAGCATGGGTGAGATGGGGTCTTGGGTTCAGGATTCAGATTTTGAGGAGTTGTTGACGGTTTAATGTTAGAGGGTCGAGGGCTGAGGATTAGAGCTCCGAGCTCTCGCTTAAGCTTTGCGATAACGCATAAGACGCATAAGAGTCCGAACCTCCTAGAGTATGTTGGGCCTGGAGTTCAGGGGCTTGCCCGACTCATGCGGTTCACAAGCTGGTCACAATTGTGCTTGGGTTTGCAGAAAACTGGCACTGCAACTTCCCATATCCGACGCACTTCCTTCCGAAAACTGATGAACACCCAAGCCCCGTCATTTGCCCTCGCTCGGCAAATTTGCCTCTTCGTTGTACTTGAGATCATGGATCCCGATTTCAATGTTTCTAATTATTTGGATTAGTTCCTGTTTGATGTATCGAATGGAGGGATTGGATTACAAGATTCAATCTCAGATTGTCTTTGTGTTGTAGTGGTGAGAGAAGCAAAAGCCTTCTTTCTGCCTAAGTTGATGTGTGGGAGCGGTAGTCTCTTGCACCCTTGGTATGTGAGGATCATGAGCTTATTGATGTGCGGTCGCGCTACCTGGATTCATTGTCTTGCGCCCTTTGCATGTGAAATTTCGTCACGTGATTCGAAATTATTGAAACTGCTGAGGTTACAACTACGATAGAATAATTGTTTCAAAAGTGCGTGGTCGCACGCTTACTACAGAAATATATGAGCTTCCGGAAATTATCTTATTAAAAATATAGTTCTATGATCCACATATTCTCCGAGTTCGGGTGGTGGTGGGCTCATTTCATGTTTTTGTGAGACAAACGGTGTCATTTCTGTCTCGACCAACAAAAAGACAAGGATTTTCCCTCACGTTTCACTATTATGATCTCAGAATTGACTTGCACTGAGACTCAACGACTGTCAGCGAGCCTCACAGTTCCATGTGGCCGCCGAACATCGCCATCCTCCTTGTATGCAGTATGCAGGCACCCGTTGCCCTGCGAGGCATTTCATCGTTGCTCAGGCCAGCGCATCTCCCAATTCACAGGGATTGCTCCGGCCGGGTCTGGGCCGTCACCTGTATCTCGCACCTGGAAAGCAATGCAGTGGCACTCCAATCAGCCGCGGCAGTTTCCCAGGGCCTCTCGCAAGAGCTTCCCAATCACACGGGCAAGCTTGCGGGTCTGCGAACATTCGATGGCTGGCTCCAAAAGACTTCGATTCACCGCCCAAAGCACAACACAATACGACACATGGCATGTTGCTCGTCCTTCTGTGCCGTCTCTGTGGCTCCTTGCCGTCTAATTGTCGTCAGCTTTCTCAGCAGTCTGCCAACCTCAGTGGCGTGGGGTGACTTGCATGTGGGACGTTTCAAACTTCAAGTGGACCACCTCTGAGCCGCCAAGTGTTGTCTGCTGCTTGCCGGTGAAGGGGCCTTGCCAGGGAAAGGGCTCCGTCTTGAACCGAGCATAACCGAGCATTGAACCCATGATTCAGGCTCTTGCAGTAGCCAGCGTTCACTCGCCCTGCCATGACCAGCTTGTTCATTTGAGCGACGGCCGTCTTGAAGGCTGGCACAGAAGCTTCAATGTCTCCACGCCCACCAGCTTTTTGAGAATGGACCGTGCAAACCGCCTGCCATAGACGCATCATCTCGCAGGCAGGCACTGGACTGCAGCGCCATGGAGGCCAGGGACCTGAGATCCAGGGCGCTGCTGTCAACACTCGCAACAGCATTCAAATGGCTTTCAAAGATGTCTTAGTAGTGCACTGGCCCAGGCGTTCAAGACCTGCACCTTGCAGGCATTGTTTGCAGCCACATTGTTCGCAGCCACAGCGACGAACCTTTGACTTTTCAAGCTTCGGTGTTGGACTGGGATTCCAGCGCAAACTGAGAAGGTAGTCTTGTTCAAAGCGGTTGCTCACCAGGTCGAGGGCCCTCCACACAAGCCGCAAGCACGCGAGCAACATCCCCACTTTTGCATGTGCTTTAGCCTTGTCATGTTAGCAGATAGCTGATCCTGCGAACTCGACCTGAGCTGTGGACAGTGGAAAAAAGCCAAGCGCGGTCATGGCACTGAGCTTGCAGCAGGCAGTCCAACGACTCGACATCCTGCAGGCAACTGCAGCAGATACTCAGTTCTGGTTAAGAATCCTCTGCTGACACATAGGTAAGGATGCCACTTTTGGGTAGCAGCTGTAGTGTTTATCCGAAGTCCTTCATTTCCACGCCAAGCTCTGTGACAATCCTCCGCCTGAACAGAAAAACAGGCTGAAGAGACGAAAAAACATTATGCTCAACAGAGCTCCTGGGTCATGGACAGAAAGACATCCGCTTGCAACCAAGCCTTCTCTTCCTGAGCCACTTCCGAAACACACTGGCACGTGCATGACACTAGGGAACTAGAGCACCAAAAGTGTCAAAATCGGCAAAAGGTTTCAGCAATTTGATTTGCACTTGAGATCTGTGCAGATTGAGCGGAACTTCGAACGAGACCTCAGCATCTTTGTCGTGCTTTGACATCCCTTGGTCTATTGACGTCGCTTGCAGCTCGGACCAACTACCACGGCGATCACGGCCTTCCATGGATGGCAGCCTGCACACATGATCACCACTTGGTCACCACTTGATCACCACTTGATGACGCTGCTCTCCTAAACTGTGACAAGTCTTTCCCGGCGCCTGCACCAACCATCTCTTCGCTCGGCCAACTGCTCTGGACTCATCGTGCAGAGCACGATATGGCTCCCACTCCGACTCCATCAGTACACGGGAAGACTATGAGAATGTGAGGGTGCGTCTGGAGACTACAGAACTGCTTGCCCCTGACCGACTCCATGGAAACTACGATGCTTGTGGCTGCAAGCAAACAAAGCAGCCACTTCAGCTGCTGTGTTACGTGATTCGCGGAAACAAACCGTTGAGGAATCGTCTGCTTCTTCACAAATTCTGAAGCCGGGTTTAGGAAGCGGGCAGCCACGTTTGCACAAGCTAGTGGTTTTCCGGGTCATCGGTCTTCGAAGCAGCCTACAGCCAGACCAAGTTGATCCTGCACTGCGCACTTTCCCCCGACAATGCGCCCGTGAAACGTCCTGTGAAACGTCCCATGAAACGTCCCATGAAACGTCCTGTGAGGGCCCCGCGGCGTGCTCCACATTGCTCCACGAAAGAAGCCGCAAGCCAAGAGCACAGGACAAAAATCGAGTCTCACGGTCTACGCAAGTCACGAGTCGAGCCCATCATTCCCCGCCGCGTCCCGGAGGCGCCCCGCGGCTCCGTGTCGCAACTCCGCGCCGTTCGCGACAGCCGAAGAAGAAGAAGAATTCCGAAGAATGCTTTCGACTCGAACAGGAGGCCGGACAGCCCGGCCGGACTGCCCAAGCAGCTCTCATCATCTTATCTTTCTAAGGCCAGCCTCGAAATTATCCTCGCACCTCACGGCCTCACGGTGTCTGTCCCTCTTCTTGCTCTTCGTTGCCAAAGAGTAACTTGATCTCCAAGACGAGGATCATTCAAGACATTCAAGAACATGACCCAGTCGAACGACGACTCTGCTTCGAACTTGGTCTTGGTCGCAGCCTGCTCAGATCCTCGGGGACTTCGAAGCATCCGCAAGCCAATGATGTGCTCCTGGCCAGATTGTAAACACAGTATGGCTCAGAACCGTCTGTTGACATCGGAGTGCCATCTGTGTCTGTCCTGGCAGCAGAAGTGCACGCTGTTTCCTGCCACGGTCTTTGTAAAGCCAAGACTGTCCGCAATCAAAGAATGCATTGAGGCAATCGCAAGAATCGGAAACATCTTCTGTTTAGCTGAGCAGCGACGTTTCTGCCAGGAGTCGTTGGTTCAACCTGCTCTGGAGACTGGCACGGCGACAAAACATGTTTCAATCTGAGATGGCCCTGAGGCATGAAAGCTGCCTGGCGTGCAAGATATGGTAAACAAAACACACACACACACACACACACACATGCGCGGCGGCCCCGGTAGAGTTGGCGATGCCCTCACTCCAAACAAGCAGGTCACCAAGCGAAATTGCACGATCCCCAGCTTGGCAAAGGCATCGTGTTTTTCAAGGGCGACAGGAAATCGCCCGTTCTCGCAGACTGATGAAAACACCACAGAGCTGCCTGTAAGACAACGATGCATGGCCGATCTTGCCAGCTTGAGGCCTTGACATCCTAAAGTGCGAACATTCGCTTTTGCAGCACGCATCATCCAGCGAAGCCTGATCTATCTGTGACATGTCTGTGACATGTCTTCGCGAGTACCTCTTTCTGATGTTTTTTTCAGAGGGGGGGGGGGCATCTATGAAACAATCGGTCTTGGCTGTGACTGCGGCGTCAGCAGGCTTTAATATACCCACAAAGGACAAGACTTGCACTTCAACATGTGTGGCGCCCCTCCTAAATCTGCCAAAGCATCTCCGAATCCTTTAGTTTACATCGTAGACAACTGGCACTGGTAATTGCGTCTCCCAATAGCCACCTGGATTGCTCACGGCGCTCGCCACGCAACTCCTCCAGCGCCGCAGCCTCATCTAGTGGACTTCATGGAGACTGGGAGCCGTGCTGTCGCCTGTCTAAGTGCGGCCTACCACATCCAACCCCTGCTAACTTTACAGGGTCGGGAAATGACAAGGTATTTTCAGCTTCACAACTGACGGTGCTGCCATTGGCAGGTCAGGCGCACAGAATCGCACAGGGTTCGGCCGAGCAACGTGGGCATCTTCTGCAACTCGAACCTCTCAATCCCAGACTCTCAGTATGTCAAAACATGTCAAACACTCCGGCACTCGCTTGAAGACGACTGCTTCATGGGCCTGGTCATGGACTGTCGACAGCCTCTGCACCAAGGTCCTGTGCATCAGCTCAGAGGACCTGGTCGGATGAGAGCCACAGCATGTGCTGACGGACAGACGGTTTTTGCACCACACGCTCCCCACAGACTCCCCCAAACTTCCCAAAGTATGCTGCCTCGCCGACTGTTGCAGCTGTTTCTCACGCTGTCGCAACTCCTACGAGCAGGTATATACAAGGAGCACGAAAACGGATGCTCAAGATTGCTCAAGCACCTCTTCCGCCCCTTGGCTTGCCAGCAGTGCGGCATCGCACTGCTTCAAAGCCTGAGCCCAGTTTGCATTGTCATGCTCAACCAAAATTAGCAGATCATACTAGATTGAAAAGCGAGCAGGGGGCTCTGGGGCATGAGGATTGCATCATGCGGCCCAAGCCAGAATGACTGATCTCGGGCCACAAAACAACGAGCGGAACAGAGAAGTGGTGGTGATGCATCTTGGAGTTTTGCTCCCCTAATGCCCCCCCCCCACCCCTGCCTCCTCAGCCTCCAGCGCCTTACGCTGTCGCTGCTCAAGCAGGGCAGTTGCTTCACTGCTGGCCTGCCCAACTTTCGTGCGATGATGGACGATGTCAAGTCGTGATTGATTCATAAATACCCACCAAGCAGTCGGTTTCGGCCCGGGATGGGCGGCTTGACCCTAATTCATGAACACCTATTTGTCGAGCTCGGCGTCAGACCCCAAGACGCGATTTTACCTCCGAACAACCTGCCTTCATCTCTCCCAATTGCGGATGAGCTTTGATGGCTTTGGCTTTGATGGCTAAAAATCATTCAGCTATGATCAGGGTTCAGGATCAGGTGATCATCATAATCGTAAATTTCTGGTGAGCCACCCCAGACCTCAAATCCCAGATCTCATCAGCCTCCCTATTAGAAAACCATCCTCTGCTGATTTCAGGCTGTGTTCGTCCCCCCTTCAGTAAACACTTCCTCTTAATCGCGAAGACATCTAGAAACCCAAGTTACTTAGCCAAACCTTTTTTTCCCTTTCAACTAGTCTTTGACTCAAGGGTTTCCCTTGAAACAAGTCCCTAGGGCTGCGCAAGGTCTAGAGTCTAGCCCAGACCTTGTGAGACCAACCCGATTTTTCGGTGGTCGGGAGTTGGCCAAACCTTGCCGGCCCAAACCTTGACTTGAGGGTTACCATTGTACCAGTCGTTTGCGAGCCGATGGCTGTTCACCATCCAGGTCGGCCTCCTTTGCCATGGCACGCTCGTGAGCCAGCTCTCTCTGCAGTGCCTGTGCATGCTGACTCAAATAGCTATACAGACCCCAGATCTCAGAGCAGAGGAGATGAAGCATCTGTCCACATCTGTCCTGTTCCATGCGCTGCCCCTCTGCTACTTCCTCAGCCAAGTTTTGGCCCATCAGCTCCTTCACATGTCCACGCTGCGGCATCTGAACATCTTGCGATGCTGCCGAAGTCGTACGTTGTCATACACGCATTACGCACATTGCACATCCTGCGCGCGGAGCTCATACTGCTGATGCTCGGCCAGCCGCATGCTGGACAGTAGCTTGGCCTGCAGCCCCAAGATTGCCACATACCGTGCTTTCGTCGCCTGTGCTAGCACTTCTATCGGTGCTGTCATAGGGTCCGGCTTCCATCTGTGCCCTAGCTTCCTCATCAGCTTCCAGCTGCAGAGCTAAACGAGCAGCGCTGGCCTCAAAGGAAAACGCAACAACTGCCAGTACTAGGTCATACAAGCCAAGCCGAATGATTCTCGATGGCCTCTAGCTGTGCATTTTCGGCTTCCTGGACGGCACGTGCTGCCGTGCCCTGGCATTTGCAGAACTGCAGAACTGCTAGCTGGAAATGCATTTGCACCATAGGTGCCTCGCAGCGCAGCGCCGCGTGTTCCTCCAATTCGGCACGCAGGCGTCCGCATCGAACCTCACGGGGCAGAAGACTCTGAACATCACAGAAATGCAGAACTCGGACAAGATGGGTGTGCTGGGGCGACCGCTTCAAGCTCCGCACCATATGCCTTGCGAGCAGCCTTTCAGAGCATGGCAGAGCGCAGCAAGACTACACGAGTAGTTCAGAGGGACCTTCTCAGCAGTCAAATCCCCACGGGCACGGCTCGCAGCAGCCTGTCATTCAGAGCGAGCCTTCACAAACATGAAAGAAAGACGAGAGGCAACAAAAAAACACTCACACACTCAGGCACCTCGAGCTCCCGGACTTGACGGAGAAGCTCAGCTTTTGCCACCTGACGATTGCGAAAAAATGCGAAAGTTGTGCCACGAAGCCAGATGCCGAAAGATGCCGGAACTGTTTCTGAAGGAGGGGCTGATAAACAAAGTTGCCTCCCTTCCTGGCCCTTCCCGTTTCCGAGCCTCCCGGAGCCCTTTCCAGACGTTCAAGACACAGGAATTCTTTCTCTGCGTTCACCAACCGCCTGTCTAACCTTCCGGAATCTCATTGTCTCACATGTCTCACCTTGAGACCCTAACTCTCATCTCTTGCCGCTCACACCCTTGGAATCGCATGCCAGGTTAGGGAAATGCCCACACGAACTGCGAGAGACAGAAGAAGCAAAAGCAGGCCCCGAAAATCCCCTGACACCAACATAGAAACCATAGGCCCGTCCATGAGCGCATCACAGAAACACCTTTGGGGCGTGGAGTAACCGCATTCGACCCTAACTCTCGTGTCTTGGTCACAAGCTTTCATGGTATCCTGGGGAACCTTTCATGGGTGCTCTTCACAGACACTCGGGCAGTGAAGGTGTCATGAGATTCAGATTCATGGTGTACCAAAAAAGGGGAAGTTGGAGGTGCTTTTTATTGTTCCTTTCTTTCGTGGCTCATTAGATTCATTCGCCACCACACTTGCTCAAATGCACCACTGGCAAGCGGAAGCGGGATCCCGATGCCGGGAGTCTGGCCTGCAACTTTCGCAGAGCAGCAGAACCTTGAGCTTCCACTTATTGCTTCGTGCACACTACAAGGTACCATGTGACAGCTGCGTCAGGGTGAGGGCAAAACGCTCGGAGTGCAGTTGCTTTTTGGCCGCTGCCTCGAATAAGGGCAACACCGGAAGCATCGATCGCACCACCGTTACTGGGCCTCTTCCTTGACGGCTGCCTCCTCCAGCTTTGCTGCTGCTGCCTTGCATCGTTCGACAGCTGCCAAATTTTCATTCGAGATCACAGGTGCAACAGTACAACTGATGCACCTCCTCCGCATGCTCGCGAGTCTCATCCCGAAGCTTGAGCGCCTGACGAACGAGCACCCTTGAACTCCCTTGAGGTTCTCCGGCACCCAAAGGACATCCAGCCATATCCAGCCTCTATACTGCAAAGCTCCTGCTGCTCGGCAGTGCCCGCGAGGAGCCGGCGGCATTGCTCAAACTCCAGCAAAGCTGCCTGAACGCAAGGAACGTGCAAGGCACCCATGATTCGAGTCTGCAAACTGCAAACTGCTGAGTATTGCAGAATGCCCTTGCAGAGAGACAGTGAAGCACGGGGAGGCATCAAGAACAAAGACGCCAAGGCAGCTAGCAGCCCTTGCCTTCTGCTCGGTCCGAGCCTCAAAGAGACCTGCGCCTCAGAGCACGCTGCATCACGCTGCTCTCTAGGCACTTGTACTGACACCACGCGGTGCTAGCGCGAGACAGGAGACAGCGTGCTGCTCTGAGATCAACGCTGGCTGCATCTTGCTGCTGCTGGTAGGCCTGCAGTCGAAGTTCGCCGTATCGACTCTTTCGTTTCTTCCGTGGGATGCCAGGCGATGCGAGGCAGGCCTGAACCTCGTGTTGGCACATTGTCAGTTCCTGCTCTCAGGCCATGTGACCATCATCCGCATTCATGCTGAGCAATGCCTGTTTCAGCAGCCAGTCGGAAGGAGCCTGCAAAGCAACGTATCCAGTCTGGTAGAAGCTCTGCAATAAATATGCCTGCGTGCCTTCCCATTCTGCGTAGCTGGAAGGAACTTCTTGAGAGCAAGGCTCAGCGCTTGAACCTGCAATGGAGCCAACATGCCAGGGCATGCCAGAGCATGCCAGTGCGCACCTGAGACAAGTGGGGCCAGTGGGGTGAAAGACCCCAGCCTCGCGGCTGTGCTCTTCCGCTTGCTGCTCAAGTGCCTGAGCAGGTCTAGCGCAGCACAGAGCACCCATCAGCCCAACACGATCTACAGAATCTACAGGTGAAGTTAGGCCCCCGGCAGTCCTCTCCTGCAGCAGCCTCTCTCTTTGCCTCAGCAGCTCCTCCATTTGGGCATAGAGGCGACGATCTGCCTAGCATGCACGATTTGACAAGGACATGTCGCACCCCAGAGGCCACAACAGCAACATGTAGTGGTCGCTCTGTTCTCAACATTCTCCGGATCGTACTGCAGTTTCTGATGAAGGTGTGACTCAGTCTGAAGGGCCACCCTGCTGTGTGGTGACATTGTGCAGCCACGCAGGATCGTCCATGTCGGCTGCTGGGCAGATGGATGCCCTGCGATGCCAAACTCAGCACCGGCAAAGCGCATCAAACTCGAAAATCAGATGCTCGCACCCACCAGCCATCAGCATTTCCAGTCATCCAATTGAAGGAGGCTGTGTCATCATGAATTCTGCGGCACTCTACCAGTCAGCGCACTTGCTGGCGAGGACATGGCAAACTGAATGCGCCAGTACACTGCTGTGCAGGATGCCAGAGCCCGAGTCCACCTCACGCTGCTTGGTCTAGCTGCGACGTACCGACTCCACCAATCCTTTGACCTTGCCCTGCATCATGCTGAACAAGCTGTTCGTGGACTGCGTGCCGTCATCTTCCATGGACTTGTTGGACATCAGCATTGCTGTTCTAGAGTGGTCGAACTTGGTGTTGTCCTTGGCCTTGGGAGTACGGTCCGAAATGAGCATCGCTGTGCGTTGACGTCGAGTACCTTGAGCTTTTCGTGCCTCGGGACTGTTTTGACTGTTTCGGCCGGATGTGTTGCTCCGGGGAGAAGAATCCAACATCGCGGAACGGTAGCGGGGAACTGGTGGACGCTTTTCTGGACTCGGCAGCTCCTTGCCGGAGCGGGGGCTCCTTCCGTGTCCATATCCGCCATTGGTGCTCCCTCCGCTGTTACGGAGTGCAGCACTTGGAAGAACAGGACCTTGTGCAATCATGGCGCGGGGCACCTAGGATTTGGCTGGTTGCAGTTCGCTGCTTGGCAGCCACTTCGAACCAGTATGCCTGGCGGTGCTGCAGTCTGAGCATGTCTGCAATAATTGCACATGAGCAAGTCCTCAGGCAGGCAGTGCTTGGACATCTCATGCAGATCATGGAGGCACTCAACCCTTTGCAAGGCCTCTTGTGCTTGCAGATTTCCTTCTGATCGGACTCGTCGAATCTGCAGAAGTCGCGCTTCCAGCTTCCTTGAGGCTGCTGTAAGCTGTGGTATGCTCAGGCATGCTCAAAAAACCTGCTGCCCAGGAACTGAATGCAGCTGCGCGACACCTGGCGGACTGCGTTGACAAAAGGAGTCCAACTCTGCCAAAGCTTACGGGCGATCGTGAAGGTATCCGCCCTCCAGCCTCGAGCTGTTGCTCCCACCGCTGCTTCTCTTTCAGTGCCAAATCTGCCTCTGCCCACAAGCATGGCACGCCATGAACAGGTTCTATCGCACTATCACTCAGGAACTGCGCTCCTCTATGCGGAGCTGCGCAAGGTCTGCCCCTTCCAGCTGCAGCTCCTGCAAAGTTCGGGAACCGCTCTGATGCTGGCAAGCTGTGCTACATAACTACAAGGCAGTTGGAGGACGCAGGGGCAGAATCACTTGCAAATCGAGCTAATTCCGGCAAAAATGGACACTCCTGCATTATGACTACCCCTTACAGTTTCATGCGCAGCCAAAAGGTAGTGGCAGCCTGTGCTGTCGCAATTAAGGTGTGTAGGCTCCAAGACCTAGCTAGCAGATGCTAGCGCAGAAATCCACTGGAAAAACATGGAGAAGTAGCGTGAGAATTGATGCAGACCAGCCAAAAAAAGACGACAACGATTTCAAGGGGCGGAGCAGTGGAGCATCTTAGAAGTGACACAGAAGTCGAAGACATGCCAGCACCGTGCTTCAGAGTGCCCTTCCCGCACCTTGCCTCCTGCAGCTCCCTGGCCTCACGAAGTGCCTTCACCCAGAGGCGTGCGCTCGGCTTCCGCTCGGCTTCCGCTCGGCTTCCGCTCGGCTTGTGTTTCACTCTGCGCTTCCTCCGCCAAGCGAGCATCTCTCCGGGCCTGCCAAGCACTTCAAGCGGTTCAAGCAGCTCAGGTCTCCCTCTGCCCATAGCAGGATCCAAAGCGACAGGGGGTGCATTTTAGTCTAAGAATCGCCGTCCCAGGCATGGAATTTCATGGAATGCTCATGAATGCTCTCCCGCTGTGTTGCCCCCATGCTGCCGGCCTCGGAGCTGGGCACCCGATGCATTTTCACATGTTGGCCAAGTCCATGGAAGCCGTGGAAGAGGAGGCCACTTGGAAACCGCACTGCGAAGAGTCCGTGCGTTCATCACTTTGTTTGTTTTTGCTTGGAGATATTCTCTCTTGCTTGTGCCTGCTCTACGCAATCTTGAGCCCAGATTGGTGTTGGTTAGGCGGCAGAACATGGCTGGCATCATGGTCCCATAAAAGCTCACCATTTCCCTGACCCATCGGGCTGGAACTGCATTTTGATCTATTCCGGCTGTCCAAGGCTGTCTGCAATTTGGACAGCCCCGGGCCAAGCCCAAGTCGTGCAGACAACCTCAGGAGGCCACAAAATGCCACACACCTCGAAAATCATGAGCTTTGCTTTTTGGCCCCACGGACCTCTACAAGCTCTCTGCCGGAGGTTGCCAGATGCTATGGACAAGTGCCACATGCCGCGACCACGGCCTGCCTACTTCAGCAGAGGCCGCAAGTCTCTGCGACACGTAGGGCACAACGAGGCCTGGCTCCACGCTTGCTCTTCACTTGGCGCTCGAGTCCGCTATCGTCTTCACAGCAAACATCAGCAATCAGTCAGAACCCCAGCCTTCTTCAGCCACGGGAGAACGCAGCTGAGGTGAAACACATGCTGGGGCGCACATGGCAACCTGCCGCAGGCATTGAACGGACGGCAGCCCAAACACCAGAATGCTTAAAGCTACACAAAGTGACACAATAGATGAATGCAGCGGCGCCTTATGCAACAGCTTGAGGCATCCGGAGCCTGAGCGGCTTAGACAGTAGATGGTCTTAGTAACTGGTATCCATACATCCGAAATCTGCACATGCAGCTATTGCAGAATGCAGATGTGCCACGAAATCCAACTTACCTCTTCCGCCAGAATTGCTAGGCCGCTAGGCTCCAAACACAGAAGCAAACTGCACACTCGAGGGGTTCTTGGCCTGTCTAAGACGATTGCACACAAGATCCAGCTACGCTCTCTCGTGCGAAGCCTTCATTGGCACCAGCAAACTCTGGCTGCCACCTGCCAGCACGGCCGTCACCCCTTCACTCTGTGCCGAGTCGAGAAACTTCCTGCCTGTGCTTGGTTTGCAGAATTCGCAGCTGCTCGTAGGACAGCCCTGGAACTGCCTCTCCCGAGATGCAGTTCAGCACATTCCCGCAAGAGGGCACCAACTTCGTCATCAATCGCACCGTGCCTTCTTTTTGCCGTTCTCATTGACCTCAAGATTCGCAGTGATAAGTCGTAAGAGCTGTACGAGCCGTAAGAGCCGTAAGAGCCGTAAGAGAGTAAAATGTCTTTTTGCCGACGTAACAAGAAGCTGCCACAACGTGAGTTCCCGACCGTCACTGTGGTGAAGAGATCTCCGCGAAGTGATCCCCAAGCTCGCTGATCCTGAAAGGGCTTGAGATGATCGGGAAACTGGTCACAAAGTTGCAGAATCGCCAAGGTTCCTTGCAGGCCGTCCGACATCAAAACCAATAAATTCTCGGACAGTGTTTCTGACGGCCTTTCGCCGTACTGTAGTAGTACAGTAGTACAGTAGTACAGTAGTACAGTAGTACATTAGTACATTAGTACAGTAGTACGGTAGTACAGTAGTACAGTAGTACAGTAGTACAGTAGTACAGTAGTACAGTAGTACAGTAGTACAGTAGCATGGATGATTGTCGGCAAGTGAGAGTTAGCTGTGCGTTGCACGCTGCGGTCGCTGCACCTGCTGCCGCTCCGGTGCCTGATGTTCCAACTCCCCCGTCCCAGCCCTGTAGTACTTTACCGACTCGAGCGGCTTCTTTCGCTTCGGGCCACGTCCGACGACACGCGTGCAGAGACAGCTTGATGCCTTGCAGCAGTACATGGGCACGGTCCCGCGATGACCATCTGACAGCACCCAAAGCCCCTGCCCCTTGTGCGGGTCCACTGCAGTTCAAAGCTCACAACAGCAAGTCTGCTCAGGGAATCAGATTCAACCTCGAAGCTAACATGACATCAGAAGCATGTTCGCGTACTTTCGGTTTCAAATTTCCGGATTGTTCTGCTGCCATCCCGAGATGCGGCAACATCCTGCCCCGGCCCTTCCCTCAGCCCCAGGGCCTCTGACAGAAGCCACTGTCTGGCTGCCTCTACAGGCCGAACGGACCTCAACAGAATTCTGCTAAGGCCCATCCGAGACAATCCGGAGTCATTCTGCGCTTTTCCTGAAACGACCAGTCTCAGGGCCCTGCGCTCTCGGTGCCCGCCACGCATCAGCATAGCCCTCCACGACATCATCGCGCACACGGTCGCGGGTCCTGCTTCTACGTACATCCGCGGACGGGATCACGTGATGCCTCCTTGCATCCTTCCCTGACGTCCTTTCAGCAGGAGCTGGCTCGGCACCTGGTAGAGCCATCAACACTTGAAATTGCCATATGTCAAGCTGCCTGCCACCCGAAGCCAATCAACACACTTCGCCAAACTCACATGTATTGTCATCATGTACTCGATACTAAATCCAAGAGGGCTTCTCTGAGCGCCGCGCGGAGGACATACGAAGCGGCACAAGCCTTCGGCAACCGCGACATGAGCACAACAAGTTCGCCAACCAACGAGAAAGGACAGACCTGGTCTAGCCCACGCTCGGACTCAAAATTCCCCTCCTAGGACGGATGCCTACTTTTAAGCTCGGTACAGCTATGTCTGTCGGCAGTGTTGACTAAGGGCAGAGAAATACTGCGCGATGGTTTTGGTACTCATTACGCCTTCAAGCCGACCGCACTACATCGGTCCTTTACCTGCGCTTCTTCTTTACTAAGGCCTCGTTTGTCCTCCGACAGCTGCGTTCCACGTTGCTTCTGCTTACCTCTGTAGTACTCTCGCGCCTTACTCTTGTGCAAACCTGCACGATAAGCACGGTCCACTCTCGCAAAAAGTGCGAGTAAAACCTTTGAAGATTCAGACAAGTTCAGCCAAGGTTCTTTGGAAAGTTGATTCGCTGTCGATGTCGGGTTGGCTGAGAAACTCGATGACAGCACATCTGTCAATGCAAAAGGAAGCCTGTAAAACTTTGAAAGAAGCTCCTTGAGCAGCCTGAAACCAGGACTGCTGCATTCCTTTGTGCTACCTCCGGACTTCAGTACTCTCCTGCACCAGTGGACAACTGACTCTGTACAACGTGTGCTCTACCTTGGTAGGGTCTCTGTGATACATGCATGCTGCCCTTGTAGTACTTCCGCATTTCATTTTTGGCGATCGCGACTGAAAATGTTGTACTACCCTCTTACCTCGGCAGTAATTGTGGGCTGCTTCAACGCTAGTTCTACCTGTGCCACCTCAGCTCGAGTCATTCTGCAGTAGAATTTGCCCCTTGACTACCCTGCGACCGAGGTGAAGAAAGTACGGCACCCTCTTACTTGTTTAAAGTCTGGTTTAAAAGGCTGGAAGCAAGGGGCAGAAAGTTGCTGTACTCAATGTTCCGGCGCAGCTCCCTGCAACACCGGCACAACAAGCCAAGCTGGGTCCCTAACAGGATGAAAGCGGCGGTAAATCGCGGCGCCTGCTCGCCGCAAACACGCAATTGCCAATTGAATCTCTCGGCATCTCTCTTGTTCCAAGGCCTGTCCAGACTGTAACCTCCTCATTCAAATCTCTCAGCGGCTGCCTGCAACAGTTGCTCCTCCAATTCTCCACGTTCTCTCGCACATGGCCCGAGGCAACTGCCCACATCCATAGCAGAAATGGCCCAAGTCATTGCGCTGCGCTTGCCTGCACGGCTAAGAGACGTGAAGGCAATGAAAGTGTCCCGGGATGCAGGCAAATATAAGCACGCTTAGCACCTTTGTCGCACGGCCCAACCCGAGGACTTTTTGTTGGCCACCGCCTGCATCATAGCGAGAAGCCCGGCAAATAGTTCTGTGGCTGTGACACAGTGTCACCACCTCCTCCAGCGCAATGCCGTCTCCCACGAGCTCTCTGTGTATCGCCTGCGAGGATGCTTGAGGCATATAAACCCATGAGTTGCCTCGAACGTGTACCTATGAGCCCTTGCTGCTAGCGACGTGGGCCTTGTCGATAAGAGACATCGGCGGTGGCGCCGATCGACTTTTCTGGGTACTGCGTGAACTCTTTGTAGATGCCGCAGATGCCGCAGATGCCTCTTTGAGTGCTGCTCACGGCTTCAACTTGCTGAAACATTCAATGCCATGCCAAAGGGGTTTCAGGCGCGGCGCAGTGCTGCGCAAGTGCTCTGCAAGTGCTCTGCAAACCTGCCGAGATGCTCTGGATTCCGACTCGCGCAGCGCAGCTGCGTAGGCCTGGCAATCAGTGGCATAAACTTATGGCCATCACAAGGCCCATGTGGCGCACACGTCCCAGATCTCCCAGACAGCTCTCTGAATCTTGTTTTTGTTTCGCATGCGCCAAAGTCTCGCACTTGGCAGCTGCTGAAGACTTGCCTCAGTCACAGAACAGGCCAGGCGTATTGTAGGTGCGCGGGACGTGCGTTGCCGAGCGCCGGGCTGTGCATCTTGCTGCAACGCCAGCACAGCCACCCACCAGTGCATTCACACTGGGCGGCACTCGCCGACGGAGATGAACGAAAAGCAGGCGTGGTGCCCTGCTGTGTCACTACAGCGGTATTTGAGCTGCATTGTTCTCGAGCCTTGGGCCAGTAAAAGCAACCACTAGCATTCGTCTTGTGGATGTGTAATGCATATTGTAGAATTGTAGAATATTGTCCTTGAAACTTCCTAAGCGGCTTGCTGATGAAGTGTTCCGACTGCCTAGCACGTGAGACACGACGAGCTCACTTCCTTCTTGCAGGAGCCTGCGCAGGGATACACTTGCAGGCTGGACACCATGGGCAATTGTCGACTGCCGTGCGCCTAACATGTGTAAGTTCTCCATCTACAGTCCACTTGAGACCAGTAGGCCCTGAGGGTGTGGTTTTGCAGACAATCGCTGCTGGGTTGTGGCACGGTCTGATCTCTCATCCCAGTATGCAATCGATCATGCAAGAGTCGGGCGGAAACAATGTAGAAAGAGCAGGAAAGTGTGCTTTTCTGCCAGAAGGAAGGGAAGGAAAGGCATGATTGCACCCCATGGCCAGGGCAGCAGGCTGTTAGGAGGTAGTTTCCTTATGTGAACTGCAGCAACTGGTATTCTAGTGCTAGATACAAAGGAATGCAGGAAGCGATCACGTGCGGTAGGTGAGGCAGGAAGTCCCTGTGGGGTGTCAGAGACAACCATGATCAACCATATTTCAACCATAGAACTTCAGGATGTCCATGTTGTGCATGGACATTTCGAGAGTCAAGCGATTAACACTCGCAATCTCATGACATGTACGCGATAACTTTCATCAGACTCGCTGTTGTGGGACAATTCTTCACAATTCCTGAATCAAGCTCGATACAGTGTTAAAGCCTTGAGTCGGGGGCATTCCCTGTGAACAACTTATGCAGGGGCGTTCGAGGTCTGCTTGCTTGATGCAAGGCCTTTGCAAGGGGGATCCGTTCCCCAACAAAAACCGTTGTCGAGGCCAACTGGCTGGCAAACTCGCTTGTGGGGCTCTGTGGCGTGACCGAGCTTGCTGTGGTGCACACGGAAGGCAAACAAGCATAGTGAAGAAACAGACCCTCTTTGGGCAGTCCTTGCTGTCGCTATCATCACCGAGGCTCATCAGAAGCGACTCGGTCGAGAGCACCATGCGGTTAGCCGACCTCACGTTCTCACTTTCTGTTGCATGGAACTATTTGGACATCATTGAACGGTGCAAAGATTCCCTGAGCCAAACACTTGGAAAGCAAGTTCGAGATGTCCTTCGCGACCGCGATCTTTCGCAGTTCGACGAAGCCCGGGTTGGCCTGAAGTCGACAAAGGAAAGGCGCATGGTAGCGCGGAGTGGGAATGAGTGGAGAGTTCAGCCTTGATCGCATCACCGATCATCCTAGCAGACCTCAGCAACGCTGCCCATGCCGACGACATAGACAGAAGCATAGATCAAAGAGAAGCAGAGATCAAACCTGCCAAACATCCACAGGGCCATGCTGGCACTTGCTGACGACTGCATTGACCGCATGAAACATCTGAGGGTTTCAGCTCTTTCTCGCCCTCTGCGTGGATGATCGTTCGCTTCTTCTCCTCCTGAGCCTGCCCAGAGGTCTTCAGAAAAGCCATTCAGAAAGCCAGGAGCCGAAAGCGCAGTCCACGAAGGCCTTGCCTTCAACACCAGATACCGGGCACGTTCCGCCTGCTGCTGTGCCACCTGTTTCTGCTCGACGGCCTGCACGGGAACACCGTCGTCTTGCACAGAGGCTAGACTCTGCAAGAGTTTGCAAATGCCCATGTCATCCCATATCATGTCAATGCTCTTCAGTGCGCCGCTTATCGACGACCTTTTTTTCAAGGTGCCGCGAATCTGTGGCAAATGGCTAGATTGAAATATAGACATTATAGACAATGCGAGGCTGCCAGCTCGCGCCAGAAGCTTGCCAGCACGATTCAAAACGGTGCTCGGCTCACTTCTTGCCATCGTCCACGTAGTTGTCAGGCAGCTCGGCCTTTGTGGTCAGCAGCTCCTTGCAAGGAGCAGGTTGACGCAAGTCGGTCAGAGAATCGTCTCACAACAGCCTCGGAGATGAAGCCCCACCTCGGACAACAACACAGAACCACAGATGTAGCTGCTGCGGTCGGTCCGCTTGGGTAGATGCTCATCTTGGCTAAGGTCCGAACACAGCCTTCGCTCCAGCACTCAAGCACTTTTCCCGCCCGTTGAGGGCCTCAGTTGCTGCACGAAGGGGCAGACAAGCAGGTCAAGAGCACGTCAAGACGAGGAACCTTGAGCTCCACCATGCAGCTGCATTCCACCACTTCTGCCTCAAAGCATCGAAGAACAAAGTCATGGACTCAAGCTGAAGCTCACAGTTCAGCCCAGAATAGTTCCGGCCTCACACGCGTCAATGAGCTTGATGCCTGCACAAAGCGTCCCTCCTTTCCAGGGTTTTACATCTCAGGTTGTCACCTCGGGTCCGCTGTATCGAGACATATCGAGCACGCGAGAGTCCTGTGGCAATTAAGTCATCAATCAGGACGACCTTGTCGCCCTTGACGATGGCTCCCTTGATCGACGTTCTGAAACGCGCAGGGCGCCGACATCAATCAAGCCTGGCAGAGAAGCCAGGAGCCTTCTGCACACATATCTCGTCAAGGCCCTCATACTCCTGGCACGTTGGCACACGCACAAGTGTGTGGCATGTTGGCGGAGACGGTTGAAGTCGCGGCTCCTTCGTGTACGGGCCACTGGAAATCGTGTTTGGCAACTTTCCGGCCTGAGATCAATCTTACAGAGATTGCTTCTGTACTTCTTCTTGGCCAGGCCTTTCGGAGCATCACAAACGGCACCCCAAGCTTGATGGAAACGGGCGTGAACAGGAAGCCACGGGCCTGCATTCCAGGCGGCCCTGAGCCCACAAACGGTTCAACCGTCCAAAGCCTCAAAAGCCAGAACCCAAACCATGGCTGAGAAAACCTCGAAGCCACAGAGCTTCGTGACGCCCATCTTCCGGAAGCGCTTTGCCCAGACGGCACACATCGCGTTCAGGAGTTTCGGGTGCTGCAGCAGGCCCTGAATGTCATAGAACCTGACGGAACGAGTGACAAACGAAGGAACACCAATGTCTCGGCCAGGAATCCGTCCTCTCGATCTTCTTGAAGGGGAAGTACGGGATATGCAAGGCGATTTCCTGACATCTGCAATCTCCAACAGGTCTGCGCGCGCTTACATGTCAGTACTGCCTGTACAGTACAGCAAGCCCACGCAAGACCAAAGTGCAGGAAAGTTGCTTTGGCCAGTGGTCCATCAGATTCCATGTCCCCTGGCTGTAGCCTCTTTGCCTCTGCCTTGGCCTTGGCCTTGGGCTCTTTTGCCTTGGCCTTTGCTTTGGGCTTGGCCGTTTCGGCAGCCTTGCCCTTTCCCGACACCTGACCAATGCAATCATTTGCTGAATGCTAGCGGCACCCTATTATAGCGACATGGTCCTGGAGATAAACTCCCCAGGTCGACGGCATGCCATTAAATTGAAGCCGTTTCATGACTTGATGAGCCTCAATACCCCCTGAGGAGGCCGCTGCCCCATGCAGCGTGCAAAGCACCAGGCATAAATGCAAAGGGAAAACCGGATGGCCATCCTACTTTGGCAAAGCGACAAGGCCTGTTCACCGATTCTACATGAAGCATAAGCGCTAATGAGCACGGAAGCTTCCATAGTTTCAAGCGATACGGGCACCGGAACTTGAAACCTCATCCGAACAGTATGAGAACCATGTTGCCCACTCGCCAGCCTTCTTTGTGGACTCAGCTGGCGTGGGATCCTTGTAGGCCTGGTTTGCTGTGCTGCGTTAGAGCATACCCTTCATGTGACCTTCCGAGACGTCAGTGAGCCTGTGTGGCCTGTGCTTTGCGGCTCCTGGACTTTGCCGGCTTGCACTCATAGTCCCAGTACTCCTCTGGCAAGCACTTTGTTTTGGCCTGCCCACGAAAAACGTTCGCATCGCGTTTTACGCGACGGCATCCTCTAGCATCTTCATTTTGTACTTGCCGCGGTAGTACTCCTTGGAGGCAAATGACAGTCATGCGAGTCAATTTTGCTCACCGCTATGCACGGACCCAGTATCATGTTGCTGAGACTTGTGGCTTGTCATGCTTGTCACTGTTGCGTCCGCGTGTCTGCCAGTTCATCCCATGTGTAAGCACAACCGTCGTCGGGATCAATGCGCTTTTCCTGTTCAGCCCCAGGCCAGTCTCATGCAAAAGCGGGGGGGTGTCTCCACAGCTTTGAACAAACTCATCCCGCCGCGGAGTCCTCAGGGTCATAGTTGGGGTCAGCCTTCCTCCATGAAAATGTTTTGTGCGTCGAACTTTCTCTTATGCTGGTTTGTAGGCTCATCAAACACATCTGGCTTTCTCTACAAGACACGAGAGATGTAAACCAACCCACAGTCAGCCGAGAGTCATCAAGGCAGCACCCCATCTCTCATCTCCTGCCTCTTGGCTCACGGATATCAGAGCTACACATTGGCTTTTGAGAATGCGCTTTCACGTGCACTCACGTGAAAGGTATACAAGGTTTGGCAAGGGCCTTTCCCACTGTGTACTTCCCTCCTCCACCGGATTTCCTGAGAGACAGGCGCGTTTAGCATCCGCCAGACTTCATCGTGATGACATGTGATGGCACTCGGCGCGGCACTTCTCCGGCTGCCGGACAGAAGATCGCGGGTTAGCACTGTGCCGCTCCTGAAGTGGCAAGACCCAGGCACGATGCAATGAGAAAAGGGCCCCGCGCTCCCTTGTCGTCCTTGTCTCTCGGAGCCATAGCAATATGATCTGAAATGGACTAGCTGATCAGCTTTCACATGATCCAGTCTTGTTAAGTCCTCGGGATACACCACGTACCTTTCAAGCTAGTGCTGATGCTGCTCCACGCAGTCTTCTTTGATCCTTCTCGTGCAAGCTTGAGTTTTTGAGCAGCTGCTTGTTCGAAACAAATAAGAGGAGAGGAAGTCATGCAACTTCAAGCCAACTCACCGGAACTAAAGGCTTGGCCTTTTCGTACTCGGGACTGAAATTCAGGTGAGTGATGGCAACATCATCCTGGCAGAATATCAACAGCAGTCTTGCAAGGCAGTTCCAGCTTTCACTTGAGCAAGGACGCGGAATTTCTTTTCGTTACATACATACTAGGCAACTGTATATACATCTGTATGTAGTTGTAGTATGGTGCATGCGATTCTATGACTATCTGTGTATGAATGTTGGAGGCAAGATGCAAATACGTGCATAGGTTTGGGAGCGAGGCAGTGCGAGCAGTTGACCATAGGAATCACAGGACGCACAAGCTTGGAGCACGATGCTTCAGTGCTCTGAAGCATGCTTAGGGCACGAGGAGAATGCCGAAGTCAGAAGCCCTCTGGATGAGTCGCTGTCTGATCCTCCAGGAGGCACACGATCAGTGAGCACAGGATGAGATGCCGTTCTCACCAAGCTCTCGACATGCGGCTAACGAGCTCTCGCCTGACTCCACATCCCACATCCAGCTTGCACAGATGAAACGGCAGGTCATCTGAGTGCACTTCTGCGTGATCAGCTGCGAAGCGTTGTATTGCGCCACAACGCTCTTCAACACCTTGAGAAATCCAGAAAATATTTGACCCCCCGACAAGGGACGGCTACCGTCTACCTCCCTGCCTCGTTGATAATGGAAGGCAGCACTTTCTCATCGAAGTCCAAGCCCAGGTTCCTCGAAAGGAATCCAGTGCAAGTCGGTGCACTCGGTACACATTTGGGCAATTGAGACTCATGTTGAGACTCCTGTAGATGTCTGGCAGTTTGTCAATGTCTGGCCTGGCAGTGTCCATTGCTTAGACTCCGAGCTCGGATGTCGGGTGTTGCCAGGCAGCGGGCTTGCAAAGGGCCCTGAGCGAAATGTTGACCTGCCATTCAGTCATCACACGTGATGGCCTTGCTGATCATGCCTTCGAGTCGATAACTGCGCGTGAGGATCCATTTGCAGGTCTCGGCTTCCTGTCAACGAAGTCCTTAGCCGAGATGGAGTGCTGGAAGCAATGTCTTCATGAATTTGCATGGGTCGTGAGATGTCTTGAATCTCAGCTTGGGTCATGGTGTGTGGTCTGGCCCGCACATCGAAGATGATGGCCCGCTCTAACCACGGTATCATGAAGTGGACACCTTGTCGCGAGACTTTTAGAACCCTAGCGTGACCCAGGTTCATTTGCTACGCATACATCTTATAGACTAAGACTATAGGAAACCGATGCGAAAGCAACAGCCAATAGAGTAGAGACCTTGACTCGACACGGAATAGAACGAATTTAATTGGCATCGGCGAAGGTCGGAATAAGAGATAGTTAGATCATGTTAGATCTTCATGCTAGTTGCAGTGACCCACAGCATGGTTTTGGCTGGCTTGGGCACAAACTGCAATGCTCGATAAGTTCGAGCGAGAATTGCAAGCTGGAATGCTGCATCGGCGCAGCCAGCAGCTGAGCTCCCGGGCCCTCCCTGAAGGTGTTGGCACCGATGCCAGAAAGTCGGTTGTACTGCAAGATGGCAAATCACAATGTCGCTTAAACTGACTCTAATCAAGCTTCTTTGTAAGCTTCGCTTTTCACAAGCATCCCCCGTCCTTCAAGGACATGTGGCCTGCATCCACTGTGTACACTGCGTTGGAAGCTAAGTAGCCGCCGCCGGCCAAGACCTAAGCGCACCCATCCCCAGCATCCCCCGCATGTGACCGTACGTGCCCCATCATCCAGGTATGTGCCCCTGAAAACTTCTAAATGACTTGTGCCAACAACACTATGCACAACTCTGCCGAGGGGCTGCTCCGGCTGCCACCAAGGGCGTGCCTGTCTGCGCGAGTCTTTGCAGCCTGGAAGGCGATTAGTTGAACTGGGGAGGATCCCTCCGATGTACGAGGTGATTCGTGCTCAGAGAAGCGGGCAGCTTTGGAATGTCGAATCGCGACCTCGACATGCGAACCATCTGTGCCCTGACCCGAGTCTCTTCAGCAATGCTACCACCAAGATTTCAATCAAGGACCGGACATTGTGGGAAGGCTCAAACTACAAAATCGCAGCTAATCTGCTTGGGCCCTCAACTTGAAAGCTAAGCTGCATTATGCATCGAGTCACAACTTTGTCTCTAAACAGCCGAATTTTCTTGGAAAAAGAAAGCATGTCTTCGCACTTTTCTCACGCTCCGCACCGGTCCCCAGGTGACTCACACAGGCCCAAACCTGCCCCCTCTGAAGTTTCAGGCCGAAAACCACGCCGAAAGACAGAAAAAAACTCTCTTGCTCAGCACATCCCAGCACCGCTCTGCGGCACTTCACTGGGTGGCCATGGACCCCACCGCGGCCGCTCCGACCGCTCCGACCGCTCCGACCGCTCCGACCGCTCCGACCGCTCCCCGGCGCCTCTGGGAGGCCTCAGCGCAGAATCTCTCAAAAAAGATCCTGGAAAAAAAAACATCAGAACCCGGAGCTCAGAGTACAAATCAGAACACGTCAACTTTGCAATCCTCAGGTGCGCCTTGAGGCGGAGGCTACCGATGTCCAGGACCTCCTTGGACATCAAAGGCACAAGCCTAATGACCTAATGATTCCTGGCTGAAGACCGGCAAACCAAGGGGCCTTGAGAGCGGGCAACACCTCGGCAATGCTGTCGACTCTGAGCAGACCCTGACAGGTCACTGCAAAGCTGCGAAACACTTTTGCTTCGCCACGAGATCGAAAGGAGCCTGGAGAGCCTCAACCTTGGTGGCAGATGCATTTGCTGATGGATCTGGAAACAAGTCCTGCTTATTGCAGCCTCGAAGAAGAGCATCGAAAAGTTGCGCATTGGCATGAGTATACAACCTCATACCCTCACACAAGCCCTCCAGTTCTCGGCTGCATTCTCGTCGGGTACCCGATTAGACCAGCGACAGTGTCGGCAGCGTGTTGGCAAGACTTGGTAAGACCCCCGACAGCTTCCCCCGTCAGCTTGCCCCACTCAGGAACCAGCAATGCGGTGAGCTGCAACGTGCTCGTCACACCTTTGGACCAGCGCCTCCGCACCTCAGCATGCTGCTAGACTGGACCTGCGACCATCAGGACCAATGAGGCTACACATGGCCTAGATGCCAGGCTCTGCTGGGCTATGCTCAGTAGGCTCGCAACATGAATGAAGTTCAACTTTGGAACAGCGCATCGTAGATGACAGTAAGTTCAACAACGCGACCTGACAGAGAAGACGACCGAAGGAGATGGACTGACAGTGGTTGGAGCACACTGGGACCACACCCCCGCCTGTGCGGAATTTGTTTCCACCATCTCCGTGATCCTCTCCAAACATTGACCCACAGATGCTCCTAAGCCAGGGTTCCATCACGACGGGCATACCCCTCTCTCCGAATCTTGGGAGGACGCCCTCAGCAAGTTGTAGCCCGAGTGCAAGTTCATTCCAGACCTGAGTGGCGGCATGGAGAAAGTCTGGCCTTGGAAGCGCATACAAAGCCACTGCTGTGATGTCGCAGCTGACGCTGAATCAGTTCAATTCTGCACCAAGACTTTCAAACTTCACCAATCTGCAGAGAAGAAAACGCGTTGCAAGCCCGGAGAGGCATGGACCTTCTCGTTGTTTCGCTGCCTGGGGAGGATGTACGCAACAAATTTGGTACTTTCACTGAAGACAGCGCCGGTGAGGTCCAGTGGACCATGGCATAGTTGAGATGTAAGGATTCCGGCGTGGCAACCAGCTCAAGGACTCGCTCAACCCTTTGGGTATGAGATGCACCTGAGACGCAAAACTGCTCTTCTCTGTCAGCCTGTCGCTGCACCCCATTGCCCATCTGTCGAAGTCACATAAGTCACTGCCAAACTAAGGGAGCAGCTTGGTGGCAGCTTCAAGTCCTCGAATACGTCTCGCCACGCCTGCCAACATGTTGGATGGATCAGGCCATGGCCCGTCTACACCATGCTGGATTGTACAAGTACGTGATTTGCCGTTCTAGAAAGAAGCAGCTTATGCGGAAACTCTTGTTTTCAATGCTCAGGTGCTTCGCTGGCATTGACGTTAACGGCTTGCATCAAGAAACTGTCCTGCTGATACCAATCATCCAATGGTTTGCACACGCTGCTTGATTTCTAGCACTCCGGGTTCACACAACACAACGGGTGGCCCGCCCATGGACCGCTCGCATTCCCTGCTTTGGATTTAGTACAGACTGGTGTCTAACAGAGTGGGGACGGCCTCCTCGCTCGACCGGTGCCTTGGAAGCATCATGGAGCATCCATGCAAAGCCGAAGTGGGCCAATCGTGTGCTGTCGCTTGCATAGCCACTCTGACATGTTCGGATCCCGGCGCTTCTGTCATGGCAGCAAGTTTCTCGCAGAGTTGCGTGGCCGAGCCTGCAATCGGACAAGCGAATGTCATGCGAACATCTTCGAACTAGACTATACTGCGAACTGGCCTTCTGGAAGCTCAAGCGCATGAGACACCTCACGCAAGGCCTGTGACAGAGAGTGCTGCAAAAAACGCCCCAGGGCGCAGGGCGCAGAGAGCACACAACAGGGCCTCCTTGCTGTCCTGCAGCCTGCCGTGCTTCAGAGATCGATCTGATGTGGTGAAGTCAGTGAAGTCTCTCCGGGTGTCTGACCCCTTGACGACTTCTCGAATCTTGCAAAACGACGGCTCGCTTGCATCTAAGCGGTGAAGCAGAGCATTTTGGCAGCTCAAGAGTATTCCTCTGCGATCCCACCAAGGACGGTACCGTCAGGAAGCTGCAATGCTCGGGCAAGCTCCTGTGTGCACCAAAGGAAGGGCATTCATAGTGTTTCCGAGCCTTCCTGCCCTAACAAGTTCCAGCCTGTGCTGCCATCTGGCGCCTCAAGGAGTCGGTGAACATCACCGGAAACAGAGCATGGCTTGTCATGCTTGTTCATGCTGCCATGCCTCTTCGTCGATGCAAAAACACTCTGCAGTCTGTGCAAGGCCTCGTGCGAACAAGGCTGGGCAAGCCTCGCCCCCCCTCGAAGCATCCTGCCTCGTGAAGCTTGACAGGACCCACGTGTTCCTGCAAACAATCTGCAAACGCACATTGACACTAAGCAGCTTGGCATGGCTTGAGCTAGCTGCATCTAATCCCAGATCTTTGAATGCTGTATGATGATGCTGTATGCAAAGGCTCGTCTTTAGAGATGGGGAATTAAGTTGGTGAGTGGCTAGGGTTCGCCGGCTCTCCAACAAAGGGTCCAGCCTGCAACGCTTGCAGAGTGCCTTCGGCCAACCTGGCATCCACGATGCTACCCAATCCAAGGCTGGCGCAAGGCAAACCAGTCGGCATGGTCAAGGCAGCGGTAAGCAGCAGGCTCCAAGCATGTCCGTGTCCTGGCATTGGCTGCAGCATCTTCAAGCGACCTGCGAGCGAAAGGTTCGGATCTCAATGCAGACATGCGAGGCACATCCATGCTGCATTGCACTGCTGTGGGCGCCTGCAACGCTGAATCAAGCGTTCAACCTCAGACTATGACGTAAGAAAAAGTGCGCTGCTGAAGCAGCAGGTGATGATGGTGGCCTCTGGCACGGCTTCTGCGACACTGCGAACTTCCACGTGCCTGGACGCTGGGAGCACAATCTCTGCCAGTCTTCTCCAGAGACTCGGCACCTGCAGAGCTCCACCAGCACAGCTGCCATGTCCGACTTCGGCATGTGCTCCTGCCGTTTTGCAAGTAATAGAAGTGGTAGAGGAAGAAGCCCAACTTAGCCCAACGTAGCCTCCAAGCCACAGGCATCCAAGCCCAAGCGCCGTAGCTCCTGCGGCTCAACAAAAATCAGCGCAAGTTGTGCTTCCAGCTGACCGAAGACCAAAGCCCAACCTTGTCACGCTGAATGAGGCTTCGTGTGTCTGTCGTTTTCCAAGCTTTGCGAACCTGTCTAAGCTGGCCGCACGTTCACGCATTCAGCTCCAACTCTGCAGAGGCTCAAGAGGAACCGCCTCAGCAAGCTCCTCACGAAGCTTCAACACCTTGCAGCAACGCTGTTGTGGAAGACTGAGAATCGACCAAGGCTGTGCGGTGTCTTTGGCTCTGGCACGATGTTCTTGAGGCTACTAGCACGCACTAACCCGCATTCGTATGTCGTGCAAGTATCAGACCAGCATGGTCATGAAACGTAGTATACATACACTACTGACTCTACTGCATAGCGAGTCCTCCACACAAATCCAGAGACTAGATGATGCTTCATATGACCCAGCTAGGCTGCCATGGCGTTTAGAAAGGTCACCCGAGGTGCGCACTTCACGCTGAAGCCTGGAGTCCAAGCGTCGTGGCTCCCTACACGGCGCATCATGGCAGTCCGGCAGAGCTAGGAACATATAGGAACGCAAGGAATTTAAGAAAAAAAACACCGCATGGACACCCAGAACTGCATACATCTGCCATGACCCGCCTGGCCCTTTCATGAAGCTCGGCCTTGAGCTGTGCTACCTGCTCCTGTTGACGGACGCAACTGTGCAACTGCATACTACTTCTTGCATTGCACGGTTTGCAAGGTGCATAGCGGCATGGCTGGGAATGTGTCCTCTGCTAGTCTGCAAGAAGCAGAAAGCTGACTGATCTGGCACATGTGTCAGGGCAAAAAGCGCGTTGAAGGGAAACAAGCTGTGTTCGGTCAGCATGATGTGCCTGCTCAGCATGCCGTAGATGGCTCTGTTTCAATTGCTCCTCCATACTTCGACAAGCTAGAATAGCCCGAGAGCACTGTGAGTACGAGAATTGCATGAGCTTGAGGTGACTTCTTGGAGCGCGTCCTCCAATTCTGCTCGTCTCTCCCTTTCTTCGGCAAGCGCCTGAGACCATGCGCATCATTCCAAACGTGAGCCGGGCTGAGGACTCGAGAACCGCACTTCAGCATCGCCCCTGCTCTTTTCTGGGACGTCCTGTGGCACGCGCAGCTAGGTTTTTGCAGGACATGAAGCGACATACACCTCGACCAATTGCGGCACCAGGCGGGATTTCACTGCCTGAGCCGGACATGGCATAGGGAAGCACAAACATACTGCACCATGCACCCAATATTGTCGATGTCGTGCTTCCAATGGCAGCTTGCAATGGGTGTGGGAGGGCATGGTCGTGGCTAAAACAAATTGAAACATGATTGACACATGACATGTTGTCTTCGACGCCTGCGAAGTATAAACGACAAACTGGAACGCACGCAATCTTGACCTTATGTTAGAGGCCCCCGTAGACGGCCACACGGTCTACTTGTGCTGCGAACCCCCTGCTCTCGTCAAGTCGGGTGCATATTTTACAGCCATGGAGAGGAAGGGAAAAACGAGAGACGAAAGACAAGGAAAGAACATAAAAAGACGGAAGAGAAGACCTACATTGAAACTACATGGGTGCCCTGCCTCCATGCGTCGGACAGTTGCTTCAGCCTCCTCTACTTGAAAGCTGAGAACATGGACCTCACAGGTAGTGTGGAGTTACTAATACCCTGTGATACGATGGTCCAGTCACATGGCCTGTTTCCGGAGCGCCGATGCTTCTGCCTCGCTGGCTTCTGGCACGCCAATGCCATCTGATGCGGTCAAGAGCCCCCTTTCCTTTCCATTCTGACCACGTTTTCTGCTGCTCGGCAAATTTGCCAGGCGTGCTCCATGCTGCTTTGAGCGCTGAGCTTGGACGTGTCCTTCATTGTCCTACCGTGAGGCGGCCCGGTTAGCCACCCAATCTTGACCTCGTTGTCCCTGTGCGCAACTCGCAGGAGCGCAAGCATGCCGCAGCTCCCTCGTGTAAGACACTGCTTGCATCTCATCCGCACCCTCAGAAACTGTTCCGGTGTTGATCAGCTCTTCAACCTGTGTAGGTTGCACAACACGCTTCGACTCAAATTAGTGTTGACAACATCGACAGTCTTGTGGACAACATCGCCCGGCCTGCCAAGTAGAGAAGCTTGTTGTTGCCGGAGCTTGGCGGCAGATGCGAGAACCTGGCTCTGTGGTGGCCAAAAATGTTTCCATGCAAACCTGCCGCAAGCTGGAGTGACCTCCTGTAGGCTTGCCTCAGATCAGCTAGTAACTAGCACACAGAGCACCTTCCAATTCCGCAAAATCATGTGGCTCTCATGCGCACTAGCTGTCGTTTGCAATTCAAGCTTGGGCCAGCGCACCCACAAAAGATGCACTCTGGAGTATTGCATGTGACCTCTGTGCGGCAGAGAAGCTAGATCAGCGTGCAGCGATGCCCAATTCTGGACCTCAATGCCAGATTATTGCAGATCAACTTCAACAGACCTTGCACAACAACTGCCTGGATAAGAAACACCCTTCAAGAAATCAGGTTTCCGACAGCACCCGAACTGCTGCTCGTCTGGGGCTTGTCCTCTCCGTAGTCTCTGCAGCTGCATTCATTGCTGCAGTCCCACCCATGAAGCACGAAACGACCTACCATGAAGCCAGGGTGCCATAAGAATTGAAGCTGCGCCTGACCTCAGACCGCGTCTGACTCGCTGTGCTCGACTTGATCTGAAGACCGAGTCGAATGGTACCAAATATGACCAAATTCTATCAAGACTATGCTAAGCTCCAAGCAAGGAGCCGGCGTCTCCGGAAGTCGAGACCTGTGTGTTGATATCACATCTGACCAGCATCAAGTAGCGAGATGTCACAAGCCAAGCGTTGCACAAAGTTACACACCTAGGGTTACTGCCGAAGATACATGCCGGAAGCTCTCTACAAAAGCAGGATGACACTGCCTCCAGGCTTTGAGCCTCGCGTGAGAGTCCTCCAGCGCCGCTGCCAAGCCTGGGTCGATGGCCCGGGGAAGTTTCCTTGTAGGTGCCCCCAAGCGAAGCTGCTATCACACCTCTGGGAACAGTACGGACTTGGCGCACCCCAATCCTGGGTTGGGCGGTTGGGCTGTATGGGCTGTATGGGCCTGGATCACATGTAGCTTCGCTTGGAAGTCTGAGGAAGAGTCGCTGCGGAAATCTTCTGACACCTCCATTCCAAGAGGTGCACCGAAGATCACAGTGGAATGGACACAAATCGTGCAGAGGCAGAACTGGCCGGACTGGGCGGACAATATCAAAAACTCCTGCGAACTCTGTGTTCCCTGTGCCTCGCTGATGTTGCTTGAAGGCGGCTCGAGTTCCAAACCTTTGGAATCCTCCAAAAGCACGCAGAAAGTGCACGTTCACAGGACCAGTTCACGAGGCCGCATCACGCAAATGCGGCACGCTTCCTCTTTCAAGCCGCCCAAGCCAATTCCTCCCAAAGCCCAACATGATGTCAGGCTTCACCCCACTTGTGGAGCAAGCCTGTGACAGTTTGCACAATCTACGCCCTATGCAGCCAGGGGGTGCACGTGTCCTCGACTCGCCGATGCTACAGTCAGAGTCTGGGGAGATTTTGAAGCCCTCGGATGTGCATGGGGAAGTGCGACATAGATGCAAAACAGAGCGAGCGGCACTCAAGCAGCAAAGAGCCAATTGCCCACTGCGTAGTCACTGGGTGTCCATGCTCAGCAGCACCAAGGATACTCAGGTACTGGGTTCAGACAAACTCAGCTGCTGGCACTGTTGAGTTCGCCTCTGTGGGCGCCGTCACGATTATGGGCACAGGTTCTGTTGTGGCCTCCGACGTCACAATGAAGCAACTTGGCACGTTTCTACCGAATAAATATTCAGGCCTGGCAGCCTTGTCAACTTAGTTGACTGAACACTTTGGGTGGAACATGTGGGTCATGCGGGATGTCGCGGGCCTTGTCGCTGGAGGATTCTCCTGCGAGAGCCTTTTTGTTACCTCACGATCACGAGAAAATCAAGGCGTCCCATGCTTGCCACGGTTTGGCCCTTGCCTCTCTCGGATGAGGAATGGGCCGAGTGGGGGCTGGATCTAGCAGACCTGCACTAGAGAGGCTGTCGGCTCACAGGCATCCGAAACTGCGAATCAGACCCGGGCGAATCAGACCAGGCGGCTTCTGAATTTATTGCCTGGGCAGCTTCGTGCTCACATTGCTCACACATGTGCATTCCGCAAGATGTCCGGGACATCTAGGACCACAGCCTTTCTGGAGCTTGCCTTTCAATCGCAAATTGTTCATGACATCTCCCTCTTTGCGCCTCTTTCGGTCTATGCACGGCACAGCAGTCTGTCACATCCGACCACAAACGATTTTTGGCCCAGAGTTCACCTCCTGTTTTGCTTGTTGTTTTCTGGCAAACCATCAGGGCGGAACAAGGAGACGAAGCCGTTGCGCCCAGTGCCGCGCGTCTGTCTGAAGAATCCTAAAACAGTCGACCAAACCAGTCGACCAAATGTTTTAGCAAAGTGAAGGCACACGACTTAGTCGGCCTTCGGCACTGGCTTTTGTCCCGAGCTCGGTACCCGGCTGCAGGTACTCGACTGGCAATTTAGAGGAGGGGCTTAGCGGAATCGTGCACCGCTCGGGCTTCGTTACGCATGTCACCGTGACGTCCCCATGCTCGCTGCTCTTTCATGCCCATTGGTCCAATGTGATGCGGCATGTCCGAAAAGGAAAAGAATGCACAACCCATGTGAAGCGCACCCAGTGTTGAGCTGAAAACACCCTGTGCTGCCAACAGCAAGAATCAAGCACAAGTAGCATCTCCAGGAGAAGCTACAAAGTCTAAAAAGGAATCTGCAGTTGCCCCGGCCTCAGAATCACTTCCAACCATTTCCGACACGAAGCTTACATCCCCGTCATCATCCTTGCCATCCTTTGCGATTGCTCGAACCATATGACAAGAAGATGTTGGCTCCAGCACCTCCTTCACCATGCCCTCTGCCATCTCCCCAGCAGGACCTGGAGAGCATACTGAGACAGTTACTGAGACCTTCTCGAAAGCAAAGCCACTGCAACCCTTCTGAGATCCTTCAAGCTCAGGTGATGGCCCGGCTTCTTGTCCTGCGCAGGAACGGACTTTTCCTTCTCGTCGGCATGCTCTTTTGTGTCTTTCTTCTCCTGCAGCGAGGTCTGAGAAGCCTGTTTTCGTGGTTCGTCTTGGCTCCTTCCATCGTTCGCACGGTCTGCTACGTTTTGGCTGACGGGTGCTTGTCTTGCAGGGCCCCATGGATTGGAGCAAATCTCCTTAACAACTGCTTCAGCAAGGGAGCCGAAGCCGAACTACTGCTGCGAAAATACACAGATCTCCTAAACCCACCCTGTCGGTGAAAATTCCTTGAGGTCTCCGACACCCTGCCGAAGGATGCTTGATGATCAGTTTTGGCGATCAGTTTTCGCGACCCATGATGATTCAAAACACTGCCAACAAGACGATATTCCACATGCTATCGATCTCCTTCCGGTGCTCCTCCAGAAGCTTCCGGTATTGGCCGTCCTCAAACAAGATTCGACTCGGACTGTCGCACTACCAGAGACGCCAGTGCAGCTTCCTGCGATCCGGAAATGCCCTCCCAGGGCTGCGATGCACCTGAGGAGCACGCGCAGGGATGGTCCCAGGAGCTTTCCTCCGTCTCGAAATTGAAGTAGAACACCTGCACGGCTTGTTCTTTTTTGCAAGCCCACAAGAAGTCCCTAGGTGCTCATCTGCTAAACGAAAGGGAGCAGCAGCTCAGCAAGCTACCTCACCCTTCTCCGTGCAGGTTTTCCACCTTGGGACCAGATACATTGGGTGAACCCAGTTGCACATAGTTGCGCTGATTGCACAGTGTGACACAGCAAGGTACATGAGAACAACGAGACTAGGCACGGGTGGGGCACTGGAGCAGAGATGCCCTCTCGTGCTATCCACAGCAAGTGCCTGTCGGGTGCATTGCCAAGGTGGTCATTAAAGCTGGAATTCAAGCTTGAACCACCTCCCCCTTCCAAGACCCATCAAAGTCCCTCCCCCGCAGGTTACCCCTCATCGAACCGGATACAATGATGAACTCAAGCCCCGATGCCGATTGTGTGCTGGTAGGTGCACTGTACTTGCAGTGTGCATGAGGTTAGCAGTCAGCAGGCAAGCGTCATGTCAGCATACGTCTGGCAAACAAGCGCAGGCCTCTCGGTTTCAAGGTCCATGCCCAGATACTCTGCATACTCCAAGACCTTGCCAATGACGGCTTGGCCAAGCAAAAAATAGTACAATGCAGCCATCCTCCATGTCCCGGGCCTGCTCCTCCGTGGGGGGTCCGTCCTGCACAGACAAAAGATCTGTCCAGCAACGAACCTCGAATGGTATCGAAAACATTACGAGTAGTGTCACACAGAAACAGGAACTCGCAGAGAGTGCGGATCCTCATCTTCCAAGACTTCGATCTCCGACCTTGGCAGTTGAGCAGGTGGAAAGCTACGTTGGGGCACCAAGGATTCAGAAAACGGCATGATGCTTCACCCTGATCCTCCGCTCGTCGATATCAACCGCACAACCATACACAATACCGACAGCCGTGGCAAGCTTCAACGAAAATACGGAGAGGTTGGGGGAACGCGAGCGGACAGCGGCATCACGACGGATCACACTGGAGACACACGACATGCATTGCCTGCCAACCACGAGCACACGCATTCACGCCGTGTCAGGTACCACATGCATCCAACGCATGGGCCTACGGAGCAATGCTGCGTGTCACCAGCAACTGAGCACTTGAGTATATCTGGTGTAAATTGTCATGGTCATAAGCCTGTACGAGTATGAACCAGGGAGGGATTGATTCAATTTTTGTTCTTGCATTTCAGCTGATGGTACGTCGAGACACTTCCCTTCGAAATTCTCACCGCGCATAGGCTGACATAGACTTGACGAGCTCTGTTGACAGAAGAGTCGGTATGGGTGCGTCTGCCCTTCTGCGTCTCCGTGATTTTCTGCCCTCTGCTGCATGTTGTGCCAGCAGTGTTTGGCAGGCGGCGGAGGGGTCTGGCTCAAGCTAGCATAGCTCAGGGAGAGACAAAGGCCTGGGTTGTGTATGGTCAGCGCTGCTCTGAAGCGCAGCACTGAAGCGAGCCATGACACAGGGGCCAGAACAGGGCAATGGGCACGGCCAGCCCGAACATCAAGCACCTATCTTCACCACAGTCTCAGTCGCGGACTGGGATCCCGTGCTGGCCTAAGCGATTTTGAGCGACCAGAGATCCGGAAGTATCCCGAGATGTGCATCCACTGCATCCGAGGACCTAGCCATCCCGTGGTCGGAGCACAGCGAGACTCAACTTGTTTCTGCCATGCGAGGAAGCATCGTCACAGCTGTGGTGCTGTTAGTGATGGCTTCAGGCTTAGCACGCTACGGTCCAAGTTGGTTGTCCACCTTCATTTGCACACTTCAGGATTTTGCTTGAGCCACAGGAGGTGGAGTCTGGAGTTACATTAAATGAAATCAAGCCTCAGCATCGCCACATCCGTGCAAAAACACATTTATGGAGCTCTGCCTGCGCAGCCTCTGCAGCAGCCTTGTGAGCTATGACTGCCTGAACGTGAACGAACTATAAACGTTCGCTTTCAAGATCGGACAGCAAAGCTTTTGCCTCCACAGAATCATCGCGAGCCGCCTTTCCACTCACGCAGGGACAAGGTGCTTTTGACATAAACACAGCTTATCTGCAGGAATATTGGCTGAAGCCCCTGGCCTTCTTCGAGACTCGGCCTAAAGCTGAACGCTCGCGTTCCTGCATTCTTCACCGGCAGGCTCTCCCTACTACTACCTACTACTACCTACTACTACCTGCTACTCCCTACTACCTACTACTACCTACTACTACCTACTACTACCTACTACTACCTACTACTACCTACTACTACCTACTACTACCTACTACTACCTACTACTACCTACTACTACCTACTACTACCTACTACTACCTACTACTACCTGCTACTAAAGTGCTTGGGCTTGATTGGATATGCTGGATGCTACATGGTTTCCTGAAACTACCGCCTGCAAGGACTCGCGAGAGCCATAAACTACTGGCACTGAATCCCGTGTCCTTGCGTTTGGATGCCTCTGCCAAAGCCTGTTCCAGGCGGCCTTTGATTTTCTCCAGGTCCTGCCCCAAAAGCTAAGGTGACTTGCGCTTGTGCCATCAGAGCAGCTGTCCCGTTCTCGTTGCCGCGCTGCCGTCTGCACGACAAGGAGGTGCAAGCAGAACAACAGCTGGACAAATTGAACGACAACAAGATGTACAGAAGTGGCCTCAGCTTTCTGAGCCCTCACAGTCAACTCCTGCAGTTGCTTGTCGCGGGAGGCCTGAGCTGAACAGTGAAGTTTCCACGCGGCGCTTTATCCAAACGTTCCGCGCCTGAAGAGATGGCCTGGCACGTGTGCATGCATGCAGTAAAACTGCGTCATTGGTGGACCGGGGTTGGCCCAATGACTCCACAGACGTTCCAGCCTTGTGCAGGGCGACGGACTCGAACTGCCTCGCTTCTTTCCAACAGGAAGGTGGCCTACACAGAAACCCCAAAACCAAACAAACCTTCTCCTTCACTCACAAAAAAAGTACATATGCGTCGCATATGCGTATGCGTATGTACATATATGTATATATATAGATATGCATTACTTCAGTCAAAGTCGGAATGTCCATAGTAAAAGGCCTCTTTCGAGGCCTGCTTGTTCGTAACAAAATGTAACGAAATCTCACAAGGACTTTATAATCAGAGGTTAAAGTTTCAGAAATAGAACGTGCAAAAACTCAGGTGTTTCCTGTATTCTTTGCACGGTTTTTCACATAAAATCAGACCTCCCGAAAAAGGACTTTGCCGCACATGCTCAGCATGTCATCCTCATCGGTATTTCCGAAGGTTTTCGTAGGACACAGGAAAAACTTAGAGCATGGCGGGGGGGGACAGAAAATATATGTGTATATGTATATATAGTTATATAAATATAAATATGCATATATGTGGATAGCTGTGGATATAGAAATACACATATGGTCACCGCCCAAAAAAACACCTCTCAGTTCTTTCTACACAGATATGGATAGAATATGATGATTGGTATGTACTGACTAGAAACACTGCTAATCCCATGATTTTTCATATTATCCAAAAATCGATATCATATATCAGCATATATATATATATATCTCTCTCTCTATATCATATACTTCTGCTTAGATCTACGCTGTGTTTCGATCCTCTCGGTAGTGGCTCTTGGGCGCGAACTCACGGGCAGCGGGGACCCGAAAGAACCGAAGCTGGTGTCGCCGCTGCTCCTCGTGACGGCTTTCGCACTCTACTCTCAACATCGCCTAGCATGACTCAACAGCACTCAAAGCCACAAAGCCCTATGAAGAGGCAGAAAGTCGTAGCGGCTTTTCTAAGCAACCGCACACACTGTCGGCCACACAACAATATAAAGTGAAACGCTGAATCGAGGATCGTCTGGATGTGCTGTCGCAAGCTGTCACACGCTGTCACCGAGGCGTGTCGGTAGAGAGCTTTCCGGACCTTCGAAGACTTCGCATGGCTTCTCGAGACTCAACTGCAAGGAAGCCCAACAAGCCAACAAGCCAGGTGGGGAGCATCTTGGCAACATCCTTCCGCTTGGACTGTGAACGTGCTGCGGTGCGCACTATCCTTGGCCGCACGTAGATCAGTAGTTCTTTCGAGGCGCAACAAAGGCTAAAGCTACGCATGCTACACAACTGAGCCGATGATATGACTGCATGCGCACTTTATTCCAGGGGGTGCTGAGGCCGCATTTTTAGCCTTTCAGAACACCTGCTTTCCAGTCAAGGCACGCATCTCTCTTGGAGAGATTTTGCTCGCGCCCTTCACCTGTAAGCAGTGAAGAATGGCAAAAGTGTCGCAGAGCAAGAAGTGTAAGGAAAGGACAAGCGGAATGGCAAGCACCAAGCGACTAAGCCCCAGCCTTCCTCAACAGGCGGCATCAACTCGGACAGCCGACCGATTAAAGCAGACTGAGGAGAGGTCCTGAGTGCTTTTCGTGTTGTCGCATCATGGCATCTGTGTGCATCTGTGTGCATCTGTGTGGGCCGCGGAAAGGAAACACTCAGGGACTCTCGGGCTCGCATTTCTGGCAAGAACACCCAGGCCGCTGCAAAGCTGCCGAAATCAGGACACGAGCCGCAGCCAACACCCAGGCCCAGAAACGTTGCTAAGCTTCGGCTTCGAGGAGTTGCTGAATCTTATGATCCTAGTTCAAGAACAGCAGGGCCAGGCAGGGGGTGAATTCGGTCTTGACAGCGTCACGCATCTCATGCTTGTCTTCACTCATAAGAATCATAAGACTTCAGATTGGCAGGACCCCATGCTCGTTCCCTTCCTCCCAACATCTCCCAGCTGTCCTGCCCCGGGGTTTCTGGAGAGGTCCAAGACCTCTCGCGCCGGGGCCTGAAAACTGTCCTCCCCGACTCTCCGCGTAACACTTCGGCAGAAGGCCCCCCGCGAAGTTCTGGAAGCGTGGGAAAAAGGTTCTTTCGGGTCCCACCTCTTACCTGGGGCAGCTGAGCATAGAGTGCCCCCTTGTCATGGCCAAGGCGGACAGATGCGGACAGAGCATTCGCAGTTGTGCGGGGTTGCTAGAGCAGGTTGAGGAGGAAATTCACACTCTGCATCACTCTGCATTAGCTGGCGTCGGAGCTGGGCGAGGCTAGCTCTGAATGGCAACCCGGCCACTGAGAAGCATCCAGCATGGTGGACTTCATGTGGTCTCCAGTTAAAGGAAACACATGCGGCCACAGCTCGTATGCCCGCAGATCACCCTGCCCAGGCTGCACACCGGCAAGAGATCGCAAGATTCGAAGTGCTAGTGTCTCAATGGCGTTTCCGCTCGCCTGTGACAAGAGCATGCCGTCGATGTCACTGATGGGCTGGCTCTGCAGATGTGCCAAGACTGCTGGGATGGAATCAGCCTACCGTGCGGCAGATGTGTGACACATTTGGGAAGATGTGCGCGACAACAGCTCATAGTGTCGCATGCATGCATTGCGAGCCTTGACAATGTATGCTCCGGTCCCGGCGTAGTGATACGCTGGGCCCCAAAAGTGCCACCAGAATGTTTCCTGTGCGGAATCGGATGCAGCATAGCATTGCAGTATCAAGAGCAAGGCACTTCTTGCGATCTCGCCTTGAAGGGCGTTCGCATCAAGTATGCATCTGGACAGCTTCTGTCGTCCGGTGTCTCCCCATGCGAGTCGTGGCCGAACTCTTGCTGGAAAGCTTTCTCCAACTGGCCCAGCAGACTGCTCTGACTGCTCTCGGGATGGGACTTGGCGAGCACCTGCCAGGGAATCACATCGAGTCCCGAGTCTTCGAACCTCGAAGCTGCCTTTGCCGCCGTTTGAAGAAGACGATGGTTGGATGTGGCATTCCTAGACAAGCACCCCAGCCAACTACTGCTGTCTTTATGCAGATCACACGTTGGTAGACTGGCACTGGGCAGCGTTCTGTCGTGCACCTTTGCGCGTCGGGGCTCCATACAAGATCCTGAGCCACATCCCCCACGCAAACGGTCCAGGAGAATGAGAACTCTGCTTGCCTCGACATCCAACCACCTTGACCTCGGCAGCGCGAAGCAGTAAAGATTAGAGCGCTATCTGAAAGCATTGGGTCGGGTCTCACATGTGGGCCGTGGCTCTCGCACTACCTCCAGCTGGACCGTGTTGACGCTGCTTTTTGATAATTTCGTCTGAGCATGAGGCTCTGCAGCCACGACATCAGTCCCAAGCTGGAGGAGTTCATGATGCTGCCCCTTTCTCCTGGAGCATCACCATTTGTCGGCCTTTTCTGCCGAAGCAACGCTTGCAAAGAGAAGTCGAGTCCTGGCTTCAGCTGAAGATCTGAAGCGCGGTTGAATCCCCAACCGGACACCTACGCGACACCCACACAACACCCACGCGACACCTACACTGCCGTTGCCCCCAACCACTCTCACTATGCTGCACCGGTGAGCTCGGGTGCATTTCAGCGCTGGGCCTTCAGCAAGCTCCAGTCACTGGGGGCACAGTCCAAGGTGTTGTCAATCAAAGCCTGCCAGTTGTGCCTGGGTGGAGTTCTTGCGAACACTTGAGACTGCCACACTACGATTCGATGAGGCTGGCTCGGTATCTCCACATCGTCCTCGAGGACCTCAGAGGTGCAGCCAACAATTCTACCGCTCGACACCTCTCGACGTGACAGCATCCCGACTGCAGCTGTGCCCCGTGCAATGGCTATCTGGCCTGGCCGCAACTGCCTCAACTCGGAAACGAAGCAGTCACCATGCGTGCTTAGCGTCAGAACGCCATGTGCGTGAGAACTCAGGGTGCCTGTGAAGCATCTCGAGCAGCTCAGAGTGGCTAACGTAGCAAGCCTCAGCCACAAATCGCGCTCCCAGCACTCGAAGCCATCCCCACACCCCCAAAGGCCATCGAAGTCACAGTGCCACTATGTGGAGACCACGAGCGCTCAGTCTGTGAAATATACGAAAGAGTCTCTGGTCAAAAAGTGGCACCCAGTTTTGCAGATGCTCTGAAGTGCACGATTGAGGCCAGTCTCAGCAATGCCGTGAGCAGTCGCAACAACATCAACAATATCTACACTGTCGGAATGCATGTTCATGCTTTTCTGGAGCTGGGAATATCACATGTCAAACTTTAACAGGAGTACGATTGCTAAGTCTCAAGGGCTCTGGCAACGGTTGCATTGGGCACATGGTCCTGCACGCTCTGCAGGTAGCTGACAAACTGACGTGTACAACAGCGCATGCACGGGGACCTGCTGGCGCTGAGCATCGAGAAGCTCGCTGGCAAGATTTTGTTTCTTGACATACTTCTGGTCGAACCTTCGCACAGGTACAGTCGGTACACCTGGGCGATATGTGACCAAGCTGAATATCTCGAACGATGAGAGCAGCACTCACCAGAGCTTACACGATTGCGGTCGATTGCCTCACAGCATGGCTTCGACAACCTTTAAGGCTGCCTCACAACGCACAAGGCCGCCTTGAACCTGTGCAACGTCATCTTGGCAGCTCTCCCCTGGCAATCCACTCAGGTCGAAAGCCGATGGCAGCACTCAGGTCCACGACCTGCTGCTCCATGTGCGCGCGGCGCTTCTCCTGTTCTCAAGCAGTCAAGCAGGAAGATCTCACTCTCCCACTCGGCATGGGCACTGGGCGCTGTCCTCGTCATCTGTATTTATGTAGTACACTACCAGCTCTGGCTTCGACTGGGTCAAAGTCACATCCCGCTGGACCAAAGACACCTACAGGGGCTGGGCCGGCTGGGCCGGCTGGGCCGGCTGGGCCGGCTGGGCCGGCTGGGCCGGCTATGTCGCAGGGTTCAGAGCATCACAGCGGGAGGGGGGTGGAGGGAGAGTGGGGAGAGGGGAGAGGGGAGATGGAGGGGAAGGATCCAGAATCAAACTGAAGACTCCAAACGAAAGCAAGCCGATTACTGTGGCAGTAGCAGAGCCACAAATGCAACAGCTGTCAGCTACGCATTCTTCCGAGCCTCGCCATGCGCAGAGATGGCAACCGAAGCAGAAGTGTCAAGGCTCCCGGCGGGCAAAACAAGAATGCCAAGAAGGCCAAGCCACGCCGGCATGGCACCTCAGCTGCCCTCGAGCCCTGAAGGTTGAAAGCAGTGCCATGAGAACCCTACGAGAGGGTTCAAATTCAAACTCGTGAGCACGGATGGGAGCACAGTTTTGTACGACACAAAAACACCCAAAAATCTCATGCTGGGCGATACTTCGACAGGCACCAAGGCTCCGGCTCAGCTCTTGGAAGGGCAAAACATGAACGTGCACGGAGAGGAAACCGTGTTGAAGCACGGCTTCCGCAAAGCTGCAAAGCTTGAGCCGAGAAGAGCAAACCATGGCAAACCCAAGCTGCAATCGACCGTGCAATCACAGCATCTGCAGTCCTCTACGAACTAGTTTGCAGTGTGAGTTGTATCACCGTCAAGCACCGAAGGCTCCCGCTGCCTTCTTCCTGCAGTTCCTGCTCTTTGCGCCTCTCTGGCAGCTTTGAGCTCCTCCTCAGCACATGGACAGCACAACCTGCACGTCACACGCACTCCAGAAACGAATGGCTCCTGCAGCTTCGTGTTCTCATGAAGCAAGCTGTGAACTCGACCATCCCGTTTGCATCTGTCCTGAGGACAGGGAAAGATGAGCCACCGAACGCGATGCCACGAGCCTAAGCCAATCCTCGGTCCGCTCGCCCAGCAAAGCTTGCTGAAGACGCCGGCCACGATTCTCGTAAGCCAACAATACCTTCTGCAGGTTCCCGTACCGATCTGATTTGAGATTCGTGAGCTTGATCATGCTGGAAAAGTTACGATAATCCACGCCTCAGCACATGTGGTCCACAGACCATGCCCATCGGCAACAATTTGAGTTAGCTGTTCACCTGACGCATCTTCAAAAGCATCATAATCATGATGAGGACCAGTGACTGCTCAGTGACTGTTGCACTCTTCGCACCTGGGAAGTCTTTGGCATCCTTCGACGTCAGAACGTGCTGAACCTTGCCAGAGCTTCCCAGGATCAGGACAGAGCTCAAGCAGTCTGCCTTCTGCCTCGCGGAAGCCGTTCCGCCTCAGGAGGCTAATCACATGCTTGAAGTCACCGATCATGGGCTCCTCTGCAGAAGAAGCGCTCAAAGTCGGCTCTCAAAGTCGGCTCTCCAGAGCATATTCTCGTCTTGACTTCGGGTGTCCCCAGCCCCGTCATCAGCCCATCATCCCCATCATCCCCATAGCAAACCGCGTCTGCCGTGTCCCATATTGTCAGGTTCTCGCCTCCTGCCTCCGATGGACGTGTTCTCGTGTGCAGCATCAAACTACCCCAGTAAAATAAAATGTGTATAACATTATTTTGCTTCGAACATCCCCACCTTAAGGATTTGGATTGGGCACTCCAAGGAGTCTCTGGGGTTGGGCACTCCAGGGGGACTCTGGGGTTGGACACTCCAGGAAAACTCGCAGGTTTGGCACGCCAGACAATCTGGCATTGGGCACTCCAGGAATTCTCTGGGGTGGGCACTCCAGGCAGTCTCTGGGGCTGTGCACTCCAGGGAGTCTCTAGGAGTGGACCGGGCGAGGAGAAGGGTTGAGTTTAAAATCTAACAACGCCATACCGAAGGTGGGGAATTTCGCTTGTGTCAGATTCCCATCCTCCAGCCAGTTGCACAACAACATCCCGCAAGGCCACATCAGCTTTGTGTGCGTCTCTCCCCGAAAGGATCTGCAACTGGAGATCCAGACTTCGTGAGAATGGACCAAATATGTACCAGCGGCTGCCTCGACATGCAGAGAGCTCGAGTAGTGGTCATTGGCGGCCTGAAGAGGAACATGTCGGGCTGCAAGCTCCTCTCTTCATTGATTTCCAGCATCAATGACTACTGCAGCTGGCATGTTTGCTATGTGTCCGGCAGTGGAATGCTCGTACGAGTCTCCTTCACACAATAAATGTGACGCTGCATAATGACTCGACATGCAAAGGTGAACTGCAGCACAAGCTGTACAAGCTTTTTGTTTCGCAGGCGCTGCTTGGAAACAATGAAGGTAACACAGTGTTCGAAGCGGTCACGTAACGTGCCCCAGATCTGGTGCAGCCCACTCGGAGGGTTCGAACCAGCCTGCCCGATCCAAAAAAAGCAAGAAACATCTGTGGGGATATATTGGGCCACGCAGCCTGTTGGTTACAAAGGTACTTGTCTTCTCTGCTCGAAATTCTCAAGCTCTCAACTTTGCTTTTTCATCTGCAGCACTGCTGGGTGGCTTGACTATCTTGCCTTCTTAATCACTGTCTGATGAAACCACAAATTTGCGTACAGTCTATGAAGCCGCGAAGGAGACAAGAGCGAAGCGATATCTCTCTTTCTTGCTGAACTGCTGGGACATGTGCATCAGGATCATCGTAGACGCCCTCCATAAGCGTTGAGGTTGGCTTCACCGAGGCCACGTGCCACCACACGGGTGAAACGCCTCTGATATACATACTTCTATTGGGACACTGGGCATCCCACCACCTTGACTCACCAGCTCCAAGAAAGGAGGAATTTTTGCAACTCCAGATCTTGCAAGGTGCTTGCACATTCCTCCATCTTGTCGCGTTTGACCAGCAGCAAGTGCAGGGACGTCCACGCTGGAGCCAGCCGTGGCCGTCCCCTGTGTCCCCATGCTGGAACATGTCAAGACCACGACACCAAGGACAAATCAGGGACTTGTTACAATCAATCAGACGTGGACAAAGACAGGCCAAGGCATGTCTGGCCATCATCTTCACTGCTGGACCGGGCCACCTCATCGATTGGAATCCGCAAATCCTAGACACTGCTCGTCCCAGCGATTTCATGGGCAGAGCCCATCACGAAGATCGAGCAGATTTTCTGCACGTTGGAAGGATCCACGTCAAGGGCAACAGCCAAGATTTTCATGAGCCCCAAAAAGTTGGAGCCCTGTCTAGAAACATGGAAACAAATGAGCAGATGCAGGGAGTTCAATGTGGTGTTTGTTGGCTCATGTTGGCGGAGCCATGCCTCCCATCTTGAACTTCACCCCGGTGTCGATGAGTCGCTCCAGGAGGCACGTCCCCCCTTTCAACACAGGCAAGTTCGCGTGATTTTTTTCACTGCATACACTGCACAGCATGCTGCATCACGGCAGCATCATGGGCCTGCGACACTGGGCGTCAGCACTCCCCCCGAATGTTGGAGCCTGGTGCAGGACAACAAATAAGCCGGAGACATGATCCCTAAGATCCCTAAGTCCCCCTAAGTGTCTCCTCTCATCTCTGCTCCGACTCTTTCCCATTCTAAGCCTGTCGGAGTCGAAGCGCAGAGTCAGCGCCATCTCCACCTGAGCTCTGACTCCCGCGTCTCCCACGACCCGCTCGCCTTGAAGACAAGGAATCAGAAGGACATGCGGAGCTGCGGCTGGGCCGCAGCGACTCGGGCTGATTCGAAGTAGCCATCCGCCGCAAGGATGCTGCACTTTTCCTTCGAAGGATGCCCAGACACTGCTGCAATCTGCAACACAGCACTGCCACACTACAAGCGATGCGAGGTGACATGGACGGCCTGGTGCCCATCCACGGACTCAGCGTGGAGGAAGTAGCCAGTCCACGCACTCATGTCCTGCGAGGTGGAGTGAAATTATCGCTGTGCTCTATGTTCAAGTTTAAATGTCTGAGCCTCCACCGGTGGCCCCTCAACTTGGTGGTACTCCTGCCGGACTTCGCAGACAAGAAGAGTGTCCGTGCTGACGTGTGCTACAACTGCTACGAGTAGCAGCAATTGCCCGTGCAGTTGTCCTTGCCCTCGATCTTCAGAACGCGCAACTCTTCGTCTAACGTGATTCCGTATTGGCCGAAAGGAGCCAAAGCCTCACAAAGACTTGCAGAAGATGTTCAAAGTTTGAAGGCCATGGCAATGCAATGCAGTCCTGCCCATCTGGCATCGCCTGATGCAACTGGATGATTGTACTGGTCTTGGCCAAGTTGGCAACACACTTCTGTTTACTTGCCGGCCTTCAACTGGTCTACGCGCTCTGGGGGCAGCATCGCAAACTCTGTGAAGTTGAATGTAAGGCCATATGGCTCGTTCCTGGAAGCATGCATCGTGCCATGTCCACCATATTGCATGCCTTGCAGCTTCCTGCATCTAAGTGGCGCCAGATCTGCCTGCAGCATGTTCGACCGCCGCACCAGCCGGGTGTCAAAGAAAGAGTTGACGTAGGGAGCTCGCCAAACACCAAGCTTTTTGTCCTTGTCGAAAGCGCCTATCCACTAGTCCAGTCAGCGTGTTCCGTGAGGGTCCTCTGAAATCTTCGCCATCTGGCTGTCCTGGCAGTTTAGCTTCGTTTCCGTTCTTCTCTAAGGCCCTTGGCTACCATGACTGTATGTCGCTGAATTGCAGGTGAAGGTGGTGTCACACACCCTTAAGCAAACAACAGAATACTTCGACACCAATAGGAGTCATAAATCAAAAAAACTATTTAAAAAAAAAAAACACACACACACACACACACAGAGTGAATGACATCCTCAAGCCTCAGCCGTAAAATCTTCCACCGTCACAACTGCAAGGACAAACTAGAAACCAAAGCGGCATTGAAGAAGACGCAACGACACTCCAAACACCTATACATCCAAAAGCAAGTAGTCTTCACCTTGACATGCGCACGCTCCTGATCTTCCACGCGAGGTTTGGGCGTCACAAGGCCCGTGCCCATCTGAATGTCCACTTGCTTCACCTCAAGTCCAGACATGGACCCACAGAGTCACAGAGTCGAACACGAACTGTCCTTCTGCAGCCAAGCTGCCCCGTTACGGTCGAACTGTGGGATGAAGCCACCCATCCTTGAATCCAGAGATCGAGTTTAGGTTTAGTCCAGCACAAGATTTAAAAGTACTGTCCAACGGTCACTCTTGCCGCTCCGCTGCGAAAATGGGTCCAACATTGCACCAGCTACCTTTGCAGCTGAAAGCACGAAAAGCCCCGAACTCTACAGCAGGACTCATACAAATGCTGGCTGTTAGGCTGCCTCTGCTCCCATGCTGCCGTCTGATGCAGCACTTAACGCCGCCCTTGTTTTCAGCGTGCCACCAGACACGCCAGCCACATGACCGGCACCTCACACACGAGCACAACCGCCTCCAAGTTCAAGGAGTCAAGCCGGTGCCTCCGCAGTAGCACACCGCAGATCGAGTGGCCTGGAGAACGCATCAGTCAATGATGCACTGGATCGCACCCCGATTTACACAAGCCTGCCTGTCCAACACTCTCCTGCAGCAGCAGAAGCGTGATGCGGCCAATGCGGCAGCTCGCAACTGATTACCGACAGGAGCGAGCGAGAGAGAGAGTCCTTGAAGCTCTTTGCCAGCATGTACACGCCAAGATCAGGATATGCACTTCCACAGCAGGAAGGGACAACCGTCACCCCAGCCTTCAGACCACACTGCAGTCAATCCGGAGAGGATGATGTGCACAAATGTGTACTGGCAACCAGCTTCAAGGTAAACTGGGGAGGAGACATCTCGTGCATACCGATGAAGCTCCTGGCAACCCCATGGCTACAAGACCTTGTCACGTCCTGTCACATTGCTGTGAACTAGCGAGTTTCTAGTAAACTGCGGCCTTCACGCGGAGGCTCCAGGGAACCTTCCCCAAGCATGCGAACTTCCTCTTGCCTAAGCTATCCTACAGAGCTTGGCGGCCTCCATGCTGACATCCACATAGTGCGCTTTGCACCAGATGCAAGCATCTACCAAGACCTGTGAGGCGTTCAATCTCACCATGCGATGATGCCATGGCACTGCCTGAAATCTTGCTGGCCTCACCCTCTGCCAACATGTAAGGGCCCGCGACGTTGACCACGACATGTGCGCTCCTCGCTCGAAGAGCTGTACTTCCCAGCATAACTTCGGCATTGAAAAGATGCCAAAGGACCATGGAAAGTCTTTGCATACATCCGTTGAGCCAGATGATGCAGCTGATGCAGCTCAGGCTCTTCACCAGATCTACAATTGAGACCACGTCGTCATAGCTTGCTGAGAGGACAGGCGCATCCTGTGAAAGGGGACAAGGAGGGAAGATGTGAGATGCCAACACGCAGCATGTGCAGCCGAACTCCTCCCAGGGTGTGTCTTTCAGCTCTCGGTCCCGCATTTCTGCCACCTGACAAGTGAGGAGCAATTGAGGAAAACTACAAGTGCATCTCACGGCAATAGTGCTCAGCATTGTTCGGTAGTGATGTTGAAGGGACAAAAGCTTCCCTGGGCATGGTCGCATACATGTGAAGCCGAAAGAGGACAGCAAAAATGAATAGCTAAGTGGGGCGAGTGACGATCATAGTGTCGTAGCGAGCAAGCCATCAAAATACTCTGTAGCAACTAGTGTAAACTCTTCCAACTTCACCATGCCACCTTCGACATTCGAAAGCTCTCTATTTGCCCTTGGTAGAAGTGGCCTTGGTGGCAGACCGGCCGGCCAAGGCAAAGGTAAACTGCTGCTTGTTGGGCTGCAGCGCGTATCGCTTGAGGTACCTTGTCATGTCACACTTTATCCGGTCCCCCAGCAAGACACTTGACACAGGGCACTGCATCATCAGGTAGCCCTGGTAGCCAGAAGCTCCGTAGAACACAACGTCAAAGCGCTTTCCGTCCCACCTCAGATGACCCTAAGCCCACAAACTCGGTGCTACTCCAGGAGCTCGAAGACACTGAGATGACGACTGGCTCGCCCAGGTGAAGTCCTTAGCATGCTGCAAAATGCAAGTCACAAGTCCCACCCGAAGAGCGGCACTGAGCTTCGGACCATAAAGTGAAGCCAGTGATCCTCCAAGCGCGCCAGCGCATCTGGATCTGCGTCGCCCACCTCCTCCTGCCCCAATTTTCCGGTTTGAGATGAATTGCACGTGTCGGGTTCCAACTTCGTGATGGATGTTGCAGGCTCCTGGGCATCCACTTTGGCCAAGGAGTCTGCAAGCGCTTCGTACCTGACAGCGTCGGTGGTGCGGTGCTGGATAGCATCGGCAATCGTCATGATTTGGCACAAGCCAACACCGAAGCCTGGACATCATGTCCGCGCTGAAGTACTTCTTCTGAAGGGGCGTCTGCCCGCCTTCATTCTCCTGACAGCAAGGAACCATGCAGTAGAGATGTTCCCTAGCTTCGGCGTGGAAGCTGAAGAGTGCTTCCTGCGCTTGCAACTGGCCGCAATGAGGCAGCAACAAGTCCTGTATGCTCTTCAGTCGTTCTGCCGCAGCCGCGGCGGCCGCTTGAGCTGCGCTGCCTGCAACCTTGACACACTGCAACGGCTGATATGCAAGCCAGTGTGCTGCGACTATGCAGGGGTCCTGCACCATCGTCAGCGCAAGCTGTTCAACATGCCCGCCGTGGCATCAGTGGTTCCATGCACGCATGAGTTGTTGGTCATCGTGTAGTATGGTGGGAGTACATTGGTGGACAACTGTAGGTGTCTTTGCTCATCGTGCGCCCATGAGATCGGAAGATGCTGAGCCCAGTCCACGCATGCAAATAGCAAACGCTAGACACCTGTACTGTCCGCCATTGCAGCTCCAAAGCACTGATGGTCTGATCAGCCTGCTGCCCTTTGGCCAACAACTCCAGACCCCTTGGGTCTGGCATGGCCAAAAATGTATCGTGCGCCCGGTGTCTTTGAACAATGTTGAGCATTTGCTGAACCCGGGTCCTTGCTTGGCAGGGCTGTGGAACAGTGGCCGCCTCAGACGGAACGTAGCTAGGTGATGCTGTTGCATGAGTTCTCCGCGCCTCAGGGGTTCGTCTAAACCTGGCTGCGTTGAGCACAATGTCGCAGAGCAGATGTGAGAGAGGTCTCAGCTGCACACCCTGCCCACTCAAACCGTGTCCTTGTCTCTGCAGCTCCTGACAAGCACACTACATCTGTCACAAGGCTGTGTCAAGTGTGTCCCTGTCCCTCTTGCATTTCGAAATGGCGATTCCTCGGGACTTCCAGGCTCTCCATCCCGAGACACGCCGTGCATTCGGGACAAGGTCGGCTGGTCCGGATGGTCCGGATGGTCTGGCTGGTCCGGATCCTGACAGAACCATATCTCTTGAATTGAAGCCACATCCCCGAACCTTGCGGCCTGCGAGGTCCAGCTTGAGCTTGCAGTTGCACCTCAAGCCGACAAAAGCAAAACCCAAGCAGCGCAGTCCGTCCTTGGCAAGGCCAAGAACAACCAATAACACTCTGTGCTGGCGCATTCGGGCGCGCGAGAAGGTGGTGCCGGAGGCAGCGGGCGATGGACCAACCTCAAGTAGAAGGGTGTTGACAAAGCTTCCAACTGCAGAAACGTCCCACACGATTTCGCGCCTCTTCCACATGTCTTCCCTCACTTTTGCATCAGGCTGTGGGGCTCCAGCCTGAGCAATTCTCTGTACAGTTCGTCACAATTCTGCATTCATCTGCAACCTCTGCACTCATCTGCGACCTCTGCAGTCTGCGTGTCATATCTTGGGGTTCCCCACAGCGGCTGCTGCCACCGAAGCCGCCGCAGCTGCGGCCTCACAGGCACATACAAGCGCCTTCTTTACTGGAGAGAATCACTTCAGATATGTTTCAGAAAAGATGAGGGTCAAGCCGCAGAGCTCCAAATCGGCGGTCTCTGGAAGTGTTCTGGAGTGATGGCCTTGCACGAGTCTGCCGGCCCAACGTTGATAAATGGCTGGATTATAACCGTGCTAGGCAGAGATATTTCTAGTGAGTATCTTGGATCTTCTTCTTGGCGGCACTCGCATACTGTGTGCACCCATTAATCGACCTGCAAAATGCAACCATCTCCAACAACAAAAACCTTGACAAGAACTAGAACGGGGTGGATGATCGGTGAGGGTTTTCGTCGCTGCAAATTGAAAGACCAATGCATCTACTGTACCAGTTCCATGCATGAAAACACTGCAACCTGCGCGATTTGGGCAAAGAGAAAGGAAGGTGGCACAGTCATCATTTTTGCGATCCGCAGAGACTGGGATTCTCTGAGCCTGAGATGTATCTGTCAAACTATATGCATTCAGTATTTGTGTAGCGTACCTGTGTTCCCTTGCTTGACAAATTTCCGGGGCTATGCCGGCTATGTGCTGACCATGAAACAAACCGAGGGGTTTGGGACGTGAGGGGCATCTAGACTTCAGTCGACCCCGCAGGACACAGATGCACAAAGGCTTGTCCGAGTATCCTTCAGCAAAACAAAAGGCTGAACCTCGTAAAAGATGTCAGAGGCAGCTGGAGACGCTGTGAAGCCATGCATGCCTGTCCGCTGCCATCTTTCTCTTGGGATTTGGGATGAAGGCGAGAATGCTCTACCCTGCTCAGGCCGTCCTCCTCGGGCATGCTTTCGCAAGCTCACACGAGCTCACGTTAACTGCTTGAAAACAACTGTCGCGAACAAAAAATCAGGGGAAAAAAGACGTTCATGTCTTGCACACCCTGGAATACGAGCGCATTTTCGAGAATCTTGAAAGTGCACTATCTGTGTTAGGACCAGTGTATCTCAACGTGCATTATCTTTGCAATTATTTTCATATTCATTCCATCTCTAAGTAAGCTTGATGTCACGTGGTGCCTGGCAAACCTATCTCTCTCGTTGCACTGAACCGAGCTGCTAGGCCACAACAGCTTCGCAGGATCCAGAGGCATCCACAGAGATGGCTAATTGGCACGACACCGCAGAGCCCGGCAGACAAGCAACGCCAGCCGGACCCGAGGCCGCTCAAAGCTTGGCACGTTTCGGATGATCGGCATGGAGACTTGCCGAGTCGCCGAAGCGGAAGCCTGGTACAGTCAGTCAGAACTGTACACATGCACATTATTCACGTAATGCATCGCATACGTGTAGATACCAGAGATACACATGTAGGAAGATACACATGTAGGAAGATATATCTGTACTTGTGCACACGTATGTACAAATATGCAGACACACATACATATATATATATATATATACGCATGTACATCTATTCATATACATATATATATATATACTACATACATATATATATGTATGTATATGGTAACCCCCCCAAGACCGACCTCACACATAAAACAAAGAGCAGTAATGCAGACATCTACATTAATACAGATACTTACCATACAAAAACCGGAAAAAAACACACAACAACCTACAAAAAACAAAACAAAAATACTAGAACCAACATTTTGGGAGACTAGCGTGCTGTCTGCGGGGTCTCCGCAACCCCCCAAAAAACCAAAAAAACAAAAAAAACACCAAAAACCAAAAAACAAACAAAAACAATTGGGGGACCTGCCCCGAACCAAAAAAAATCAACAAAAAAAAACAATACAAAAAACAAAAAATGGAGAACCACGACCTGGGCCCTTTTTAGTTTTTGGTTGTGTTGGGTGTTTTTGGTTTTTTTGGTTTTTTGGCTCGGGGCAGGTCCCCCAATTTTTTTGTTTTTTTGTTTTTTTTGGTTTGTTTGGTTTTTTGGTTCGGGGCAAGTCCCCCAATTTTTTGGTTTTTTTAATTTTTGGTTTACCTGCCGGGAACCCAAAAAACCAAAAAAACAAAAACTAAAAAGGGCCCAGGTCGTGGTTCCCCAATTTGTTATTTGGTTTTTTTTTTTTTGGTGCGTTTGGTTTCTTTGGTTCGGGGCAGGTCCCCCAATTTTTTGGATGTTTTTGTTTTGTTTTTGTTGTTTTTTGTTTTTTGGTTTTTTGGGCGGTTGCGGAGACCCCGCAAACAGCACGCTAGTCTATTTAGTTTCTCGAACAATTGCTGCTACCATCCTTATTAGACGCACAGAACATATACATACATGATGTGGGGAGATATTCTACCTCTTCTTTGCATTCCATAGGAGGAAAGCCTTTCAAACATTGGCATTTCTTGGGAACCCGGCTCACTATTTGATTGTAATTCTCTTCACGTTTTCCCAAGAAAATGCCAATGTTTGTGGGGCTTGCCTCCTATGGGATGCAAAGAATTAGTACAAAGTGGAACCGCTGGGAGGGCGTGGGTGGGCTTGTGGTGAATCTTGATTTTCTTGCATCACTCCGCGCGCGCGAATACTTCCAAGTTCCCTACCAGCAAAGGCATTTCCACCACCCAATATCAAGAAATGATACTTGCTCACGGTATTCTCGCACCCCCCGGCTTACATATAACGCTTTTACATGTCGCTCTATGCCCTCGAATACTTCTTCGTCTTACGGTTTGAGGATTAACATCCTTTGCCTTCTTCCCTCGTCATACCTGTCCAGAGCGGAATCTCCCAAAGAGACGCGAACATAAAAAAATGCCTTTTTTCTGTCGGTTCGGGGGGGGGGGGGGTAGCATATAGTATATATATATATATATATATATATACACTTCATCATGCATGTGTATATATATATGCACATATATATATATATACTCAACCCTGTTGCGCTCCAACCCTGAGAAGTCGTTTAGGGAGATGTTTGGATGCCAAGCATGTCGCACACACAAGGTGCCGGGGTTCAGCTCCCCCCTTCAGGAGAAGTGCACTCGGGCACACCACTGCTTCTGGGCTAGGCTCCCAGGAGAAAGCCGCACTGGAATCCACTCTTCGCTTTCGACGGCAGCCGCAACCTGGGGCGGGCGGGCGGGCGCAAACTGACGAATCGAGTCAGCAAGACAGCTTCACGCAGCTCAAGCAATGGCTGCGGACTCAACAGGCCAAGCATGCAGTCGTTTACGCGCAGCCGAGGGTTAGTGGCACGCGCTGGCCATTAGCCCACCTACCCCAGCGCGACCCGACCAACCCCGTTGCGCTCCAACCCTGAGAAATCGTTTAGGGAGATGTTTGGACGCCAAGCATGTCGCACACGCAAGGTGCCGGGGTTCAGCTCCCCAACGCAACGCCGCATCCAAACATCGTCGTACGCCCATGTACCTGATCCAAACTGCAGCGCACACGACGATACGCCCTAAGACTACAGCACGCCTCAACGCGGCGGCTCAATCTTGGAGGCCCGACCTAGATGCTCTGGTCTCCCAGCACTCAGCAACTGCTGCCAATCCACAGACCTGCGACTGTCCAGCGACAGCTCGCGCCAGAATTCTGGATAGACGTCTGGTCCCCGTGACAACATGTCGGCCCAGGTGTTTCTGGCTCCAGCAACGTGGGACACCCGCAAGTTAATGCGTTCACGCATGCAATACACCGCTGCAGCCTGAAGCACCCCGGCGACAGGCTCCTTCATAGAGAATCCTGTCGCGGACGTGCCCACCACACCAAGGTTGTCGCAGCGCTGTCGGACCACGACACGGCCTGCGTTTGTCACAATCCCGTCCTGTCGTTGGAGGACGAGCAGGATCAGCTGGGCCAGGGCCTCCAAAGCACAAATAAATCGCCTGCAAGCCTGTGGCTTGCGCCTTGGGCCGCATCCAATCCGGCACGTCTGCCCACTGAATGCTGAAAGAGAACCAACGTATCTGCGCGGGGTCAAGCTGGTTCCCGGCAGGCAGCCACCAGCCTCCCAGGCCTGCCTCCTTTGCATTCGCGAAAGCGTCAGCTGCAGCAACCATCGACCTCTGCTATCCTCTGCTCAAGCTCAACTAAATGCACCGGTACTCTAGCCTCCACTAGTCGCAAGAAGAAGCTGGCAACATGCTTCTCCTCTGCGCAAGGCTTCACCGAAAGCCAGGCCAGGCCATGCTTCCATCGCAGAGTATCTTGCCACCCTGCTGGGCGGGCCGGCTTCCCACTGCACTCCAGCAGCTGCCATCCCTTGAGGACATCCGACAAATCCGCATCTGCAAGCACCGTCAAGTCGTTTCCAAGCAAACCTTCCAGCTCAGCCACCTGTCTACGATCAAGCTGGATAAAACGCAGCGCTGGCTTGCGAAGCATGTGAAAGAAAACACTCAGCCAGGGTTTCAACCACCTAGCGCCACATGTGAACCAAATAAGTAGCCCCAAAAAGGATTCGATATCGCGGCGAGAGTGCACCACTGATGACCGGAAGCAAGGCGGCGGAGGACACTGCAAAGTTTGTTGAATCGAGTCAGGAACAAGCACAAGACAGTTTCACGCAGCTCAAGCGACGGCTGCGGACTCAACAGGCCAAGCATGCGGTCGTTTACGCGCAGCCGAGGGTTAGTAGCACGCGCTGGCCATTAGCCCACCTACCCCAGCGCGACCCGACCTTCATCATGCATATATGTATATATATATATATATTATGTATATATATATATATAATATCAACGAGTGAAACTTGTGACATGCGTGTCGCAATCTTGCAATGTTTGGAATCTACGGCGGCATACCCAACGAGAAGCGAAGCCGCACCTGCAACTCCCCGGCATATGGCGCCCGGCTCGGCGACAACTGTCCATGCAGCCATTTTTTGAGGGCAGAAAGAAAGGAAACAGTGCAGACCAAGCTAAGGCGGATGCAGAGGAGCTGGAGGTCTTAGCGTGAGGTGACAAACTTCGGCTTCCGCGGGCATGTCGCCAGTGCAAGTCTGCGGACAGCCGGAACATGTGCGAACTCTTGCAGCTTCATCGACGACAACGGAAGAAATGCTCTTGCCAGAAGCACCTAGACTTGGTGGGGGTGGCGGTAGTGGCGATGCGTCTGGAGGTGGTTGTGGTGGGCTCTCCACCTCGGCCCTCGGCCGAACCTCCAAGCACCAAAAGAGGTTGACAACACTTCCTGCTGCAAGTCAGGAGATTCTTATTTACAACGTCTGGTTGCCTCCTCGCGGGCTGGTGGCCTCGCTGCACCATTCAACATACTCACCACGGTCGACATATCTGTCATATCTGTCATCGGCTCCTCTCCGGTCGGCCCGGGAATGGAGGCAACGGGCCTGAAACGCTCTCTCTCTCTCTCTCTCTCTCTCTACTGCCGCTGCTTCAATTGCGTTGTGAGCAACCGGCGGACTTCTCTCTGCGGCAGCTTTGGAGGCTTGCCCACTGTGGCCATGCGATGCTTACTTGGCCTTGTTCAGTGCTGATACTCTAGGGAATGTGCGTCGCTGTCGGCTTTCCGGCTTCAACTCAAGCTGTGCTGCTTGATGTTTGGACAACAGCAGCTTGACCCTAGATTATTGCTACCGGTTTCAGCCAATGGCGATGACGATCTTAAATCGAGTCATGCATTTGTGTCCCAAGACATTGCTCAGCGCACAGCAGACGTGGGCTCGTTTCGTCTGCGGTCGTTTGGCGCTTCGAGGACATTCGTTCGCAGTACAAAGATGCAGCACCCAAGGTGTGAAACATTCCGTATACGGCCCGACGCAATGCTAAACCACGAGGGTAAGAGATTCCAGGACCATAGAGGTCCAACGGCACTGCAGGCAAGGGGATTGTACAGCTGTTCAGGGCTGGACCCAAAGATCCAGCCTCATTCGGCGCAGCATTTGGCTATCCAGTTTGGTTCAACGCCACTCAGGCCACAAAGCCCGACACTCATGTGACTGGACCTGAAATTAAGTATTTAAGTACACATTGCATACTGACTTGGTATCTGGACCTGCCAAGAAGGGGTTGTGCTCACTGGACTGAAAATGTCATCACAGAGCACACTTTCTCATCAGTTTTGGATACAACAACCTCGCACGCTTTGAATGCGCAAGTTGCCAGTCTCAATTCCGTCTCACTCGCTCCCGAATCACCAGTTGGTGAAGGGATCTTGAGACCTTGGCGAACATCGCATCTGAAATATCTGGACAGCTTCCAAGTACGAAGAGATGATTCTCGATGCAACCAGCTTGTACGGTCCCCACGCGTTGACTGCAGGAGGCTCTTGGTCCGAATCCGGATAGTCATCGAAGTTGCTTGTGTCCGTGGCACCCTTCACAGCCGGCCTCGATGCAGGCGTCAAGAATACGGCAGGCGTCAAGTATTCAAGTATTCACATCCAGGTCGCGCGTCACGTAAACTAGGCTGTCGGCTTGAAGGGAGCCTCAATCTTCTTGGCAAGCAGGTCATCCCAGCTAAGGTCCTGCCATGCAGTGATTTGCGAAACACAAAAGCAAGACCGAGCGTGATCGCAGTAATCTCATTCCTTGAACCATTTGTGCTCTTTGATGTCCGCTGCGCCGTTCTTGAGATTGCCGAAGCGCTTGCCTACGAAAAAAGAGAGGAATGCAATTTTCACAGACGTAGGTCAGAGCTGCAAGCACCGGCTCCCCCACCGCTTCTCCTAGCACGCTGGCAGTCGCTGGGTGTCAAGCCCAGGTCGGGGGTGAGAAGCTTCTTCACCAAGCTCTTCGCCTCGCAACAGTCATGGAGTCCACTTGGAGCCCACTCAATGCGAAATGTCGAAAGAAGCAATTTTGGTGGCCTCCTTGTGGAAGATCTTCGGAAACGTAATCTTGCCAGCCTCAGCAAACAGCTTCAGGGATCTCTTCTCCAGGCCCCAAAGCTACGGGACAACTCCGCTCTACGCGGGAAATTCTTGTTTGCCTGACCTGACTAGACAAGATGAAAAGCCAGGGGAATAATGCCAACATTATGTGCTCCTTGTGTGTTTGTGTGTACATCTGCTTCAGCAAGGCTGATTATGCGCCCGTGAGAAAGCTAGAGAAGCATTGCGTTGCTTAGGTCACTGCGAGGATCTTCTGGTAGATGCCCATCCTTGGTTGAGAGAATGCTGACAGCACACCATAACTGCCAAAACTGCAGCTGTGGACAGCTGTGGAGACCACTGGATTCACTTGAACCAACTGAGGCTGTGGCGGGTCCTCGTCCACGAAAGGAGGATAGCCGACAATCATCTCGTAGATCAGGATGCCTGCGCATGCCGCAATGCTTCAGCAGTGCCATCTCCATCCCAACAAGTGGAGCGCTGTAACGCCAACTTGCATCGAACAAAGCTGATGCTACGTGAACTGCCTAGGGTCCACCAGTCGACAGGCTTGCCATGCCTAAGAACGAGAACGTTGCATGGCCGCAAATGTCAGATCCGCCGACCCCAAGTGCACATTGCAGCTCGGGTCTCCAACCCCTTGTTGAGCAGGACTTCTGGTGCGATGTACTCCGGGGTTCCGCAGAGCGTGTATGTGCGGTGCCTTGTCATGACGAATCAGCATTCATTGACTTGCTCACATCTCTCAGATAAAAGTGCTTAAGTCGTTGGCTCAATGACTTTGGCAAAGCCGAAGTCCGTGAGCTTCACATATCCTCAGAGCAGCTTTCTCGTTCGGTCAGCCTGAACCCACACAACTTTTTGTCATCTGCTGTCGCTTGAGGCCGGCACCGTCCGCATTGATCAGAATGTTCTCCGGCTTCAGATCGCGGTAAACGATATTCAGCTCGTGGCAATACCTGGAGCCAATGAAAGTGGAAGGTGTCCAGGCCAAGAGGACACGGAAGATAAGATGCAGCTTTCTTGATGCAGATCGATTAGAGACATGCAACTTGTGTGCGAGGGACACCGACGACTCCGATCGAGGGCATGTGAGAGCACACGTGAGCTGTTGGATGTGGGTTTCGAGCAAGAAAATCAGTTGCTTCTTACCTGGCCACATGCCCTGGGTAGACATTCGAGATGCTAGTTTTTGACATGTTTTGACCATGCATGTCAGTTTTTGTGAGTTACCCAAAGAAATTGAAGGTGCGCCAGGTCTACGAACCACTTGCACGAGGTTAAAATACGAAACTATGCCCAGCTTTGCATTGTAATTTGGCACCAAAGAGGCCAAAACAGGGCATGAGCAAAACAGGCACAGCCCTCGGAGCACTCGAAGATGCAGGTGATCTGCGCTGCGTAGAAAAGCGACTGCTCGTTGTCGAATCGTCCAGCCTGTTGTTGCGAAAACAACAGCTCTCACAGGCATGCTTGACCCTGCCATGGGCTGATCGGGTTGCTGACCTTTCGAAGATGGGTGAAGAACTCGCCTCCAACAATGTACCTGGTCGTTCAAACCACTGCATACTGTACCTGACCTTCATGAGCACACCATCTGAAAGCCAGAACTTGTCAGCTGTCGATGCTCCCCTTTGTGTAAGATGCTGGCTCCAACACCATGTAGATGTAGCGAGGATCGTGGAAAGAGCCAAACCTTGGCAGAAAGCTTGGCGGAAAGCTTGGCTGAGTGCTTTGCAGAGAGAAGTGTTCATGCGACATGCAAAGGCTCGAACATGTTCACGATGAAGGGATGCTGGAGCTTGGCCAGAATCTGCTTCTCACTCATAATGTGATCCACCTGTCAGCACGCGGGCTCGTACGGATTCACACAAAGCCTCGACCTGCGTGCCAAAAGTTGCGCCTGCTTCATCTTGATGATAGCGGCTTTTTTCAACGTCTTCAAGGCATAATGTCTTCCGCTGCTCTTGTGCGTCACAAACCTGCAGTGCATGAGTTTGTGCTTACAAGCTTCGCCGTCCCTTGCATCTGTCAGAAGGAAAGCATGCGAACGGCACGCCTGACCCGTCCAAAAGCTCCAGTTCCCAGCGTTTTCCCGAGACTGAAGTCGCTGACGGCCTGGGCAAGTGGCGTGCTTTTGTGACCACAATATCTCAAGTTGCACAGGCATCTCAACGGCAATGCAAAACAAAAAGGTTTGGCTGAGTTGGAGACCAGCTTTTCACCGGACAAGTCCATTTCCTGCGGCAGTGTCAGAACCGGTTGGACCGAACTACCTTGAAACACAGCTTCTTTGGTCAAAGTGCAGTAGCTGCAGTTGACGATTCAGCCGGCACAGTCCTTCTCCGTCGCCATGTTGGAAGTCCAGCCCCCTGCCACCTGCAGAGTCTCAGTGACGTTGTGCCTGGGATCAGTGCAAGAACGAGCAAGAACGTGCAAAAAAGGCAGGACTCCGCTCAGATATGATCGGCTGAGCCAGGTGGCAATTATAGGTCACCTCCAAGGCCACGTGGGCAGGGCCAGGTGCTTGGAGCCAGAAAGCGAGCAGGGGGATTGCGGTGCAGGTGTGATCAGGCACAGCCTAACAAAACAGATCAAAACAGAGTCTTAAGAGTCGTCCTGCGGTCCCTGCACGACAGAAGCACGCTGCACCGCTTTTCTTCGCACCCTCAGTCAAGAGTCATGTCTTTTGCGATGGCGTCAGTGCTGGCCTTCAGGATACACTGGGTAGAAGGGGGGGGCCAGCAAGAACAGAGGGCACCTGCAAGGGCGTGTCGCGCACGATGCCCTTAAGGTAGGAGGACCTTCCGGCAAGAGAATGCCAAAGAGAGCTGCATTACACAGAAAAATACCCAACGTCTTCCGTCTCACCAATACCCAGCGGAAAGCAGATTTCGAGGTTCTTCGGCTCGGTTCGGGCTTGGGAGCCCACTTGAAGGTTTCCAGTGCTGCGAGCGTGGTCAGGTTTTCCAACTTCTCCATGTCCTAAAAAAATTTTCAATTGAGCTCAGCTGGTGTGCATGCTGGAATGCAATCTCACACCCGACCTCTGCATCCAACTCGAAATCGAAAATGCGGGCATTCTCCTCCATCCTTGAGGTGGAGCATGTGGATGCAAGCGGAACTCCGAAAAGAATGGTTGGCTAGTTCGGCATCATAGCCTGGAGCGTTTTTCGCTCTTCGGTATGTGCTGGAAGCCTTTCTGAACGCACCTGCAGCAGCTGAAGTGTCCAGATTTGTCACGAAGCTGTCATTTGCTCACTGGCGATCTGCCAAGCCCGGTGCCACTTTCCAAGAATCTGTGATGCTGAACGCCCGTGCTTCGCCGCCAGTGCACCCACAATCTCACAGCCCATGAGAACGACGAGCAGAACATGAATGCTGCGTGTTCACGTCGGTGCCACCTCGCTCTCCAACGAGGCCGACTTTCCAAAATTGGAGAGTGCTCGGTAGGCCTGCACGGGAAAGCACAAAGAAACGCCCCCGCCCCCTTCCCCCTAGCATGGGACTCCATGGACCAACTAACTCTGCAGGGAGCAGTCTTTTGAAGGACCAAGTTCTGGATGCTTTTGGGGCAAAGACGTCCGCCAAGGCCACAGTTAATCGCCCAGGAGATCCAAGCATATTTCAGGGCTAAGGATCCCTGCACAGAACGGAACCTGACAAGATACATAACTGCGTTCACAGAATGAGCTCAGACACGAGGCCTGCAGTTGTATACCGAGGCTTTTGAAATGGGCAATTGTCCTGGCAACAGAAAACCCTGCAGCTTTCCGCGGCACCCGCGCAGCTTCCCTCCACATCTGGGAGCCAGACTTTTTTCTGTAAAGAAAAGGATTGATCCTGATCAGGATTGGCTAGCATTGGCTAACATGCAGCTGACAAGCGGCTGCGAAAGGACTGGGCACGTTGCTCGATCTGATTGACTGCTGGAAGAGGAAGCTTTGCAGCCTGAAGCTCTGCCAGGTCCTTGCGGCACCGTCAGGAGGGAACGGTTCTGCTCTAGTTTGGTGCATCCTCCACGGTGTAGTTCGAAACCCCGATGGACTTGATTAAGCCCTGTCAGCAAACACGTTTGCTTCTGGCAAGTAGCCACGAGATCCACAAGCCAATGGCCTCTTTCTGCAGGTCCACTAACTCCTGAGAACCGCAGGCGATCACGCAAGCCAGTACACGACAGTGAATGACATGGACAGCTAGGAAGAGCTTCCATGCTCCAAAGCGGAACAAGCCTGGTAGGCTGCGACGTGCTTGCCTGGAACCGGCCAGTGTATCATGTAGAGATCGAGAAATCCACAACCCAAGTCCTGCAGGATTCGAGACATAACCGGCCAATGCAAGTGCCTCATGTGCACTGAGGGCGGCCTTGATGGACTTGAGACACTGCTGTCGCACCTGCGAGTTTCCCGGGGTTTGCAGGCACTCCGGCGGGTTTAGCATGGTTTAACATGGACAAGTTGCCTGCGCAGGCCTAGAAGTTCTAGCCTAGAAAGCAAAGGGCTGAGGACCGCAAACCCTAAAGCATCCTAAAGCTTCATGCAGCCTACCAAGGTCCCATGCGAAGCTTACGCGGATGACACACAGTATAGTCTCCCGGCGCCACGCCGTTCAGCGGACTGCGCTGTAACCAGCTTCGATATTTGCATACTTGTCATGCCTTGCTTTGTGGACAAGCTGCATGTCTGAAGTTGGGATGGTCACTGTACTGCGATGGAATGTCCGACTAGATGAGTCGACGGCTTAAAAAGGCTACTGCAACATATGCGAACCTACGCGGCGTCTGCGGCATGTCGATGCCTATGCGGGCCCCGCGGAAACGCTACACGTGTGGATGACGGTTTTCACCTAGGCAAAAAGCGGGCCCAACAAAGGCCAGCTGGGGTTTCGGTCTGGGAGAAGGCCATGCAGACCGGAGACATCCGAAGAGATAAAGATAAAGAGCCCAATGTGAAAAAGGAACATCACGCCATGGACTAGCACGTGTGATGGAAGGACTGGCGTTGCTTGGCTGAGTGCAAGCAGCGGGGGCAGAAACACTGCTTCCCACGCAAACGCAAAACAAGCCAAGAGATTTTCGCGAAGAAACTGGAGAGCAGGGCGGACGAAAGCTAGGCCCCCCCAGAGGGCAGGCGGAGATTTGCCAAACCGTAGCGTATGTCAGCATTAGTTGAAGACCCCAACCGGGGCGGGGGGGGGGGGGCATGACGCCTGAAATCCCTGACATATCAGGACGCAGCTCCTACTTGCCCCAAAACAAGAAGGTTGTAAGCAAAAGCTCCCGCAAGCTCCAAAGGAGCTAGCTTTCGTGACATGTTGGAGCTTCTTGGAGCTTGTTGGCGGCCGAGGAGTCCAGTATTAGTCGGTCGCCCTCTCATGACTTCCCGAAGCTTGTGTTGGTGCTGCCTTGAAAACGACTTGGCATTGGCTGAGCATGATGAGCTCATCTTCTTGCTGAGTGGCAAGCTGTTGTTGATTCCGAGAACCTTTTGCTTTGTTTGAAGCCTAGGTGCCAGCTTCAGTGCTGGGGCTCAGGCTGCCGACGGACCGTCATGGATGTTGTTGGTCCAAACCTGCCCAAAATCTGCACGAAGCAACATGCTAAGCCCATGGGTACAGATGGTTTGCCTTCGAGATAATGTAAAGCTGCTCTCTTGGAACGCCAGCCGCCTGGGACTGGGATATCTACAAGTCTGCAAGACCAAATCCCACCAGGTTCTAGGAACCCCTGCCTGGAACGCTTCTCCAATGGTATCCTGACGCTCGAATCAAACCCGGCGAGCAAGCCTACCAATGCCTCGGCTCACATGTCCTCATTCTCATAAAACTGGGCACAATCGAAACATCGGTAGCCAGCTTCAAGAGCGTCCGCGATGACCTTTGCTCTGCACATCTCTCCACAGCAGCAACGCAGTTCATTTCTCTGGCATTTTCGCATGGGGACATCACGCCCTTGGCTGGAGCTGGCTTGGGCGCATCGGCAGCCCCGGCAGCGGATCCGGGTATCACCTCAAGACATCACCCACACCCAGATGGAACAGTGAACAAGCATGAAGAAGCCATAAACCCAAGCAAAAGTCAAAGGTCGACACCCCGACTTTGTAGCAGCCGAAACCGAGAATTGGCATTGACCTGAACAAAACGAACAAGATGCACGAACAGCTCCAATGTTCTTCAGGCACTTTATTGCCACATATTATCTGGCTCGCCCTACTGGATGTCAAGATACATGTGCATCCCCTGTTTGTTCCTTCTCTGGTTTCGAACCTAGGAAACTGTCTAAAGCTCGATCTCGCGAGGAGGCTCGGAAGCCATTCTTCGGCTCACTAAATAGCAGTAGCTTAGCCAGGACAATGGAGGACAATCGAAGGGGTAGTGCACAGAAATCACCGCGCACTAAGTTGCAGGCTTTCCATCATTCAGGTCTAACGTGGGAACCTTCAGAAAATCACACACCAGGCGTTTATTGCAGCGTGTTGGATTCTAGTGCGGGAGGACCTTGAGCGCCATGGTGGCAGCTGGCTGGGCGGATTTGTGTCAATCAACGTTACTTTCTAGGCTATGGCTATGACAGTGACTTGCTGCAAGCTCCAGATTCTCCAGAACTACGAAAATGGAACAGCTAACTTAGCACATATATGATGCAAGACCAGAAACACAATCCATGATCTCGAGGCAGGAGCGGAAAATGTGAGGAATCTGCTGCTTGGTCCATGCTCAATATACAGTCACCGCCCACAATACTTTACTGAAGGGCAGGAAGCGGACTGTTTCGCTTGCGAAGGCGCGAACTTGCCAGGGTGGGTGAAACAAAGAGCCTTCTGGCAAAACGCATCCGCCTCCACGACTTGTCTCAAGCTGGCAGGAAACCACACGCCTGTCGCAAAACAACCTGGCGCGAAAACTGTCCAGCAGAGCCCATGTGCGGCTTCGTAGTTCTTGGGGCAGTGTTGTAACAGTGTTGTATGGTACAACTGCAGCTCTGGAGCTCTGTGGTGGTTTGAGTTTGATACCTCGGGGCTCGGGATCCCAGAACTTCAGATTGGCGGCACTTTGGACACAAACGAAGTGCGGTCTATGCCTACAGGCCCAAGTGTTGCATCGCCTTGGCACTCTCGCTCGAGAATTCGTCCACACGCTCCAGCAGCCTGGCAGAAAAAAGCAGAAAGCGGGACCATCAACCGATGCACATCCAGCGACAACTTCGCATATTCGCCTCGGCTTCCGGGACCCCCCCCCTGCGACTCCCTCTGGACCTCCATGCAATTGGAGACCTGGGACCCGGCCTCCCCTTTTTTGAGGCCCTTCCCAGAAACCTCATTTCCTGTCCGTGGGCAGGCCCGGCTGCCGAGGCGGCCGGCGCAAGCGTTTTACAATTGCCCGGACAAGGTGCAATCGAGGCTCAGCACGAATCGAACTGCAACCAAACAATACAGTACGAACCAGAACGCGATCAGGCAAAGCCACCCGTGGCAACCACCGCTGCCTCAGCCACAGCCACAAGCAGACCGAACTAACAATGGTAACGGAAGCAATGACAACCACAACAGAACGACAACACAACATGTTTGTGATCTGGGACAACGAAGCATCCCAAGTCTCCATCAAACTTGGTTGCGCAGAAGAAAGATCCCCAGGTGAGCTCAAGTACGCTTGTGAACGGATCGTCGAAACCGAGTCTGGGAGCTCTTGCATCCGAGAAGCACGAGAAGACTCAGAACTGTTCGGCGAGTCTTTGGTACATGAACTTGATTTGAGGACAGCGACCAAAAGCGTGGTAAGAGATTTGGGTTGGGGCTGAGAACCAGTCACTCTTGGGTTGCCGATGACAACAACAACACATCCAGAATCATCCAGAACAACCGAATCCACGCCGTTGCGTTTTTCAACACAGGTAAGAATGTGGTCAGCTTCCAGATTGACCCTGTTGCGGCCCTGTCACATTACGGCCTTGCGATTGGGTAGCCAGCTACCCAACCGGGGGCTCTATACAGCTTAGAGAGACGACGACGTCAAGACCAACCAGCCGGCAACAAAACACATTCACAGTCCAGATGAATGAGAAATTATCAGGAGAAAACATTTTTCGAATTCACCCGCTTGCACTTGCGCAATGCTCCCCTCCTGGCCTCCAAGCTGGCTTGGCACTGATCAGCAGATACCTCCGAGGCTAGCTTACCAAAGCGTGCCCATTCCCGGAATCATGCCGAATACTGCGAGCATAGCCAAAGCTCATGTCTGGCAGTCACAATAATCCGAGTCAGCTGCTCATTGCCAGGATCCAGTCTGCTTTGATAGGCAGACATACAGACTGAGGTACAAACCTATGTGCGGTGGCATGAGGTGGCTGAGAAACATGTAGAAACATCACAAAGCCCACTGGTGCTGGATGCCACTACATATACTACATGATATTAGGGACATCACGGCTTTCGCGTCAGAGATCACAAACAGATGATGCCACAGTACACCGAGTCATGACCGTGCTTTGCCGTGAGAAGCAGGCGCGACATACCGCAAGCGCAAAGATTGCATCGGCTTCGGCCTGAGACATAGGAAGCCACGGCAACACAGAGAAAGCCAAAGAGCACGCAGAGTTTGCAGAACAGGGTCAACTCGTTTTGCACATCTTTGCACATGTTGTCTTTTGCACGTGCGCCTCCTGGAGAGGGCACTTACGATGAAACGCCTCCACGAAGGGTCGAACACCTGTCTCTCACAACTCGGCACCGCTGTTTTCTTGCCATCTTGTCATCTCACGGCCTGCTCGTGGTAGCTATGACACAGCAAGCCTAATAGCATTGAATGGTTGCGAGGCCTTCTGTGAGGGACGCGCTCTCGGGCACGTGAAACAAGAGATATGCCTCAAGCAGGCTCAGATCGTGCAAGACAGAGCTCAGCTACGGATCTTGTCGATGAGCTGAGACTGCAACCATGCCAATCGCAGCATCCGAACAAGTGTAGCTGTACAGCCTAGCTGGCGATGGAAACTGAAGAGCCAGTTGTACTTGAAGAGACTTCGAGGATACCAACGGATACCATAAGGCCCTCGCATGTCTCCGAAGTCAAGAACTCCAACCTTCCCTGAGGACAAGAGATGGCAGATGATTTCATGACCGCGTCGTGCTGCTCCATGACTTGGCCACTAGCAAGGTCGGAAAAAGAGTTGTATCCTAAACTTTCGGCCAGGTCCGGCCATCGGCGCCAACGACAAGGTTGTAGTCGTTCGGGTCATTGTGGACAATGGATCCTAAGCTTTCAATTTTGATGCAAAAGCTCTCGGTGTCCATGACGTTGCACGACGTTGACTGCAGCAGTTGGGCCTCATGCGACGGAGCTTCGGCAGCAAAGATGTCAGCTGCAGGCGCTGAGCTTCCAATACCTGGCCGAGTTTGGGCGTGCTTTGTGTTTTTAAAAATGGTTTTCTCAGAAACTGCTCTCCATGCTCAGATCGTTTGTGAGTGGGTTTCGCTGGCTTTCGAGAGGGGGGGGCACTCTCTGGACCAAATCCCGTTGCTCCTCTTTGCAGGAGACAAACGCAACAAGATCTCTGCTCTCTGCTCAATCTATCTCTCTCTCTCTCAAAAAGAAAAGGATCACACCGACATGTCTCATCAATTCAGTGGGCTCTCTCGAGGGCTCGGCTCTCGAATGGTCTCGGCTCCTCCTTGACATCCACGACGTGCGACTCCACCACTTGAAAGCACCGCTGCAGATCCCACACCTTGCACGTAGGTCCAAAACATGTCTGTGCGAGGCGCACAGCAACTGACAAAGTCCGCGGCAAACTCACGAGTTGCTGCCGCGTGGTTGAACTCCAAAAGGGCCTTCGGCCAAACGAGCACGCATGCAATGCCACCGGGCACCAACAAAGCATCTAAGAGTCTAAGACAGTCGAAGAATGTCCAAGGCCGGATCAGCAGTGACGCTTCCAACAGCCTGGCACGCAGCTCCTCTGGTCCATCGATGTACGATGCTGCAGCTCATTCTCGGCGACAGGCCTCACCAACGGCCGCGAAAAGCGAGCCCAGCTTGGCAGAGTCTGCCGCCTGCACGAGGCAAAGCATGGGAAAGAAACTGGGAAAGATATGCAAAAACCGAGGGTGGGTAGAGAAGATCTTGACATCGAAGCCTGGGCCGCGTCTGCAAGCATCTGCCCTGGCCTTCCCACGGTGCAGCACTCAGAACGACAAGAAACAACTACGAAAACGACAGGCATGAGAGCCAGAAAAGCAACCTTTGTGCTATTGCATAACATCCTGATCATGCAAGGAGGATCGAAGTGAAATTGGGCTTGGATTCGGGCAGAGACAATACGAATTCGTCAAGACTCATCCTCCTTTCTGGTATGAGTCGGTATCGGGCACGAATCTTGGTGCGTGGCTTTGGTTGGTTGGTTCCAGAAAACCATTGTCGATGGATCATCACGGACTGTTCACAGCTCTGAAATGGCGTGCCCATGGGCAAGGGCTGTCGTCTGCTTTGTCTCTGTTTGTCGCTGCTATGGGACAATGGCGGTTGCGGGCTCTCCTCCAACAGTTTGGCTTGAAGGCACAAGCCTTTGTATGTCAATGTGGCTCCAGCATGCTCCAGCAGTTGTCACTAAGTCTAGCCACTGTTTAGCCCAAACCTTTGGGTTGTTGTCGAACTCGGTAAGAGCAGCTCCTGAGCAGCTCCTGCAATCCGACATCAGGCCTTCAGACCTCAGGAGGGAAGCCATCTCCGGAAGGCCCAACATGGGAATCTTTCTACCTGATTGGGGTGCGCCTCTCCCTAAGCTTTTGGAACGTGGCCAAAGGCCAAACTCAGGGCGTCCCAGCCGTCGTGTCAACCCTGACTCATCTCGAACCGAGAATGGGGGCTGGGATGTTTTGGGCTGGAAAACTGCCTTTCCAACCCTTCATCTGCAGCCGTGTTCTTCTTCGGAGGGGTGGGGGGCGGGCTGCTATCGCGTCAGTGAACAACATGAGGTCCTTCAACTCCAACAAAATAGTAGGAGTCGGAGCGCAGCTCCAGGCCGCCCGCTAAAACACCAAACTACGCTTCAGTGCAAACATCCAGGGTAACAACGCGAGCGTGAACTCTGCAACTGTCGGCTTCCCTGAGGTCGCTGCAGAAAAGACAAGGCCCTGCAGAAACAAGTGCCCTTTCCTGTCTAGACATGACTGTTCTTGTCACTGCTCTTTCCCTAGCTTGACAGTCTGAATACTTATGACAGCTCCTCCGGGCAAATCCAGTGATAGAAGCGCTTCTCGGGTGTCTTGAGATCGCAACCTTTGCCAAGCAAGAAGCTCGCAACTGCATGGTGCGATAACTTGTGGAGATGCAGGGGACGTGCATCAAGGCAAGGCATTGAGCAGAGTCAAGCTCTGACTCGTTGACCATAGACCGTAGCCCTCATCTTCCTACTTGTATCGCCAGCGGCCAGAGGTCACGAGGCCCTTGCAGACGCTGGCAGCTCGCACCTCGCTCTGCCGCATGTTCCAGGGCAAGGCACCTGTCAATGATCTAAGCTCGGATCACACATCTGCTCACTCGGGACACACATGCTGAGGTTGCTACTGACATTCCACAAAGTCCCTTGAGTCCTCCGGATTGTGCACCTTGAAGACCACTCGCTCACCCTGCAAGCAGTGCAAAGTGGGATCAGTATGGACTCGGCCGTTCAAAGGGAGATGAAGATTGATCGACCCGGAACACAACTGGCACCGCCTCGGCAATTTGCGCTGGCCTGCCCAAGCATCACAGGCGACAAAACCAAACGAGAGCAGAACCTCAGCCCGCTCGGCACGCCTGAGCAAGAAATTGAGATCTCGTTCAGAGGGTAATGACCTCACATGGCAAGCCGATGCCAACTGCAGGTGTCAACTGCACAGACCCGCACCTGTCCAAGTGTGTTCGAGGCTGCTGCTTTTCAAGCTGGAAGTCGCCAAATCTTTGTGCCACCAATTCGACTTGCGGCCACGAGAAAGGAGGTCGAGTATCAATGCCTCGGTCTTGGACACTTGAGACTGAGGTTTGTGCATGGACTGTGAGAATGAGACAGCAGGCGTGGAAGATCGAGCGGTGCCGCAGGTGTGCAAAACTGAGTACAGTCACAATGCCATGAGTCAACAAGTCACAAGATCTCCAATGTGTGCTGGACATACTTTCGGTTCGAACGTACAACTCGCTCGGGAAGTTAGTCTTCAACAATCGTCCGCATGTGTACTCCCGGTTTGTGAAACTCAGCAATGGCCAGCCGTTGTGTAGCACGCGCGAGTGCAAGGCAAGATGAGAAAGGCTCCTGAGAGAGAAATACGAAATAATACAAAGAGACACAAAGAGCGAGGGCAAGAGCGAGGCGAAAAGATGTACAGGACAGCACGGACGACAACCCTCACACTTCAACATGCTTCATCTCCACCCGAGCATAGGGCTGGAGGTGGTCATTTGCTCTGTCAGAACTTCCTGGTTCCGGCCGGTCAAGGAAGGGCTGACTCGAAGTGCACAGACCGCACCTCAGTCACCAGTTTCATTTCATTTGCCACCTCTAGGAAAGAACTGAAAGAACTGAAAGATATGCTAAACTTCAGCAAGGGCACAGGGTTGAGCTGCTTCCAACAAGCCATTCGCTCGCTTAACTTTGTTTTTGTGCAATGCTGCGTCATGCTGTGCTCTGCGTCTTTTCCAAGATGCGATGCGATACTGAACACTTTGAAAACGGTTTGCATGTAGCCTGCGAATGCTGTTCCATGACTCGGAAACTCGTCGGGCACTTCGCACGTGCTTGTATTCAACCCAGGGCCACCTCCACCTTCAAGCCTGCATTGTGGCCCCCAGGCCTTCTGTCTCCCCTGTGTCTCCTGCTTCCGCATATGCGCACTGCGCGTTTTGAGATGCTGTGAGGCTCCGGATCCATGTTAGACAGGCCCTCGGCTTGCCCAGCCGCTGTTCAGCCAGAGCAAAGGTATCATTAACGCTCCTAGGTTCGAGTTGTTTCGTTAACAAATGGCAACTACCATGCCCCTCAGGTGGGCAGCATGCAGAGACCTAGGAAAAGGCCAACGACTGTTGGAAAGCACGAGAACGCAAGAACATGCAAGAAGATACTATGAAATAGTACTCTCTCAACGCGCTTGGCAACAAGCGTGCATGCGCGGGTCGGCGCTCCAGAGCGTGGATTTCAAGTCGCTCCTGCCATGACGGGCGCTGCCAGAGAGTCAACGAGCTGTCTTTCCTGGGGCCTCCTCGACCACATCATCCCCCGTATCACTGGGAGAATCAGGCTGCAGCAACCTGGAAATCTTTACACGCTACAGCACACCGGAGGGAGTCGTATGGAGTTGTGCATGGGGAACAGCCTCTCCAACAAAGTCTCCGCCACCTGCGAGAGCCCACATGCAAAAGACTTAAAAAACACACAAACACAGTGCGCGCCTTTTGCTGATCACTCTGATAGAGCCTCGAAACACTGAGCGGCTGACATCCGCCGTCACAAAACATCGCCAAGCAGGTGGGCCACATGTGATTCGCTGTGTTTATCAGAAACGTCGTTGAAAAAACTGCTGCCGGCCTGCTTGCATTTCCAGAAGTCTTGACACGCTCAGGCTGGAGCCATGCTGCAGCATCTCGGATGCGCTGCTGACGCTCTGCTCCTGGCCACCGCATGCAATTCATGCTTTGTGTGGGGAGTGCCTTGCGGAATCTTGCCGATGCCTCTCAACTCTGCTGCCCAGGACAGCAGCGCGTCCTGCACAAAAAGAGCGGGCGGTGCTCTGGACACTGCCACTTGCAGCCGGGCAATTACGAAGCGTTGGCAGCTGGCCCCCCACCTGAAATTCGCCTGACTGCAGAACTGACCGGCGCTGCAAAAGCAAGAAGGCCTGCCACGAAACTTCGACGAAGGCTTTTGCAAACAAAACCCTTAACATCCCTTAACGCTGAGACGCGACCTGTGGGCGTGGATCGGTGGCAGCCAGCTCGACAACGGTCACAGGCCACTGCATGGCCGAGCCCTTCGGACATGCCTTGTGGGCAACAGAGGGTAGCAGTCCGGGTAGTAGCATCGAACCGAGCCCTGGCCATGACTCGCTGACTCGCCTCTGAATCAAGTTCTGAACTTGTTGTTCGTGACATGCGGACCAGGCGAAACAGAGTTCCAGCAGGAAAGATCCTTAGACTTTAGGCGATGCTTCAACAAGGCAAGGCTGGCCGGGGCTACTGGTGCATTGCCTGCTGGTCACCTATTCTGCTTTTTCCTCCTGGCAACGCAGAAGGCAGCCGGCCATGGGCGGTGCTTTGCCGCTCACTTGATGGGCGCTTTGCGCGGCTTTGGAGATGGCTTCCGAGCTGCCTCAGCAGAACTCGCCCCAACTCACAGAACCATCCCAAGATGTTCCACATGTCTGAGAGGCAACAAATGAGGACATGCTGACAAAATCTAACAAGATCTGACAAGATCTGGCAAGAATGCCTTCGCATCCTTGCTCACAGTGCTCCCAGCTTTGGGCTTTGTGAGGGCTGCATCGAGCATTTTCAATCCTTCAGCTACATGACATGTCTCTTTACGCTCTGCTTCATGTTTTCAATCGTGCGTTAGAAACACCTCACAGGTGACGCCTTCCATGCTGCCCATTGGAATGCCGATTCCAGTTGTTGGTGGCACCTCCAGCGACAAATAGACAGAATCTTGCAACGGTTTACGCCTTGCAGCCCGATTAGATTCTCCCAGACCCTGATCCGGGGTGCAGCAGTGCAAGAAGCCAAGTGTTCCAGGGATTTCAGGGCACCCTGCACCTTGCAGTGGGTCGGATTTATCCGTATCAGACGGGATCCTTTGCCCGCTCCATCCACTGCATCCTGGGGTACTGGCACTGCTCTTCTGGGGGCACATCTGTGTCTTTGAAAAATGTTGTCTGTACTGTTGCTGAGTGCTCTTACGTCCAGCCTCTCCCTGAACACGGACACTGGGAATCGCGAGTCCCCCTCCACACTCGATGACCACGATGGCAGCATGTTTTTCCTGCAGCGCCCACAGCCACCTGGCGCCCAAAAACGAAACTCATGCACATCAACACATCAACCGGTCACTAACCTCCAACATCCTCCAACTGAGGAACAGGCCGATTGTACTGGTCGCCTCGAGCGATGGCATCTTTGGATGCCTTGCCCAGACAGTACCAGGCACAATGGAGTCGACACTTCGGGGCTTGCTGGGGAGAATGCAACCCGCTTATGTGTCAAGTGGCATTGTAATTCTTGTCATGGCAAAACCAAACCTTGCTGCAGTCACGTCTGCGCTCGATAATGACCAGGGTGAGTCTGGTGTGCAGCCCTTGCATGCTAAGCGGCATTGGGTCTTGCAAGAGAACCACACCGAGGGCACTTAAAGCAGTCGCGCTCCAACTGCACTGGGTCGCGGAAACGAAGTGCCTCACAGTCTTAAAGCACAAGACGGTGCGAACACCGCCGCTGCAAAAATGCAAACGTCTAAGCTCCGGGCTCCGGGATCTATCTCGGATTCCAAGCCGTCAGGAATGACTGCAGCCGGCCAAACTTCATCAGAGCCATCCTCTTCCACACCTCTACACCTGTCATCTCTGTGATTCTCCATGGCTTGCACATGGAGCCTTATAGAATCATAGAAGGAACTGCTGCGGAGGGTTCCTCCGGCAAAATGCCCTGCGGCGCCTCCTCCTGTCCTTCGTGCACTGTAGATGGTGTAAGTCACCGTGGCATGCGACCACCTTCTCCGGAGAAAAGCCGGCCTTTTCAAACATTCCGTCGATGTTCGAGGTCCACACATAGTATGGCTTGTCAAGGGTTGTGGCCCAACGGTGTAAGACTGCGTAGCCTGCAACAGTACCACGATGCACGAGAAAGAGCCCACAAGATGAGGAGCAAGTAACGAAGCGAGGTATAGGGAAACAAAGGATAGAAAGGCTTTTGAAGCAGGACACAGGTCAGCCAAAGGAACGCAGGGTCGAGCGCAAGGGCTCCACCAACATAGAAAAGTGGAGCCCAGGCGCCTTCATGAGGTTCTGTATGTCGGTACATAGACAACTGTGTGTAGTTGATGCCCCATGCGAACCTGAGCGTTCATGTTCACAGACAAGCCAGAGAACGGAGAATGGCAAGAGCATGTCCTGCAGAAATTCCACAGGTTCTACATATCTAGGAGAAAAAAAGTTGTCTGAGAGTCGTTAACGGAAGCCGCGTCTTTTTGGGGGGTTTAGGCGCGTCGCAAAGGATCCTCCGCAAACCACTTGTCGTCGCTCATCTCCTGAGCAACAGCAAAGCGGTAGAGCGCAAGTCACTCAGAGATCAAGTCACAGAGTGGAGCACTGGAGCACACCGAGCCTCGTAGGTCATTGCAACCTCACGGTCTTTGAAGAGACCCGTCGAACCTCTGAAGTCCGGCAGACCAGAATCCACTCCCATCCCGGCTCCTGGAGGACTTTTCACTTAGGCTTAAACCGATTTAAGACCCCCCCAGTCTTTCTTGGATTAGTTTTTCTCTCCTGCTGTGAAGATCAGCGCATCGCAGTTGGCAATTGCCTCAACCAGCTAGCGAACACTGTGAACCGGCGGAATCGCGCGACGGCAAACTGCATGTGTCCTGCGCCGCAGACTCCACAGCGGCCCTCACCTATGCACGCATGACATCTGATCGCGGCACGAAACGTCTTCCCAAACAGATCGCACAAAGCTGCCCAGACAGGATGCCGCCTCTGCCGGGGTTTGTGCCGGTGGAACATGATGTGCATCTCGATGCTCCAGGTACACTTTGCTCATGGCTTAGCAGCTCTGGCATTGCTCCATCTAGCTCAAGACCGCTGCTTTGCCACTTTTTGTGACACTTGAGACTCGGGGCGACAAGTAGGCGAGCATGCCGCAGGTAAAACATGTCTGAGAGTGCGCACACATCATCGCCACCACCCTTCAGCGACATATGCTCTGGGAAGCTGGGGGACCTCAGCAAGAATGTGAAAGATCGAGTCCACATTTCAAGATATTGCAAGATGTAGCAAGCAGAAAGAGCGGTTCACCCTCCCCTGTATCGTCCGGCTACATGCATCCTACAATTACAAGTTGGCTGTGGTTTGGATAGGGCTTGGCTGGGTTCGGTGCCAAGCTTCGACTTCCGCAGTGTCCGGCTGAGTAGCTCGGAACATGCAGAATACCAACCTGAGTCACCTGCTTGGGGTCTGCTTGTATTGCCAGGAGAACCTGCAAAGCCAAGTACAATCTCAGAAATCATTCCCTCTTTACCGTTTCAAAAGTTCTACCAAGCTGTACCTGAACACACCAAGCGCAAACTGGGGACACTGCATTCGAATTTGTCTTGGCCTGACTCTTCGGTGAGGTGAAGGCATGTGACAGTGCCCGGCTGCAGTTCCTAAGGCCGTAGCAAGGCGCTTCCCTGCATCCCAGCGTGAGGCCTCATACGCCATGCTCCGAACTGGCAAAGGCTTTGCCAAAGGCTTGCCAAAGCTGCTGCTTCGCTCTGCTTCGCTCTGCTTCCCAGTTCCGGGGCCCGCACAAAAGCTGTGGGGAAGGAGCCATGGCCTGCATTAAACGGAAGGCAACGACTTGGGTGCGGATGCCAACTGCTGAACACAGCAATGCGGCTCCGGCTGAGGAGGAACCACATTCCGCTTTCCAGGCCCTGGTCCGGAAGCAAGTCAAACTGCGCTTTGCTTGACTGGCAATGGCCTCATCTGCCAAAGGGTCGAGCGACCTCTCCTTGAAGGCGGCGCGAAAGTGAGGGGAGGGACGAAAGAAGGGCAAGAGAGAGAGAGAGAGAGAAAGAGAGATGCAGACAAAAGCAAAGCGCCTGGACCGTGGACGACTGCCTTGGTAACGCGACTTGTCAGAATGTCACTGCCCGTGTTTCACTAAGCCAGCATGCCGATGTTTGGCGATGTTAGGGATGTGGCTGCTCCTCTTCCTTGCTTGAAAGAAACCTGACAAAACAGTCAAAGGCGACAGGTACCCACGCTTGTCAAAGTTGGCTCTCTGGGCCTGTCGATCATGCTCTTGAGCAACGACGCAGGTAAAACCTCGCACCATGCGGTTTCCCTTGTATGCTGGGCCTCTCGATCTGTGTTAGGCTGGGCACTAACGGCCGGAAGGTGACACCCTCGTGTCGGACCTTACCGGCAGCTCGCGAAAGCTCATGACATGCCAATGCCACTGTTTTGGGTTTATTCGGTTGACGCACGTGGCATCTCAAAAAATCTGAAGCCAGAACCCCTTGCTGTCTGAAGAAACATGTCGCAGCTTGCACCAGCTGCCTGCCGAGTGTCAAGCTCACGTGGCAAGCACAACAACAGAAAAAACAACATGACGGCTGTACGCCATTGGAGACAAAGCCTTGCAGGGCACGGAGCATACTATGCAAAGACCCAAGTAATCGAGCTAATCTCGATCAACCCCCACATCGGTCTGTAAGCAATGACTGGCCTGCACCAAGCGCTGCAGAGGCAACGCTTCTTCAGCCGTTGTCACCTCATCAGGCGGGACCACAATACATCAGGATTGCACAAACAAAACCGTCCATGCCTCAGCGCTGCTCTCACGTAGGAAGCCTCGCTAGACAGTCGGGCCACAGGAACTCTTTTTATGCCTTCCCTGCTTGATCTTGCTTTGAACGCAGGCCTGCCAATGCCTCGATGACGTGTGGAAGCCAACACTCTCGCGTGTAGAGCCTGGCCGAACCGTCAACAACCACTATTCATAATGATCGCAGATATGTTCTTGTGAAGATTGGACATGGAGCTGATATGTTAAGATGGCAAGAACGAACGAAGAAAGGAACAAGTGAGCACAATGATGCGTGAGAAAGAAGGGCTCGTCAAAACGTGCCGAAGCACTCGGTGAAGTCGCAAGGCATGCTAGGTCTTGACCGGCTTGCTAACTAGTCAGGGCTCAGCGAACTCAGCATGGCACGGCACAGCAGAAACCTACTCTCAACTGTTGTCGGGAACACCAAAGAATGCCCAAGTAGATCTGCTGCATGTTGCCTGCAGGAGCATACCGGAGCTCGAGTGTGGGGCCCAGCTGCAGGACGGTGCAAGCACGCCTTCTGCTCTGGTCAGTTTTGCCTCAGTGCCGACGAAGCTCAGAAAGCAACCCCCAACACCCTGAAAGGGTGTGAAAAGCTGATGGCCGCGACCATTCTGGCAGCACTTAGGTGAGTTTGCCAGAAATCATCCAGGGCCTCTCGGCACTGTACTCTTTCGATCATGGCAAGATGTGGAGGTGTCACCGAAACCACTGAGATGTCTCTGACAAAAAGGCGAAAAAAATGTCTCTTGCGCACCGCGTCCGTGCCGGTCACGGCATCGATTCTGAGCCTGACAACACGCGCATTGGTGCCGCTGGTGTACGATAAGCCGCTAAGCTGAGAAAAAGATGCACGCATGCACTAAGATCGTGAGAAAAAAAACTGATATGGCATCGCTCTTCGGGGATTGCTTTGCCTGTTCTCGAGCATATGCTTACGCAGCAGGCGAACTTAGGTGGCGGTGGAGGAATTGTGGCTCGATGAGGCGCTCCAATAGGCAGGAACTCAGACAAGCCAGCTATCGTTACATGCCCACGCACGTGTCGTGCACCCGCACACACACACACACACACACCCACACACCCGCGTGCGCGCACGCGCACTCGCACAAGCACACGCGCAAGCGCACGCGCATGCGCACCCGCACCCGCACCCGCACACGCACACGCACGCGCACACGCACAGGAGCACGCGCACACCCACCACCCCACCCACCCCACACCCCCACACCCACAGTAATGCAATCCTCACTCTGACTTGAAACTACCTCGGTTGCAGATTGCAATATTCAAAAGGAGAAGACGAAGCCAGTCAGCGCAAGCTTTCAGAAGATCTTTGGGGTTTTTAGATTCTACAGACGTGCACACCTTGCTAAACATCACATACTGCAAGGCTCACTGGCCGCCTGCGACATTTGCAAAAATTGAATTCGGCAAACTGTCACACGCACCCACACACACACAGCCTCTGCCAGCGGACTCTCAGATCAATTGTGCGAACAACTTGCTTCAGTCCTGCGTGCTGCAACCAGGCATCGCACATCACAGGAAATGGCCTGAGAAGAAACCAACATGCAACATGCAACGTCAGTCAGTCCTGGGAGAAGGCCGAACCTGAGAAGACCCAAGTGCATCTTGCCACATTCTCGGCACCACAAGGACGCCGCCACGAAAGAGCACAGATTTCTTGGGCGTGCACTCGCTAGGCTTCCAGCTGGCCTTCATCAGCAACTCCTCCCCCAATACGCGCGATTCAGGTGTCACGCTCTGCACACGTACCAAGGCGAAGTAAGGCACAGTGCACGTCCTCAGCCTGGTGCACCCCCTGGAAAGCCTCTGCACATCTCTGCACAAACCATGCTCAGGCTGCTCACATCCTCTCCGACCTTGTCGAGTTCATCCTCGAGATGAAAGGCAGCCTGCCACGCAGCCAAGACAGCCCCCCAGTGAGTGCCATAGTAGCTACAGGCCTGGGCTTGAGGCCAGATCTTTGGCACCAAGATTGATCCCAGTGAGGCCTGACGGGTGCTGACGGATATCCAGGCGCACCCTGGGCGCTTTGATTGTTTTGGGTGTCGTCAGTGTGTGGATGCTGCGCCGCCTCTTTCAAACTCTGCAGCGAAGCAGCGCTATCTTCGGGCCTCATCGTTCTACAGCAATCTCCGGTGAGAGACTCGCAAGCTGGGTAACACGGAAGTCCGAGACCCAAGGTTCAAGGAAGCCAGGATGTCGCTGTGCACGCCTGCAAACGAAAGAAGCTCCTCAGTATTCTGCTGGGGCACAAAATCATCAATACAAGTTGCCTGGCTTCCTGAGCTGACCGATGTACTGCTGCTCCGCATTGAGCTGCATGTCTCCGAAGACCTGACAATCTTTGAATCCCACCAAGAGTCTGAAGACTCATGCAAGAATCTCTGTGAACGTGCACCTTTGACTAGTGCCACTGAGGCGGGCCAGCTATGAAAGGCATGAAGGATGGTTCAGGAGAAGTTCTCGGAGGAAAGGTCAACATTGCTAGAAGCTGCTAGAAGGCTCGAGGCACAGCAACGTGTGCGCGCCGCACGCGTTGCACAGAGGGACTAAAACTCACACTTGTGAAAGCACATGAAAGCACCAGCAGTCCAGCAGCAGATCTTGGGAGACCCGGCCTCCAAGGCTCCACAGACTGCGTTGCTGCCTGCAGCAGAAGCAACCACGCCAGGAGTCTCGCCATGGTTGTCAACGAAATCCTCGCACTCGTGTGATCGTGTTCAGGTGCATTGAAGAGACATGAAGAGGCATATGAAGAGGCTCGGCTTCATGTGCGCATCGGCTCGCACTGCTAACTTCAAGCTTAATCAATGCGACCGTCGTTGCAGGTCCGTAACCGACAGGAAGCGATCAGCACTTTGCAAGCGATCCAGCACCAGGAGGGTTGTGAGCCTGAAGCCAACTTGGGCAAACTTGAACAATGGGGGCCCTCAACTCAGCCCTGCCCGAACCTCAGGTCGGCACAAATCACCTCCTTCGGCGGCGCGATGAAGCGCCATACCTCTGCAAGATCCATGGGATTCCGGGGGATCCTCAGGAATCGATGATCTATGCTGGGAACCCCATCAAAAAAGACCAGAAAGGGAATCCAAGGCTTAGCTGCTGCCGCAACACGACCCCGGCTGTCGGAGACAGTGGGATTGGCAGAGCGCAGCAGCAGCAGCTTTACCTGGGCGACACAAGCTCTTGTGCACGGAATTAAAAAAGATGATCACGTTACACAACACTTTCACAACCGCTATTAAATCGTGGCCCAGTCGGCCCTGCATGATTGCTATTTTGGGAAGCGCGGCAACTTGGGCTTCGCCATTCCTGGCCGCTGCTCCCAACAACCTGCAGTACGGGTGTTCAACACGTGTTCAAGCAGCTGTCAAGGCTTCAGGCTCACTGAGAAAGTGTCTCTGGGGTCCCAGCGTCTCTCCTGTACCGACATCTCTAGCAAAGCCTCGAAGCAGCAGTGACTAAGATGTGGCCAGTGCTCTGCATGGCCCTGCATTGCCCTGCGGAGCCCTGCGGTGTTCTGGCATGTGCTGGGACTTCGACTCAGCATATTGGACACCTCCTGCGACGCAACGAACTTTGAACCAAAGGCTCTGCACGCCAACGAGGGGCGAGAGAGCACAAGTTGATCTATGACCCAAAGCAATATTCGTATGTCTTCGCATTTCGAGACTTTGTGCGTGTGCGTGTATTTCATGCACAACGGTGTATCGTGCGGAGGTACTGCACACATCTGCACGAGTAGACTGCGCGTGGCAAAGAGGCAGAAGCATCGGCAAGCAGGGCGCATGCTGGTGCATCACTGCCCAGCTCCATCATATAATACTTTAACAATTCGTGGACATCTGGCATCTTGAAAGCGTCGAGGGAGTCCATATACGGAAATGTTGCATGATTTTCTGAGTTTGGAAAGACGGGTAGAGAATCTTCCTTTCTGCTGTGGTCCCACCCAAGGTCCTCTGCAGTCCCCTCATCCAATGCAGATGTGGATGGGTCGTGAACCTTGCAACTGCTTCGGTTCAAATCAAACAGCTGGCTTGGACCTGCAGCGACATCGCTACGGACCAAGCAACAGGGTGAGAGCTGTAAGCCCGCTTGATCCTTAGTCGAGCCAGAGACACGAAGCCATAGCATCTCCATGCCAGGTCCCCCTGAGGCTGCAGCAGCTTCTCCAACAAGGTGTCGTCACCCGTGCGAGCAGCACGAAACATGTCACGACAGAAGCCAGCGCCCAAAGCCTGCAGGAAAAGCATTGGGAAGGTCAGCGGAAGTCTCTTGGCGCTCAAGAGAACCGCATGAGGCACCACTAGAAGTCCAGGTTGATGGTGAGTTTGATCCAGCTCCTCACAAAAGCGACTTTCAGGCTGCCGTGCACTTCAGCTTGCCTCACATTGCTTCACGCTTTCTCCTCAGGTAGGCCAGGGGGCGAGCAGCGAGTCGGGGCAAGCGTCCTATTCAGAGCTAGCAGGACAGCAATCACAGCAAGTCGGATCAGCTTTTTGCAAAGTCCTAGGTCCTAGGTGGGGTGCGACGACTGCTACAAACCAAGCCCTGAAAATCAAAAGCAAGCCGAATCTGGCACCAGGTCCTAGGTGGCGTAGCCCCGGTGGATGTTTTGTCCACAGGCCTTGCATGAAACATTCTAAGATGCGGAGTCCCCATGCAGGTGAACAGTTCACTCTACCCAACACCTGCGAATGTTATCAAGGGATGCCCATGGGACAAGAGTCCCTAACAGGGGAATCCTTACGATCTTATTGCTACTATTGGGACAGGCATTTGGCACTTGAGTCTCTTGCTCACTCTCGTAAGCATGCACGGCCCAGGGAGGAGTTGGACCACGAGGCGTGGTATCCTTGCGCAGAACAATCAGCACAGCTTGACCAGCTCCTGATAGCTCTGGGGTATGCTGCCTCACGACTTCGGCACCTGGGCAAGCAACTCGGTGGGTCCCCTGCACCCCTGGCAGAAAGTCCACTGAGCTAGGCTGAGCTAGGCTGAGCTCGGCACAAGAGCGGATGCGGATGGTCGAAGGTAGCACCCTGGCACACATCATGAAGGCGGAAGACAAAGGATGCGCATGCAAGGTGCCCAAATGTGTTGTCCTCGTCTCTGCTGTCCAGAGAGGATCGGCTGAAGCAACCCTGCCTGACCCAAGAGCAATGAAGTTCATTGGAGGCGTTACCTGAGCTATCTCACTGAAGATGCTGGGATCCAGACGCCCAGACTCGGTTTCCCTGAGCTTGAGAGCTTGACCAGCCGGCACCCCAGAAACATTCGCGAATCATTGACATAACACCACGTGCACCTCCGACTGGTCGTCGACGCAATTGCAGGACTTAGATGGCAGTACGCAGGAGCCAGAGTTTCACAGAATCAGCATCCTTTCATGTGCCCTTCTCGAACTGCGGCACCTCACAAACGGCCGCTCGTGCCACCTCCACCGAGCCTCGGAACAAGGTCAGGCGTCCAAATCCGTCCCAAAATCAAGCCCCCAATTAGTAGCTTTTTCTGAGGAGCTCACAGCCCAAGCCCATAAGGACATAGTGCAGAAGCCCTCTGGGCCATCAGTCATGCAGACTCGTGTGTAAAAGGATCCATTCTAAGCTGGGGCAACTAGGGGCGAGTACATGCTGGAAGCTGAGACGTTTGGGAGGTCTGATCAATGCTTCAAGACGGAGGGTGTGCCCGCTGGACTTGAGACACGCAGCTGACACAAAAGATCAACTTGCACTCATGGAGCATAGCCACATAGCGCAGGGGACACAGCTTCTAGAAGCCATCATTACTGAGTTACTGCAGTTGCTCTGGCACTTTTCGTCATGTGCCACGTCATGTCATGAAAGCGCCAAAGTCTGCACATCGGAAATTCCGTGTTGCATCTTCTCGATGCTCCAGGCAATCTGATGCAACCTTCAGGCTCTGGTGAATCTCTGGGCGGCGCCGCCCTGACCTCTGTGACCCTCCAAAGCTCGTCTCATCTGCCTTCTCACTCCCACATCCGGCATGTTTGGCTTCGTGACGTTGCCCTCCGTAATCCGTTTGCTCATGACCCCTCGTACCGGGCCGCTCCTCCGAGCCTTGCATGTGGCTGCACAGGGCGTGCCAGCACCCTCGCTCCCTCTTCTCGGCCTCCGCGAGGGCTTGTTGCGCACTTGCAGGGCACTTGTAGGGCCCACGTGGAGGCACTCGCGGGACTTGTGGCACCGTCCATCATGACGTTGGCAGCCTTGGACACTCAGGTGTGCATGGACCGTCCATCATAACCATCGTTGAATGTGGGGCAGGGGCTGAAGCAAGAACTTCCGCTCACTCCTTGCCAAAGCAGCAGCCAAGAACATCGAAAAAACGAGTCAATAAAACAGGAGCCTCTTGTACTTGGCAGGCGCAGCGTCGTCTGTGTTGACCTTGACAACAAGTTCATGCTCATGCGACACAAGCCATCGCGCGTCACCTAGTTCGGATGAGGCATGAGCTCGTGCCGGAAGAGGGATGACGAGGTGTGGATGTCCGGCTGCAACCTGCCATGGCTAGGAGGCAGTCATTTGATTAAACTCACATGCGGGGACGGACCACTCGGACTTCCTCGGGTGCGAGATCAAGAGTGGCGTCAGTCGGTCCAAGACCTCAGTTCCATTCGCCTATCTCAACGACTCTCATGTTCCTCGAGTCCGGGCCTTCGGGCAGCATGATGGCCACGCAAATGAACTTCTGCTCCTGACATGATGGACGAATATATCAACCTGTCTTCAGCATCGACGAGCACTTCCTGAGCTTCGGGCCCTCTCCACAGAGTACTTCCATCCTGTGCAGCTGCCGAGACTTGCCTCCGCAAAAAAAGCGACTCTCCATCGCCACGAAATCCTAATTACCTTGTATGAATGACTGAGATGAGCATGCCTCCCGAAGCAAGTCAAGTGAGGGTGATGCAGTCTCCACCAATTCCTGGACTCGGCAAGACAAGACAGGCGAGACTCTGTAGACCTCTGAAGGAGATCTGCAGCAGACGAATTCTGCCTTTGGCCAACCAGCTTTAGCTGCCAACGCCTCGCAAACCTCACCAGCACACATTAGAGCCCAGCTCTGGGACTGTGAAAGAAACACGAAGTCTCGATGGTTGGTAAGGTTGGATCCGAGCGGTCAGGCGCGGCAAACTTGTAGCAGCACCTACAGTACATACAACACGAAGTCTCAAAGTTTACCTTGTGCCGTAGCTGTACGTTGTACTGTGCTGTACTGGTCTCCCTGCTGGGGCTGCGACTGCAGAGCGTCAAGACTCAGCTTCTTGCGCTCGTTGGCAGACTCGGCAGACTCGGCAGACTCGTCTTGGTCGGCTTGAGGCTGGGCCTGGTCTTTCTGAAGCTGAAGCATTCGCCTTTTCCATCCTTTTCCCCATGGCAGACCCAAAGGCCCAAAGGCCTGCAACGCTGTCTCCAATGTCCAATGCAAGTGGTACCTGCGAGCTGGAGCCCGACAGCTTTCGGCCAACTTTGAAGGAACTTGTGCATGCAAGGCACATGCTTCCCTGATGCACTTCGGCCTAGGAAGTAGGAAGGAGAAAATGCCACACCACACGCTTCAAGACAAAGGGTCGGGCCAGCAGAGCTGTGCAGGCGGAGTATGCTTCCAGCACTTTCCTGACAGCAGAAGCAGAGAAGATGAGCCCCAAGTCCTTGGTCTGCTCTTGGGCTGTCACGTACTCGCACCCGTGCGCTTCCTCTCATGCAGCATGAGGGCCAAGCATGACAACCTGGTCGAAAGCACAAGTGGAGCCCTTGGTCCTCGCAAACGCAAGACCCATGAAAACTGGCAGGAAGGACCTCAGGCAGATCGGTCGCACATCACAGAGTATTTCACAGAGTATTGCGAGTCTCTCAAGTGACTCGAGGCTCAAGCGCAGTAAGCAGGCGCTCCTCAGACTTTGCCAGAGCTTTGCCTCCGAACAAAAAGACCCCCGTCATCCCGCTGGCTTCCTGCAAAAAACATCAAAAAACCCTGCCTGGAGGTGAAAGAAGGGCACCGGCAATTATCTGGACAGCCGGACGGACAGCTACGACGAAATGTCCAAGACTTTCACGCATGTCTGATGCTTCCCTTGCCTGCCGGCAGTGTCGTGCAAGTTCTTCGAGACGGTTCAAGAACTGCCGAACAGGGTGCTCATGCAGACTCGAGCACTCCAATGACGCGGCAGTGGGGTCCTCAGGAAGTGTTTGCCCGGAGCTGACAAGCATGTCAAGCTGCTCCAGGACCGGCTGCACCTGGCAAACAAAAGAAGGAAAGAAGGTGGGGCACACTGTATGCAGTACATGATTGTACAGAGTATGAGTGCACAGTTAAAACGGCCTCGCTGACATCCAGCAAAGCTGCCTTTCACAATGAACGAGAGCAGCATGCAGCATGCTCTCGTCCCTTTGCACGCTGCCCAGCCTCCAGAGTACATCGCGTACATGAGCCTTGCAAATGAGGTCAATTGCAGCAAAAGGAGGCAAAAACTGCTTGCAGAACTCATGCAGAATGCAAATCTGAGTGGCACGAGAAATGGAACGTGTCTTGGAGGCATTTTTGGCGCACATGTCTGGGCCTCAACGGGCCAACGGGCCAGCACACGAGTAGGACAGCTTTACTTGTCGAACCAGCTCGGCTTCAGACTGCAGAGTTGACACATACCTTCAGAATGCATTCTGAAAGCACTTTCATGCAGCATCTTGCAGCTGAAACTGGCGGTAAATCCTTGCGGCCACGAAGCGACATCAGCAATTCCTGAACCAGAGGCAATGGGAAATGCGGAGACACATGAGTTCGGGAGCAGTTGGCCTCGCCGGGGGCCAGAGCTCTGGCTGCACGGAGCAAAAGGAGGTCGCCCAGAAACTGCTCCACCACCTGTCACTCGCACCACTTCTTCACCACTTCACCACGTCACCGTCTTCTGCACTTGAGGCAAGCGCATTCGGCTGGCAGGAATGGTTGATAAGCGAAGGCAACAGCCAAAGCCCACACCTTGTGAAGGCCCCAGCACCGAAGCTAGCTGCTAGCTTGGCTCCCATGCTCATGTAGGAGATGTAGGAGACGCACTCAGGGTTTCGATCAGCTGCTCCAGTGTGAACAAGAACATCTTTGGTCACGGAGTTCAGATGAAGGACCTGCAGACTTGGGATCTTCTTTTCAAACTTTTCGGAAGGCCGGAGGGCCACTTGGGCAGAGGCTCGCTCGACCCTCTTTGCATCCACCTCGCGGCCTGGACCCTCTCTGGGCCTCTCCAGACTTGCCCGAAAGCAACGAGCACCAAGAAAACTCCAAGGCGAATGCCTGGGAAGAGGACCTATCCAGTTTCGTAAGTCCTGGTCCTCAGCGAAGAGGTGCAGGTTGAGACACTTCTTATCCTCCACTGACTATTCTATGCGACATAAGGCTTCAGTCGCCCTGAGAGGATCTGAGAGGCCAGAGCCAGCACGGAGGCGCGTGTCGCTTCGCGAGCTCCTCTGCTTCAGCTTCTGCACAATTCTCTGCATCGTGTGCTCAGGGGTGAAAAACAGCTAACATCAAACATATCACGCTTTCTGGGGACCCTGCCCCCCTGCAAGCACATGAAATTTTGGTACTCCTCCTGACGAGACTCGGCACATGACAAGTTCTCAAGCGTTGAATGCCCGCCCGCCTCATGGCAACTTCTCAATCTCTCCACAGCATACGCCTGTACTGAAAGAAGCCCACTCCGAGTGCATCTCGCAGGTCAGAGATGCCTGGAGGTCCTTCTGCGGCGCTATGACCAGCGCCTGACACCTGAGAAAGAAACGAGAAGTTTCCAGCTCTTTTTGCTGCGCAAAGAGTCCACACATCTCTACGCTCTCTGCGAGGCACACGAGGAGAACTTCACCCTCGCCCACCGGAGAGGCAGCGATGAGCCTGGCACTTCTTCCGTTTGGTGTGTGTGTGTGTGTGCGTGTTCAACGTTGTCAACATCTTTCAAGACTGGTCCGGTCTGCCCTCGCCCAAGGCTGGTGTCTGCAATCCGCAGGCCTTGAGGCCATCCGAGGCGTGCAGACATGTGGCCAAAAAAATGCCAATTGAGTCGGAAGAACTACGAAACTCAGCGAAGCTAGGGCCCCAAGCGAGAGTCACAGAACGGCTCTACGGGACACTTCTGCCATAACTTTGCCTGTGTCACGTTGCACACTCCGTCTCTTAGATACCGCTATCGCGTTGCCTACACAAAGCAGGCCTTTTGAGTCGGAGGGGCCGCCAGCCACTGCACAAAGGGTTCGTCAATCCATAAGTCTGCTGTGACTGCTGCTTGCACCACTGGTTACAGTGGTTTTACCCTGCTGCGCCACTGCGCCTCCTCCTCATACACGAAGAGAGCGGGCCAGTCCAACTCTGCGCGGCTCATCTTTGGATTCCTTGGTCTGGCGCCATGCCAATCGCAACTCATGGTGCCCATGGGGTGCCAAAGGTCCGAGCTCGCTGCATCGCAGGCCAAGCTACGAGAATCCATTGTTCAGCAATTAGTGAAGATCTGTGCACTGCACTCAGAGCCAAGTGCCGAAGACGGAGCAGCATTACCCGAACCCAACACGCAACGGCCATACGGCCATGCAGTCGCAAGCATCATGCCATCAACTTGGACCGGCGCCCTGAGAGTACATTGCAACGTTGTTATCAAGCACTTTGGTCTGCGCACCGCTGACTAAAGTTGCGCACCGCTGGCGTACTTAACTCTCACAGAGTCGCGCATGCAAATGAAAATCCTCAAGCTTGCAGAGCCAGGCAACTGCATGCCAGGGTTCGGACTGCAAACTGCGGCACTTCTGCGCCAGAGATCGTACATAAAGGGAACAGGTTAAGGATGCCACATTGCGAGGCACAGCGTCTGCTCTCTTTCTGAAGTAACGACCCGAAAGCCGTGGTCATGCTGCTTACTTCATGTCCGATGATCACCGAACCAAGTCCAGTCTTGAGAACAGCCTTCCGGATTCACCAGCCTCAAGCAGAACATTGTAAGGTCTGGTATGGAAAATGCTTGACCAGCTGAGCTCGCAAGTGCATGAACGCAGCATGAATCTAATGCTCAAGCAGAATACAAAAGATTTTAAATCTGGACACGATGAAGAAGTGTGTCCTGTCAGCAGCCACACCTTCACCGCTGGTTCACTGATTTTGCCCGGGCATATTTCAGAACATAGATGCAATCTTGCACAGTCAACTACTCTGAAGATGCTCCGGGCATGCCAATCGTAGTGAGTAGCAGACTGGTGTCTTTGCGGCTTCTCACACAATCACACCACGACTTCACAGAAAAGAACTTACATGTGAAAGCCTTGACCAGTCATCAATTTCAATGCTGCAGTGCAGCACGACATGCAACAGACGCAAGCTGAAACCTTTTGTCTCAACTTACGCAACGCACTTGAAGCAGGACATGACGAATTTCCCTCAGATTTGCAGGTACCAGCGAAGCTGCCAGAAGCTGACAGCTTGCTGCTTACTGCGCCAAGAAGCCCACTGTGGAAGTGGTGTGGTGGCCTGAAACAAGAGCAATATAGCGCAATGAGACAAGCGGAGCAGACTTGGCCCTGCCCTATCACTATCATCCCTACCCTTCTTCGAAGTCAGCGCTCAGAGTTCCAGTTCAAATTCAAATCTGGTAGAGGCTGGCTCTTAGCTGCTTAGCTCCATCTCCAACCGCTTAAGAGGGCGGCAGCAGCATGCTAGACTAGACGAAGGCCACTCCTACTTCTGAGGGCGGTGCGGAACCTAACTACAGACATGAGCACTAGACTACGCATGGACTTCAAGGCGCTTGTGGCACAAGAAGCGCCAACACAAACCACAAAACACTGCACTCGTTCAGAATGAATCAACGAGAACCTGCGAGAGGTTTTCGCAGGGTCGGAGAGCTGAAGGGCAACAGCATGTGAATTGGAATGGTTCGAGGATGAGGCCCTGGCTCTTGTGATGCAGCTGGATGACAGTGCTATGTGCTGGTTGATGTGCAGCCCGTCTTCAGATCTCACCCAATGGTCTATGTCCAAATATAGCTACGTCATGAAGTTCCTAGGAAAGCACTTGAGGATGCAAGATACTGGGTCGAGAGCACGGATATCAAGCGTGCAGCCCCAATTAACAGACTCCAAGGTCTCAACATCCCTAATGAAAGAATGCATGTGAGGCACTTCAAAATACCAAAGTGATGTGAGGCCCTATCCAACCAGCCAATTCATTCATCAATCCTATTCTTTGATCCCAGTCCAAGTTTGGAGCTCCAGTTCGTTCCAGCACTGTGGTGGCTTGACCTCCGTAAAGCTATGCGATGCAGCTTCACTGACTCGTTCCACCTGCAACATTGATTCTGAGCACAGTTAATGCGGTCCCCGGCCCGTCGTCTTCCGGCTCTCGTCCGCTCCACTCCGGAGAGTGAGAAACATCCTGACGTTGATGACATCTCAGGGCCAGAACCACATAGCACCCTGACAGCGCACAACTGTTGGACCTGCTGGACCTGCTGGACCTGGTAGTAGCTGCTCATAGTTGCTAAAGTAGTGCAATTATTCCATGTCTCCTGCAAGGAATGCCGGAACTCCATGTCCAGCTTATCGCGACCTTGGCACAGCTCTCACCAGCATGGCAATACCTCCGAGCCTCAACACCAAAGGTTCAAGGTATCAGACGCGCCAAAATCTCGACCAGAGTTGTTCGAGTGATTCTGGGCTGTTCCCTCACCTCACAGCTACCATGCATGTTGGACTCAGATTTCAACCATGAGAATGATAGGGTCAACGTGCCAGGAGTACATCGTTGAACTTCGAGTCAGAGATGATCCAGATACTTCCCGGCCTGTCAAGCAACCTTTCAACGATTGCCCGCAACTCGGCTCGAACGAGTCACGCAAAGAGCGATGCTGAGCTGGCTGGCTCAAAGGGCAAACTCACTAAACGATTGGCTATACTGTCCTGCGTGTCACAAACTGTCACAAACTTGCCACCAAAGGCGCACCAAGGCTCACAGCATTGCGACATGTTGCGACAGACTGCAAGTCCTCCCATTGGATGGAGGGTCCACAATCCTTGACTTGTCGCCGGTCCTGGCAATATCACTGCTACGGCTACGGACGTCATGCACTGCAGCGAAGCCGATGTTGACGAGCCTTGACATACTTGTACTCAATGTGGATGAAATTTGACGCTTGTGAAGCCTCTGCCTCACCACCTGTGCATGGAACTGTGCGGCAGGCATTACGCAAGAAAGGATCCAGGCTGCACCCTTTTAAGCCACTGGCTGTCACCGCTAGAAACCACTTCGGGTTCTTCTGGGATGACAGACGTATCACGTACCTCATGCAAGACCGCCACACCAACACTCTGCTTGGCGCAGCTGTACTCGGCTGGATGGGCTGACAATTCGCGGACTAGCAATGGAATGTCCTGGAGTGTCCAGGTCCTGCCCAGGAAAAAAAGCACACGCGGCGTGAACGAAGTTCAGCTATGATGAATGTAAGGACTGACACTTCCGCATCTGTTTTGCACTTGTAACCACAACTTGAACACGCCAGAAGATCTCCTGTGAGCGGCACAAAGATGCCGACGAATCATCTGTTCCTGGCCTCAGTCTCATGTACGTCAGCAAACGGCCACGCCGATCCTTGGGCATGCGCATACACATACAATTCTCACACACACACACACACACACACACACACATGCTGGGCTTGATGCGAGACCCACACCGGTGCCAACCTGAAAGGCATAGCGGCATAGACTCCAAAGTCAGCTGACCGTCTTCAGGTACCGACATTGCCCAGCAGGGATAGCATGAAGCTCCAGTGCGAAGCTGCCTTCAAGATGAGAGAAGAGAAGGCTGCAAGTGCCCCTGCTACCTACATGAACCTGAGCCGACTGAGCTCTTAGCAGGCCGGACGTGTAGCAGTCCCAAGCTCCGAGCCTCCGAAAATGGGAAAGCTAACAATATCTCCATGCCTACGGGCCGCCAGTCCCAAGGCCCGCGCTCCGAGCGTGCCCCAACAACAGTCACTGTCTCACCTGGCCTGCGAAAACAAATGGCTCGTACTTGATCGGCCTACTGTCTTGACAAATCACTTGTTGGCTGTTCACAAGAAAGCGCTGCAACATGCTCCTGCAGTTTCGGGTGTCCGAGCGATCACGCCCACTCAACAGTATAGCTGTGTCGAGAATTCATGCCGAGAGTTGCTGCGAAGTGCACCGGGCTGTGCAAAAGCAAGGTACAGAAGCACAAGAAAGCACCCGACTTCTCCTGTGAACGAGTGCCCAAGGCTCGGCCATGCAAGAACCCAGCTTCGCGCCTGGTCTCGGCGTGCCGCAGCTCAAAGAGCAGCCCGAGACGACCCATAGCTCAACCTGCTCAGGACACGTCGTTTTGAAACAGGCATGCGTTTCTCCATGCACTTTCGGAACACCGTGCCTTAGAGCTCGCCTGGGACAAGGGGCTGTCACCAGTGAAAGCTCTATGGTACAATATACTAACTACGTATCCAAGCTGTTGAGCAGTCGGACGGCATTCGGGAAGTTGCCGGCGGTTGACTTTGCCAGCGTCTTCAATTTGGAAGGATTTGGCAAGTCTGGAAGCCCCGCAGAATCCGAAGCGCATCTCAGCCCTTTTGCTGGGAGATCGCCGAGCATCGGGTTGGGTACAATGATGCAAGCAAACATGTTGTCGCGTGGCGCAAGCATCTTTGGCCGGAGCCACGCAGCTAGGCTAAAAAAAAGAACTCATCGGTCTCTACCTCAGGCGAGTGTCACCTGCTGCAACATGTGAACACCTGTTGAGAAGAACAGCCGAAACCTTGACAGCCTACGAACCTGTGAGAGGAGCACCATCTCTCGAGTCTCCCACCAGCTCCTGCGAGTTGAAGGAAAGCATTTTGTCCCCTGACCCAGCCCGCTGCTGTGAAAAACAAGAGAAGTGCACTGTGCCTCGAACTGCATTTGCAACCTCAGATGCATCATGCGCAGCTGTACGGTTCGGAGTTGTTCAGATTCTGTATGTTACTATGCGCTACCTGTACGTTCCTATGCGTTACTCTATGTGAATATGGTACTATATGCTACATGGTTTACTATATGTTACTGCACGTTCCTATATGCTACTGCACGTTACGCGACTATATTACTATATGATCCTATGTGACTGTTTCCAAGCTCTTCCAACTTCGCAGCCAAGCCCTGCACTCGGACATGGCATCGGTCGTCTTTGCCTGGCACAAGGCCGCAAGCGGCAAGCGGCAGGGGATTCACATCGCTCCTGGCATCACAGAAGACTCGCTCCAGAAAAGAATGAAACATGTCCCAAGCCTGCAAGGATCGTTTCTCCTTTTCCAGGGCCTGCGTGTGCCTAGGGTCTTCAGGATCCCCATGAAACCCTGACAATGATTGACCGCCCGTGCGAACAACTTGTTTGGCTCATGGAAGATGTTTGCCCAAAACTTCAAAACATCTTCTGTGGACTCGGCAGGCTGATCCGAGCTCCGCGTGCCTGCAGTCGTGATGTATGCCTAGAACATCCTAGAACGGGGCACGGCCATTGTTGCTTCACACCTGCTCCGCCGCCAGCTCCGACCGAATCTCGTGCAGCTCCGCTCGCAATGCCCTTCAACTGGACATTGTGTCGCGAGAGGTGTTGCAGGACGTCAGACAGAGGTTTCAATGTGGGCCTGATGTCCTCATCACCTTTGGTGGAAAGCAACGGTACACGAAAAAGGGGTGCACTGCAGCTCTCTCACAGGCTTGTCTAGGTCGTAGGCCATCCTCTTTGCCACGACCCGGACGAGAAAACTGCATTGTGCAGCGACATTGCCGTGTCTTGTTCTCACAATCAAAAGGCTCAAAAACTGGCTTCAACTCTTTGATTTTTTGACAGGGGGTTGGACACCGGATGACAGGCACGTCTCCTCCGATTCAAGCAGCGGTGACAAACAAGACAATAAGTCAGTAAATGTCAAGCGCAAACAAAGATCGAAGTGACTATGTGTCAAACAAAGTTAAGGCGTCATGAGATTGATGGCGTACGACAGGGAAACCTGAAGGTTGACAGCTCTTTCTCGAAGGGGAGGGGCCCCCATTTGCAGACACAATGATCAGGTGCTCAGACGAAACTTCTTGGACCCTCTAGCTGTCCAGCCGCTTCGCTATCTCTCATGTCGTACATGGTTCTTGAGGCTTTTGGTTGTTTGCGCATTGTTGGCCACCTTCGCTTCCTCTGTCTGGCAAAATGCCTTATGTCTTTCATTCTCTCTGTACGTATTTCTTTTTCTTCTACACTGCTTCTGCGTTCTCTGTGTGTCTGGCTGAGTCTACCTTGAACTTCCTTCCCCAATGTTGAAACACACGATCTAACAGAAGTCGCCTCGCTGTGGCTGCAGCAGACGAAGCTCCAGCGAAGTTGTTGCGCTTGTGTGGCAACATGTGGCAAGTATCAACACCGACGTCAAAAGAGCTGTTTGATGGTTTCACCGCCAATGCTCTCTCCTGCTCTCTGTCTCGCGTGCCCATCCCGTACCTCTTTATGAGGGGCCCTTTCACGGCCAGACCACGCGCAAGGGAACTAATTTTTTCCAAGATAATTCCTTTGCTTAGAATCCATGCTAGCAGCACAAATGAGAGTTCATTCCATTGTTAAACCTTCTAGAGTCTTGCGATCCTTCTGGTGATGGCTCCGAAGCTCCTCGGACACAAATGGCAAAAGGCAGCAGCTTGTTCAGGAAGGCTTCTCAATTAACAAAAAGAAAACCTCCGGGGGCAAGCCCGAAATCTGGGATTTTTAGTTTTTTCTAGTGTTTTCTAGTTGTTTTTGGTTGTTTTTGGCTTTTTGTAGTTTTGTCTTGCGTTTCTTGGTTTCTGTTGGTTTTCCGTGTCTTTTGTTCTGAGTTTTTCATACTTTTGCTCTAGTTTGGCTTTGTTTCGTTTCCTTTGGTTCTGGCAGCTTTCTTATTGGAGTCGTCGGGTCTTCTGCAGACCACTGGATAACCAACAAAAAACCACAGCAAAAGAGGCCAGCCCAATGGCAACCCCACTATAGACGACCTACTCACTCCTCAACCCTACACACGCGGTTCTTTCTGGAAACTCTTTGGGGTGCGACCAGGAGCCATGGAATTATTTAGCTTTACTTGGGTTTTTTCAGCTCTGCTTAGCTTTCCTTAGCCTCCTCAGTTTTGGGCCCATATGCTGAGATATTCCTTCTCGTTTCCTTCACTGCTGAAAAAGCCCCATATATAGCGGTATGGGATGGGCACCTATGACTCTGCTCCTTCCGCTGGTATGAAGAACATATGTTGCTCAAAGGCCGCCTGTTGAAACCGCATCTGTCGATCCTGCAACAAACGTGCAGTCAAGCTCTCAAGAGCGCGGATGACTGCGATGCAATATGGCCCTTCCTGGCACTCACGGCGCAGAGATGACAGCAAAGGCTTTCCCGCAAGAAGTTGATTCTGAGCCTCGAGCAGGGATCACTGCAGAAATACAAGGTTCACATTGAGGATTGGGCTGCGTGCTGCCACTGCAGCTTCTTGGCCTCAACACAGTGTGCACTTGTCTTATCAGTTCATACACATCGCTCGCAACAGTGGTTACGTTTCTTGTCTTGAAGCAAGCAATGAGGTGTACACGGCACCACCTACAAGTTGACAATTGATCGGGCCTGAACACCCAAAAGCCCCAAGCAAAAACGAAGGCAAGCTATCCCCGCGCAAAATTTCTTTGCACATTTCTTTTGGGAACTTTCGCTGCAGCCCTGGGAGGCTGCCTGGAGTGTTTTCTGGCATGGGAACTTGAGACTTGACCATGAGACCACCGACCATCTCGCGGCCGTACCGATCTCGCAATGGGAGAATTGGACATCCATCAAAACATTGCACAGATGTTCAGCTGCAGGAACTGCTTGGAGTGTTGAAGCAAAGTCTGGCTCTGTTCCAGGGCAGCGTCCATGTTCTTGACGTCTGTTCACTACGCTGGTGCTCCAAGACGTTGTTGCGGAAGAGATCTTCCATGGACCTCTTGGACATGGTACTGTCATACAGTGGCAGATGACAAAGCCGTGCGGATGTCAGGCTGTGCTTGATGCAGCGTCTATAGTCGCTCGTCGTAGTTCGCTGAGCACACGAAGATTCAAATCCATGTTTCGGAACCTATCCTCAATTTCTAGGTTTACATTGGAGGGAGCACTACTGTGAACTGACTTGTCCAACGCGCCCAGACTCTCAGCTTGTGGCGCTGGGACGTCATGGCGGATGCGAGCTGCATCGCTGCACCTCCTGCTTGGGCCTGCAGTTTCCCGCAAGTTGCCCACGCCGTCTACAGCACACAACTCGAACAGCACAGTGATTAGCTTCAGCATGCTTCAGCCATACCACAACAATCTGAAGGTTATCTTCTCAAGCCCTGAGATGTAGCTGAGACGTAGCTGAAATTCAGCTGCAATGCCGAGCGGCGCGTTGCAGTGCTGCCTGCAGAAAATCCTGCCTGGGCAGCGGAAAGTGTCAGAATGAGGTGGTCATCTTGAACTCTCGGGACTGGACCGCTTCTGCTCTTGCAGAACCTGCGCAGAAGAAGCATAAGGAAATATAAGGAAAATGAGGACTTGGGATCGAATCATTGCAACTGTGGGTTGGATACTTTTTCAGACACGATCGCAAGTCACGAGCTGCGCGTGCTTTCCGACCAACCCCTGCTTCCAGCGAGCATCGACCATGCACTTGCGAGACAGCATGAGACATATTTGCGGCTGGACCCTGCACGTCTGAAGTGACCATGAGATGGTCGGCAATGGCGTCGAACAACCAGAATGGCGGATTCATGCAACCAAAACCTAATAGTGCGGATTCTCTTGGAACGGCAATGACAACGCAATCATTCCCGCCCGACCCACCCCCAACTCCCTGCCCTAACGATTCTGAAAGTCGCACAGCACATTAGCTCTGTATTTGCCGACGCACAAGTTCTTCTTGACTACTTGCCCACCTCTTCACGTAAGGCCGTTAACCTCACAGGGTGAGAGACATGGGGCGACGAGGACTGCAAAGGACCCGGAAGGCACTGCCAGTCACTGCCAATCACTGCCAATCACTGCGACACCTCTGCTGCACTTGGATCTGCTCCCTGTTGGCCTGAGCAATCGAAAAAAGCAGCGGCAAAAGGAAGAAGCTTGTGTGCAAAGCTTAGAAGTTGGCCTCCTGCTCTGCAGCTTGTAATCGCAGCTGTCTGGCCTGCAAGCACTGTTTAAGCACTGTTTGGCTTGATTTAAACCTTGTGGACTCATTGTGAGGCGACTGAGGGCAACGCTACCAGAGCCGCATGCTCAAGTCTACAGTCCAGAATCTGCCACACCAGAAGTCCCACGGAGCTTTCATGGACACTTGCATCCACTCCAGGCCTCATCCTGATGGTCCAACACTGTCGGTTGCCTTTCATGACCTGAACCGTCCAAGCGGCTGAATCTGAAGAAACGCACACAGCTCGTGATCAACCGTGGATCTCGGGGGCAGCAGTCTGTTCGAAGCCTTCAGACAAACAGCTGCCATCTAAACCAATTCGTCCACACGAAGAAGCCACCTGCAGCTATGCCAGCTAAGCTGACACCATCGAACGGGCACGGTGTGACGCATGCTTCGTGGTCGCTGCCTGTGGAGGCTTTGCATACGTCGGCGAAGTCGTCCTGTAGCTCAGAACTGCTGAATCACTTGCATGCAAAGCAGCGACTCGATCTCGTGTCGTGGAGCTGTATTGAAGTCCACGTGTACATGCATAAGTTTGTGCCGGCAAGGACGAACCCAGGTCCAAAAAGCGACAACAGCGCATCACGAAGAAACAGCAATGAAAAGGGGGCGGACGCATACATGATGCAAACGACACGTGTCCTCGCCTTTAACAGGGTGGAGAGGGAGGGGAACTTGAACATTAGCAAGTGCAGAGCATCATCAAGACTGTTCAAGAACTACCGAGGAAACTGGGCAAGGAGCTGTACGATCGTCGATGAGTGAGGTTTGCCAGCCTGAGACTTGAACACATATGAAGGTAAAATCACATATCTTTGATAGAGAAAATTCAAAACCCTGGGCAGGGAGTGCACACTTGCGATTGGTCCAAGTCCAGGCCGACAAGTGGTTAACACGCATGCTCGCGATATGTCCTGCGTCGTGCTCTTGGAAGGTGATCCGAAAAGCAAGTGCTAGATTGGTTCGCAATGGGTCACGGATGTCGCGGTAGCATGACCTTGCCTTACCCCTGTACGAACCCCGCGTGAGCGCATGGTGTTTGGAGAATCACGGTTCAAAAAGGTAAAACTGCCGGGTAGGGCCGTGAGACGTGTGTTGCATCATGTTGCACCAGCTTGGGCCCAGGCTCAAAAGACCTGTCACATCAAGTCACACAAGTCACTAGACGTGCTGAGCAGAAAACTCAAGGCGGCTTTGACCCGCCTGGGCAAGTAGTCCCATAGTCCCGAAACAGACTCTGAAGATTCATTCATGTCATTCATATCTCATACTAGCTTAGGTCTTTGTAACTGACGAATGCTGACAGACCTGACAGGCCCTGCCCTGCTTGGTTGGAAAGTGCTGACATGCTGACATCTTCTTTGAAGAGACTCAAGTGGGCACTGACCTGCCACTAAGAGCCACAAAGCGCATGCAGTCCCTCGTCTGCAGATCTCTGCGTCGGTGCAAATGCAGCCTTTTTCGCTGAAGGCTTGCACACTTCACAAGCTGAACACAAAGACCTCGCCGGCTTACGTGATGGCTTCTCAATGAAACGCATGTGGTTCGAAAGCTCTGCATTAGCTTGAAAATCCAGAGCTGCCATCTGACCGGAGCCAGGAAATGGACGCGTGAAACACTGCTGCTACTTGCTCTGTCTGAGAAGCCACATTCTATGCATGGATACCTTCTAAGTTCTGCTTCACAGAAAGAGCAAAAGTGACGTCAAGCAGGCAAATCCTTAGTACAGGCACGAGCATGCAGTCCTGGAAGTGTCACGATGTCACAAGGCAAGGCGAGTCCCGATCCTTGCATATCAACTTGAACTTCTCCTTAAAGGACATCTCCTGCAGGAAGGGCCATCCCGCTTGCTGCTCAGCCCTGTCGTGCACACCAACGTTGTCACACCCGCGGACACCAAGACGTCCTCATCTGCGACGTCTAGAGGCCGCTGGTCATCAATGTTTGCGAGCCTGGAGCATTCCATGTCCCAGCGAACACATGCAACGCATCGAGGCTACTCTGTAGGGCAGTGTGGCTCTGGACAAGAACCAGGCGCTGGATCTGCTTTGCACTCCAGCAGCTCCTGACAGACCTTTGCGAAACCAGCATTGGTTGCACAAGTCATCACGGAGTTAATCCGAAACATGGCTCCAAGCTCGGTTCACGTAAACAACTCCAACTCAGGTCTGCTCTTGCAAGTGACCCTCCTTGGACGCGAAGTGCAGGGCACTCCAACCGTCCTCTTCAACCTTGCAGTCTAAATGTGTTCAGTGGCCCATACTGACGGGACACTCAGAGCTCCAGACCGCATTTACTTCAGCGCGAGCTTGCAGTAATCTCTTGACACAGTCCACTGAACCTCATGTGCACGTCGCACATAAACTTCATCACTCAAGGTGTCATCGGTCATTCATGTCACCCAAGCTCCAAAATCTCTGACCTGTAATCTTCTCATATCCTGCCCCTCACCATTAGGGAGACGCTTGGGAAGCGTTGCGGCACTACCAATGTCGAAGGTACAAGTGTTGTGGTGGCCTGCGCATTAGGGAGCACGACTTTTGAGGTTGCCATTGGCGGCTAGCCATGCGAAACACATGGTATAGTGCGAACAGCATCAACCCACGATATGCTGATGTGTCTGGAAACACATTCTTTGCGCTCGTTGCGTGGGGGATGAGGGAGGTGAGGGCCTGCGGGCCCCTAAGTGCGTGCGCTGGTGTATTTTTGGGGAGTATACTTGGTATAGGGCTACCAGGTCTGATGATGGCTGTGATTTCAGACCCTGCCAGCATGTTTAGGTCTACGACAATGATGGCAGATCTTGCATGCGTTGAATGTCCTTGCATTGGTTTGCTGACCGGCAGGTCTTGCTCACGATGCCGATATATTGATTCAGAACTTGCATGCATTTTGCTCCTTGGCACAAGACAACGTGTAATCCTATAAATTCCACTTTGTACAGCGACGGCATATATGTCCTTCCATATGTTGTGGCGTTCCTCAGGGGCATTGAAATCCCTCAAACTGCCTTGGAGGCTTTAATTTGCCAGTGCATCTCGCTCCATGTGGCCGGCTGTACTAAAAACCCCAGCCAGCTACTGCCGTGACCAAGGATCCTCCTAGTTTGTGCTTGTCACACCCAAGCAATATTTGCAAGTTTGCCTGCCCTCTTTAAGCACCTCGCATCGTAACTGCACATCCCAGAACGATGCCATGCAGCATCAGGACAAAACTCTGGCAACACAAGAGCAAGCGAATGCCCCCTGAGCTGGCTTAGGCATTCACCTTTCTGGGCAGCAAACCTGAGTGCAGGGAGCTGTCAAAAAGGGGGGCCAACATCGACTCTGAAGGGCATTTGAAATGCACACTTGGGAGCAGGCATTATGGGTGTCATTCCAACCACTGCAGGATCTTCGCCTTAGCCCATGCAGCCCTCCATGTCGCGTTTCTTGACACCTTTTGATCTGTGCTTTGCGATTCTTGCCTTCTTGGCAGTTATTCTTGGCCTTGTCTCACTTGCCACGTTCGAGTTCGGATCGGCTTCTTTGTGCTTCGCACTGCTAATCTTTGAGATTCTCCTCATTCTTAGCTTCGCTATATAGGCTAGGCCATCTTGTCACTGTTCGAGTCTAAGGCTTCCGCAGTTCCCTATTTACAAGCTCAAGCCGCTCCTTTTCATTGCTTGCTTTCTTCACGCCACACGCCAATGATGCCTAGGTGGGCGGGATCCTGGGACAAAGAAAGATCGTGTGGTGTTGCCCGGAAGTGTTGCAAAAGCACCTTGCAGGCACTGCACATGCGCATGCAATGATATGCAATGCACATGAGGTGCACACCGTGCCCTTTCTTTCCGGCATCGGGCTTCTGCGGCTTCATGACCTCAGACACTGCACAATGCACCAAGTGCTGCAAACCAGCACAGATGGGCCCGCAACCAACGGCCGACGCGTTTCTGTCCACGCGCCCTTGTCCAGAGCTTCGCTGACACCACGTAGGTTTCCCTGCACTAGGTATACCATCATGACTGGACAACTTCTGCGGGATCGGTATGCCTGGCGAGCATATTGCAGAAGCTCATGGTTCAGCAAGACCTGCGGGCACATTGGTAAATACGCTCATGTTGGCATCCACTCACTAACCGGGTTGATGCAAGAGCACCTCATCACTGATTCGAGCTCCACCGCGGTTCGCTGATGCCACGACGCTTTTCACACCCTCCTGGAGCTCTCGAATGGACCAACTGCATCCATGCTGTAACTGACACGGTGTTGTCAACACCAACATGTCCAGCAGCCTCTAGGGCAGCACAATTGACCACAACATCGTCGTCCCACATAGCAGAGCCTGCACCATTGATCGCTCAAGCACGTATGTGTATCTGTCCTCGAACATTACAATCACAAAGCCTCTGTTGGCGCTCGTCGCCGAGCCTGGCTTCGCCTGAGTATACAGCATGCGTACTGGACAAAACAATTTGAGCCTATTCTGAAAATCTGATGCCATGAGCAGTTGGCGTCATGTCCGTCACTTCCATCGCACGTCTTCAGCACATCGAGACCTCGAAAGCAGTGCAAGTTCAACGATGCTATCTAGACTGCTTGAATGCACACCAACGCAATGTGCTCCCAAGGGTGCTGCTTTGGCCCATGACAAGGCATGCGACGTGCTGAAACTGGGTCACTACAGCAAAGACTGAAACAGCACATGTGACAATGTCTCATGCGGTGGAGGCAGAAAACGCAGTTCTCTAGGAGTCACATCAGAATGAGGGCAAACGTTGCTTGGGAGTATCTAAATGTATCACACAAAACAATGAACATCACACAAAAAAAGCAGGCGAATCCTAAACTTTACCCCAAAAATTATGTCGGGGTTGAGCCTTGGAAGACTTGCCCACGTTGCCCTGTACCCAGTCTGAAGTCAAAATGTCAATCTGATGTGTCCCCCAAAACACTTTGGCATCCAACTCGGCCCACTACCGACTTTACGATGGCCAAGATCGGCCAGGATCGATGGAGTGCAAGGCTCCACAAGGCTCCAGAGGCGCCCTCGATAGCGAAGACTTCATGACAGTCCGCGAATGTCCGTATCAGAAGCACCCGTAAGAAACGTCCGTGAAACTTTATGGATACCAATTGGAAGTTGGTAAGTCTAGCAGAAAAATGTTATCAGCTATCATTTTGTAACGGCAAGGGATTGAGAGCCTAGCCGAGGAGTTGGGGGGTTGGGACGGGTTCTGCTAGAAGTTAGAACGCTGAATAGACGCCCTGTGCTAGTGCCCTGTGAGGTCCCTGAATTCAGTGCGCGCTCAGACCTCCCAACAACCGAAGGGTCAAACAATGTCACGATATGTCACGGTTCAACATGCTGTCGGGTTTTCAGCTTTGGTAAATCAATGCTGTGAGACCTTTTGAGCAGGTCACGCTGGGCTTGTGCCAGCCATGCGAGGCTAGATGCCTGCAAGGTTAAAGCATGAGTCATGAGATCATGAGCCTTGCAAAACCCAGCAACAGCTCGCTCGGACCAGAGCAGTTGCATGAGATTCGTGAATTCGACTGCTTACACGCCGGCCACGCAAGTGAACTGCGCCTGCCGAGCAGAATCTGGTTTCTTAGAACCTGAACCTGAAGACTTTGAAGACATGCCGAAATAGAGCTCCGGCCTGAGGTAAGCCAGTTTCAGCTTTCCTGCCCTGAGCCCCATCATGCTTATCACCACAGTTAGCAAAGTGAGCAGACCGGCCGCGGACAGGAGGAGTCCCGGACCATACAAAGACCAACCCAAACTGGCTTCAGCCACGAGAGGTGCGAAGCCTCCGAAGATTGAAAAGCCGATGTTGTAGCTGATCCCGACGCCCAGGTTCCGCACTGAGGTGGGGAAGAGCTCGGCACAGTACATGAACACAACTGTCCCCACCATCGCTCCAATGATTCCATAACCCACACCATAAATCAAGAAGATGTTGGCCACATTGTCAGGGTAGGAGGCCAAAAGGAAAAAGAATGGGGCACCAGCACAGCAAAGCATTGCGCCGCTGGCAAGAGTCACGAGTGCAACACCATAGCAGTCAGCAAACCAACCAACAAAAAAGGACAGAACCATCTGAAGCACCCTCGAACACATTCCCGCAAGCATGGGCATATTTGCAGGTGCTCCGTGCTTTTCAAGAAACGAGTTCGTCCAAACCATGCCACCGTACTGGAAGACGGCAAAGGCAATGACGCCGCCAATTCCAACAAGCACATTCACGAAGTGCTCTGAAAGGGAAGCTCCGGACTTACTGTTGGCTGCCCCTGCTTCCCTGGCTTCTTTCTGCGCTTGGAACTCCTGGCCACATGCTAAACAACGCACCGACGCATGCATATACTGGGGGCCACAACTTTACAAGCATGAAACTGCTCTTCTTCCCCGAGATATGTCTAAAACATGTTCGACACCTGAAGGCTGACAATGGCCAAAGCTTCTAACCCAGCTCGCCTGGGTCCTATGACTATGAAGATGACTATGACATGCTATTGACCGTCCTACCAGGCCTCTGACTCCTTCAAGTCACGCCGACCAGCCAAAGCCATGGCACCGGGTAACAAGGCCAGAATGAAGGGTAGCCGCCAACCCCAGTCCAACATGCGCTCCTGGCAGCACAAAATTACAACACGGCTGAATCTGGGCACAATGTCCTCTTACCAGCCACGCAGCTCTGAACTTTTCAACTGTGGTGTCCTCACCAAGAATGAGCTGTAGCGACCATACCACCGTCCTGATCAGCAAATGGATCATTTGCTTGCAATGGCTTTTGAACGTCACGCTTACACTTCAGGCTCAAAAAGAACATCAATGCTGCCGAGGGACCTGGCCAAAAGGAAACCAAGGTTGACTGTGATGGATATTAAAGCCACACAGCGCCCCTTCGATTCGTGCCCGGACACTTCCACGATGTATGTGGATACTGTGCTGATTTCACCACCAGTGCAAAGACCCTGCAACAACCGTAAACTGAAAAGAAGGACCAGTCCGAAAGACCCCCAAGCCGAATCTCCAGCACCACGAGGGGTGGGTAGTAGCCCTTGGCCAACTGTTCCGCTCAACATGCCGACAATGGTCAGCATCACCGCCAATTTCCGACCGAAAGCATCACTCAAGATGCCAAGGAAGATGCCACCCAAAGGACGGGCAACAAACGTCGCTGTGAAGCCGAGCCAAGTTGCAAGAACAGAACCACGGAAAAAATTTTGTTCCATGTAGGTCGCCATGCAACCTGCAGAGGGCACAAACAAAATACAACGACCCTTCATATTCTTTTCTAAGCCCACACCCGCGATGAAGTGTTTTACATGCCAAAAATCCACCACCGGTCCAAAATCATCACCAACGCCGAGCAGCCGTAGATCGCAAATTCGTACCATTCCAAAGCATTTCCCAAAAGCACTGACCAATAATTCCGCACCAGGCTGCTCACATCAGTTGAAGCACCCATGGCAAAAGAAGCACAATTGGACCGGCATTAAACACGTGCAAAAACGGCTTCGGAAGTGAATAGACCGGCTCAAGAATGCTCCTGCAGGTTAGTTCATGGAATTCCGTGGAATACCGATTCCCATATACCTCTTTCTTATGACTTCTTCTCAAGAAGCAACTCTTCGCACATCTTTTGCAAAACACGCTACAATGGCATGGAACATATTCCATGTCGAAAGGCCCATCACTTACTCGTCACTCACGTAACCATTCAGTTGTGCAACCAGAAACGCACTCACACACTCACATGGTCATTCACTCAACTACTGTGCTCCCTCAGCCAACATGTAAACTGTACTACAACAACAACAACAACAACAACAACAACAACAACAACAACAACAACAACAACAACAACAACAACAACAACAACAACAACAACAACAACAACAACAACAACAACAACAACAACAACAACAACAACAACAACAACAACAACAACAACAACAACAACAACAACAACAACAACAACAACAACAACAACAACAACAACAACAACAACAACAACAACAACAACAACAACAACAACAACAACAACAAGAAGAAACAACAAGAACAAGAAACAACAAGAAACAAGAAACAACAAGAAACAAGAAACAAGAAGAAACAAGAAGAAACAAGAAGAAACAAGAAGAAACAAGAAGAAACAAGAAGAAACAAGAAGAAACAAGAAGAAACAAGAAGAAACAAGAAGAAACAAGAAGAAACAAGAAGAAACAAGAAGAAACAAGAAGAAACAAGAAGAAACAAGAAGAAAAAAGAAGAAACAAGAAGAAAAAAGAAGAAACAAAGAAACAAGAAAACAGAAACAAGAAGAACAAGAAGAAACAAGAAACAAGAAGAAACAAGAAGAAACAAGAAGAAACAAGAAGAAACAAGAAGAAACAAGAAGAAACAAGAAGAAACAAGAAGAAACAAGAAGAAACAAGAAGAAACAAGAAGAAACAAGAAGAAACAAGAAGAAACAAGAAGAAACAAGAAGAAACAAGAAGAAACAAGAAGAAACAAGAAGAAACAAGAAACAAGAACAAGAAACAAGAAACAAGAAACAAGAAACAAGAAACAAGAACAACAACAACAAGAACAAGAACCAGAACAAAAGCAGGGGCCAGGGGAGGCTGCAGGACTGCAGTCATCCTAACCCCTTGCAGAGATCCCGGCCGATGGCGGAGTGTCGAAGCCACGCGGTGTAACTGCTTGTTCGCTCTCAAATTGAGGTGCGGCAAGGACAGCTCCAACGCTTCCCAGCTCTAAATCAAGATGTGTAGGCGCAACGCAGCAGGCCTGGATGGTTTTAGATGTTGCGGTCTTGGATCTAAGAGCCCACATATGGACTTTTAGATAGCCACAGAACCTGAAACTCATGGCATGACCTCAGCAAGGGCAAGCAGAGGCGACACCCAGTTCAGTTAGACTCCGGCACAAGAGCCCAAGAGAAGGCAAACGGTGCGCGTTGAAACTCGTGGCACAGCTACGGGGCCTAAGGGACCTCAGGTCAAGACTACACTGAACCCTCACAGCACGAAGTGCGGACTCTTTTCACTGCGCTGTTCACAGCTTCTCGAGCTCCGCTCGTCTTGAGCCAATGCGAGCACGGCTCTCCAGCTTCAAACACTGTCTGCCAGACATGGGAAAACAAAGGTACTTCAGGTGAAAACACTCAGCGATGGAACTTCTACTCCTAAACACTGTGGGTAGGTTCCTAGCACCTCTTAGGTGCTCTGCTGAGCTCTGTGCAGACCTAAACTGGCTTGAGTCACTTCTGGTCACCAAATACCAGGTCACAAACAGGAAACGAGTTCCGACAAACGAGTTTCGAGAAAACGAACAGAAAACGGTTCTTCCCACTCAAAACAAGGTCTCACCAAGCCAAAAGAAATCTGCACTGCCTGACATGTCCTCGTGCCTATGCTTCACACTCATAGCAGACAACTCAAGTGCACATCACGTGTCAACTGGGAAACTAGGAGGGTCACATATATCACTCGAAAGCGGGCTGAGTCGCTAGCCAGGTTAGGCTCTTCGGAACCGGAGTTCCGGTAGGTATTAACTAAGCACGGAAAAGGGACTCTCGAGGTGTCCTTGGCCTGCTTGACACGGCCGTACTATGTGCAGGGAGCACCGAGAGAAGAAAAAGGGCCTAACCAGTTCCGCGAGAAGCTCGGCGGCCTACGGCTACTCACTGGTTTGGCACTGTACAAAGCCCTAGGCAAAATGTTCTGCAGGTTGAACTGCCTGGTCTGTACTGCCTACCCTATCAGCCCTGCCAGCACAGGGGAAAAACTCACCCACTTCCGGCTCACTCAGAAAAGGCAGAAGGTCTGGAACCGATACATGGGCAATGCCTGTACTAAACTGAACGCAAGTGGCTTGGCAAAGTCGCCAACCTCCGGCACAGGCCTAGGCTTTCTCGCCCTTACTAACCTAGGCCCCAGGAACTCATGCCGCAGCAGCACTGAGCTCCTGTTAGCCCCGTTTGCTGACCTGGCTTTCTCGCACTTACTCACCAGGGAGGGGAACCAGCTTTCTCGCTCTTACTAACTGGCTCAACCTCAGCGGCTCCAAGGAGCCCATACCACTTGCACGCAGGGAGGGCTTGGTTGATTTGGGCAGCTCAGTTGGGCAGGCTTTCAGGCACCGAGCCACAGCCTTTAACCTCCACAATCTGGTGCCTCTGGCTGTCCGTCAGCCAAGCATTGGTCCCTAACAACAACGCCTGCCGCTAGGCTTCCTCCAAGATGGGCTTGCACCACCCGGAGAGAAACAACAGCACCCTGCAGGAATCTCAAAGGAGATCCTCGACAGGCCAAACACGGGTAACCCCAAACTGGTGCAGGGAAATGCCCTAAACCTCATACGGTCGGCGTACTTAGGATCCTCGTCCGTTCCTGCCACACCTCAGCGCCCTCCCTCCCCTCATCAACCAGTGAGGATCTTCAGGGTGCGGTTCTAACGTTATCCTTTCGTGCGCTGTGTTTGCGAGAACCCCGTGTTGGGCCTGTGGAAGACCCACAAGCACCTGAGCCCGAAAACCCGGTCCAGCGGTCTGCTGCACAGACCGAGCAAAGGGGCCGAACCGGTGTCAGGCTGAACAAAAGCCGCATCGAGGCGGCCCGTCCTGCAGGGTGTCCATCGGAACAACTGCGAAAATATTCCGACGGATGGATCTGGGTACGTGCCGGGACTGAGCACTTCTGCTTGCATTCTTACAACCTGCATCCTTATGCGATCATTAAATGATCCAATTCAATGCAAGATTCTCCGTGGTGCCCTATGGCACTCTCAGTTTGGGAACGGACTCACAGGACCGTCGCTGATTGGACGGGGAGAAGCTTCACCCGTGACAAAGGGATTCCGGAGGGTGAGCAACTCACCCTTGATTCTGGCAGGGCATAGCTCCTGCAATTTGGGTGGGTTGGGGCCGGATTAGGTCAGACCTCCCAGGGGACGTCTTCCAAGTCTTCAAAGCCACACACCAGCCAATCACTGTTGCCTGCTTCTTCTGGGGAAATCTAGATCCTGAGAACACCCTTCCTCAAGGAAGGTCCAGCCATGTGCGCTGGCTGCAGAAGACAGCGGCGCCAGCAAAGGTTCTACGGGCTCCGTACCTTGGTGACCTAACTGACGCAAGTTAGCAAGGGAAGCGTAGTCCAGAAACACCGGTCTCCTAACTGCTTGGTCGAAACTCGGCCAGCTCCACGTGCACGCTAGGAAGCTTTCTAGACAAAGGGCACAGTAGAGCTCGATGCGTCTTCCATCCTCTCCATGCAAGATCGCTGGTTGCCTTTTCCCAGAACCGGGCAAGAAGTTGAGGTTATGGGTTGGAATGTTACCACAGCCAGTGCAATTAAAGTTCAAAAGGCGAAGCCACTGCACGGGCGGGTCGCCTCCCGTTCCCCCGCGGAGCTCTGCTGGGTCTTCCATGCATCTCCATTGCCCACAGGGTCCGGCTCGGACTGTTTTGCCGGATTTGCTGGTGCGAACAAAATACACGCTGCTGTCCTCGGAGAGGAGCAGCCACTCTTTCCGGCCCTTGTGATGCCAGCGAAAGCAGAGTGCTTGGTGGAAAGTCCTGCATTGGCTGGGACCACAATTGGCGCTATGGGCCCAAGTTCGCTCTGGATTTGCCAGGCTGCTCGAGCATCTTACCTGGTCTTCCAAGGCTGGAGAACCTCCACAGCCGGCTGTAAGAGGACTCGCATAAGGGAAGAGTTCCCCAAGCCGGGCTGCTTCGCCCTCCAGTCGGGCCGTGCCCTCTCACAAAAGTTGGGGTTTTGTATGAAAGAATAGGAACTCAATCTGCTTGAGATTTCTTCCTCATGATTGGAATAAGCTTCATCGCAAAGGTCTATCTTGTGAGATCACGAAAATAATTTCATCTTCTATGTACACATGTGAAACCTAATCCCATATATGTGTTAAAGATTCATCCAGTTACACTGACGCGCTTTTTCTTCAGTCGTGGGGCAAGCATGCACAGGATGCGATCAGGTTTCGCGATTTCCTGCTCTCCCGAAATGCCCCCCCATACCCAAGATTGATACGGGTGGGTGGGAGGGACAAAAATTTTCTCTCAGCCCGAGCTCGAGCAGCTGTGAACATGAACGGGCCAACTGTTGATTCAAGCATGCAGCAAGTCACATGGCTAAAAATAACGTTCATGATGCTGAGGAAAATTCGTTTAAAACTCGAAACACTTTCCGCAACTCAAAAAGGTCGCAAAAAGGATTATTAAAAACCCCGTGCTCGAAGGAAGAGCACTACAACTTTAGTTTGAGAGAGAAATGTCAGGCGAGCTGAAATTTTCCCTCTCACAAAAGTTGGGGTTTTGTATGAAAGAATAGGAACTCAATCTGCTTGAGATTTCTTCCTCATGATTGGAATAAGCTTCATCGCAAAGGTCTATCTTGTGAGATCACGAAAATAATTTCATCTTCTATGTACACATGTGAAACCTAATCCCATATATGTGTTAAAGATTCATCCAGTTACACTGACGCGCTTTTTCTTCAGTCGTGGGGCAAGCATGCACAGGATGCGATCAGGTTTCGCGATTTCCTGCTCTCCCGAAATGCCCCCTTTTTAAGAGAGCTATCAGGTAGTTTCGAATGCTTGCCGAATCCATGGAAAAGACTGACATGCGACAGCTCCTGAAATCTTCAGAGCCTCCTCAGGCTTTCCCCGAGAAGGCCCATCAGCGATGTTCGAGTAACTCGGCACACGACATATCCAGGTATGACTTGGATCGGCATCCTCAGCAGCGGCGAAGCTTCTGATCAAGGTGTCCATCGTGTGGGACTTCGAACGGCCTTTAATGAGCCCGAATCGACAACCTTCATTGTCTGTCCAAATGATCACTCGACGTCCTGAAAGGCGATGGGCCAAGTGTATCCGCATGGCCACGACAGCGTAGGTTTCGATTTGTCCAATCAAGTGGTCACCGTCGGTCTGTAGGAGCGATTCTACCATGTCCTTTGGCATCTCGCCTCCAAAGACCTCTGCCGAACCATCGTGCGCGTCGAAAAGCACAGCCCCAACTCCGGCTACACCTTTTTCCCAGCTGCCATCTGTAAAGAGATGCACCGGAGAACTCGGCATATCTGCTTTGAGCTGTAGGGGCCTCGACGACTCCAGTGCAGTTATAGCGCGTTGACATAGCAGTCTAACCGCAACAGGAGAAGGGTGATGTCCATGATGCACTATGGCGTTCAAATCTTCACAAACATAACGCAAAGTCCGGCCCCCGAAGAACCCAGCTGCGTACCGCAGGAGGCCCAGCAGGACTTGGCCCTCGTGGCGGCTAAGGACTGCTGACTGCTTGATCTCACGAAGGCGCTCAAGGAGTCGGTCAACCCGGCCAAGCTTGTTAGCCACTGTCAAGGTTCCCGAAGATATGCAAGAGATGTCGAGATGCAAGCCCAGCACGTCAAAGGACTTCGCAAAGGGGAGGCCTTTGTGACCCTCTCCAATTTCGGCATGTTTCCAACCAAGCAAGTGCAAAAACTTCGTGCATAGGAGGCCCACCTGTTCAGCATCTTCCGAAGGCACAAGGATTGGATAGTCGTCGAAGAAGTTTGCATGAGGGATCTCCAGCACGACGTTCAGTAAGAAGCTCAAGGCCCGAGCTATTCTTAAGAAGGCATAGACTGAAGCAGAGGCCCCAAAAACCAATGCTGAAGAAATGAAAAAGATTGGGCGGCCATCGGCATCACGCAGAAGCAGAACGCACAAGCTCCGATGTTGCTCACAGACTGCCATCTGTTTGTAAGCACCACTTAGATCAAGGCATCGGCCACTCCACTCTCTGGGAACGACTCCCGGCTTTCCCATCACGCGCTTTGCGATTTCCATGGCCAAAGAGATGCAGAAGTCGCCGTCCTGCAACTGTAGCTTCATGGTGCTGGTGAAAGTGCAGTTCAAGTCGGAATCGCAGGCATCGTCAATCGGTCTCAGTTTGCCTCCTTGTCGAACGCCAAACCTTCGCATCAAACTCCAATCTGTTCTCCCCAGATGCTCAGAAACTTCCGTTTCACTGCTGAAAGGCCCCTGAAGCCATCCAGCCTTCGCTTCGTCCATGGTCACCTTCAGCAGATCGCGTTCTAGCTCGGGATCGGAAGCCCGATTTTCCAAAAGTAGCGCTGCCCGTTTCAAGGGAGCGACTTGACGGAGCTCCGCTTCGGTAGACGTGGCAGGTTTCACTTTGACATCAAAGGCAGCAGGGCATTCGGACACACCCGACAACTTCACCCCCGACTTCAAAAGCTCGATTGCCTCCATGTCATCGAAATTGTGCTGTCGCAGCAAAGACTCCAGAAGTAGGATCCTCTTGCCTTGCATCACGGTCTGCATCCACGATGGCATCGCTGAGTGAAGTTTGCTTTCGTCTTGTTCCAACTTTTTGGAAAGGATCTCTGCTTTCATCAGTGCAAGTTTTCGACGAAGAAAGAGGGCTCGGCGATCAGCTACCATGTTGGCCTCAAGAGAAGCTTTCAGCTCCTTTGGGAGTTTGTTTTCGGAGTCAAGAGGGTGGCACACTTTCTTAGCAGCCTGGAACCATTCACAAGGATCCCTGTAGAAACCAACCTGGCAATCCTCACCCCTATCCAAACCAAGCCCCTCGCTGTCTGGGGAAGTCTCAGGAAGAGCCTCGGCGACCTCCCCCGAATCACCCCCTTGCACGGGAGGCGCGCCGAGGACCTTGCAACCGGATGAGGGAATTTGGCCGCGGGGCATGATGCGCACGAATTTATATTCGGAAACCAAGGGCTTATGCTTACGGGTTTGGCGTCCCACCGCGGAAAGAGACTGCAAGCGCGGGTCGGGGGCCTCGGTCTGGCCAGGGGAGACATGGCAAGCAGAAGCAAAGCATGCGGCCCAGCGAGCAGCCAACACAACAGGATACTGGGCCTCGAGTTGAGTGGACCACACCCAACCGCCAGCACGCCAGCTGACGCCCCAAGGTTCGTGCACATGACGGCCGCTGCAGCGGGCACGAAGGCTGCCAAAGGCAGCCCGGTTGCTGAGGAGCTTGGTGGACTTGGGACGAGCGCCACCGTGCTCACAAGCGTCGAAGATGATCTCATGCAAGTCACTGAACCAGCGGCGGACCTTGGGCGAAGCGTGCATTCGGACCTTCAAGGCCAGCACACTCCAGAACCACGAGTTCGAGGGGTTTTCAAGAGTGAAGACACAGTCGTGCTCAGCGCACCAAAGCAGGACATGAAAGACCAAGTCATAAAGACGATTGGCAGCGGCGAGGCGCAAACCATCAGGGCTGGCGGGGTCAATGTGAGGCAAGCCGAGGGGAAAGTCGGCGCTCCGAAGCGGCCGAGGGTCACGGAGGCCGAGGGCGCGTAACTTGGCCGGCAAGGGCCGCTCACGGGCCCGAGACGATGTGCCACAAGGGGGGCCTAGATGCACCGCGGCAGGCTTTTTGTCATGCAGCAAACGAAACAAGGCATCGCGGCCCATATCGGAAGCAAGGTCAAGGCGAACCGTGGGAACTTGAGGACGCCGGGGACAGTTATCAACAGCAACGGCCGTGAACCCGAGCCTCTGGGCGGCTCGAGCCAGGGTCGCGGACCCGGAGAAGACCTCGAGAAAGAGTTTGGGCGGGCCAAGGGTGGGCAAGGCGGATGAGGAGGGTAGGCGGAAGCCAATGTCACCCAGCCAGTCACGGTCGGCAAGGGGAAGCTTGGGACTATCCCGGGGGGTGAAGGCAATCAGCACAACCCTGCGGCCTTCCCAAGGCAAAACAGCATGGCGGTTCACGGCGGCATGAAGCAAGACTGGTCCGGCGGATACATCATGCAGACGCCCCCAAAAAGTGCCAGAAGCGTCTTCAAAGCGGTCAGCCCCTCCTTCGCATTCTTCCCAGATTTGGCCTTTGCGAAATCGGGTCAAGGGGATGACGAGGTTCCAGGAGGAGCGGTCATTGTTGCAGTCCACATGGAGTGGGCTTTGAACATCATCGAGCAAGACCAGGCTGGAAAAGGTGTGGTGAGGATTCACTTGGTGAACATAACGGCAAAAGAGAGCGGAGCTCTTTGGAAAAGACTTAGTATCTGTACGAATTCCGATCTGGGACCCGAACACCCAGGCACCGCAACCAAAGCTTCGGTGATGGAAGGCATCTCGTTTAGATGGATTTCTGGGCAAGAGGTCGAAAACTCGCAAAACATCAAAGGCTTCCAAGGTTGGCTTTCGAAGAAGTTGCTCGGCAAGGGCTTCGGGACCTAAGCCAACAGAGTTCGCCTCAAAAGGCACGTGCGTGACACAATGCGGGGAGAGCGGCGCAGGCTCCGGGGGAAGATCGGAGCCCCCCGCCCGGAGTCAAGACCCCTTTGTGCACAGATGGCCAGGGTGGTCGCCACCACACCCAGCCCTCCAACAGATGTGGAAACCACGGCCGCAACGGTTCTTGGAGTTAACTCGAAAGCGGCACCTTCCTTGGTTGAAGGCAAAGCAGACAGGCTTGTCGTTCACGCGGCTGACACAGCCGTCGGGCACTGTGAACTCCTTGCGAACCTCACCTTTAGACGACTTGCCCTTCCCCTTACCTTTCCCTTTATCGCCCTTCTCACCGCCTTTGGGGTCATCCCATTTGCGCTTGCCTGGCCAGGGGGCAGAAGGAGGAGGAGTAGGGAGAGCGTTAAGGTACTGCAAAACCTCTTGCGACTCGGACAACAGCTTGATCTGGGTTTCCAAAGGCTTCTCACGGCCGGGCTCGCCGGCAAGTTTTCCAAGGAGCGCATGCGAAGCCAGCGTGAACAGGTGCCTGTCGGCAGCAATAAGTTGATGAGTGGTTACTTTGGAGTAACCATTGGGCACGGGCCTCATCAAGGCAAGGAAGCATTTGTGACACCACTCCTCAAGCACCTGAAAGCTGCACAAGCCGGCGAGATCATATGCCAGCGAGCGACGAGTCCAAGCATTGCGCAGAGCTAAGTCAGTGTGCGTGTCACAAGTGGCAGATTCGGCTTTGCTCGCCATCTTCAAGTTCCCCTCGCCATCAACCACCACTTGCTGGTCTTTCTTCAACATCTGAGCTTCCTGGGCACGGCTGATGATGCGATAGGCTGGCAAGTACTGGAGGACTCCATCCTCGAGTTGTTTGACAAGAGTGTCCACAACGGAATGAGCTGGCAAGGTTTCAGGCGAAAGAATGAGGCCCGTGACACGCTTCTTCAAGGCCTCCTGGCGGGCCAAGCGCTCCGCATTGGGCATAGCACGAACCGCAGCTGTGTCAGCGGCAGGTTCCACGCGTGCCTTCATGTCAGCCACGCTTAGGTTCTGGGCTTCAAACATCAAACGTCTCACCTTAGAGGACTGATCAGGCGGGAAGTCATGTGGAAAAATGTTTCCCATCCATCGCTTCACATCGGCTTCATCCAATTGTGTCGGCGTGGTAGACACAGCAAAAGCCAAGGTTCCGAAGCTCTTGAATCCCGCATCGACAAGAGTGCGAATGGTGGACTCGCTGAGTTTGACCTTCTGGCAACGCTCCAAAAACCAGGCCTCGCTATCCACTGCAATCCCCGCCATGGCTCGACACCTAGCAAGTCGGGACGATCTCGCTCCTTGTCAGGTTGAAGCCTAAAGATCGACTTCGGACAAGTAAGATGGGTATTGCAACGCAGTCAAACGTGTCCGCAGTTTCCCCGAGCAGAAGCCCATGCTTTTATCATGACTGTGATTCCGAAGTGCTCTGACGGTGAACGAAGCCTCGGCTCTCACAGCTGGGTGATTCTCGATAAAGGCTTCGAGTCAGCTGGAGTAGGCTCAACTTGCTCTCCCCAAAGATCTCGACTTGCGTTCGAGTGGGAGCAACATCACCGATTGTCAGACTTCGGTGCGACGCCTGAGATTGGCCAGAAGGATGTACCGTCTGTGCTGTTCACAAGGACAGATGCACTCGTTTTCCTTCAAGATTTCGGTCACTCTGCAGCCTCCAAAATGTGCCGGCATTGTTTACAGGGGTCAGGGTCCTCAAAATAGACCCCCGCTTCACGGAAAGGAATATGGTTCCTCGAGAGAGGTCGGCCACACCACAAGTTGGCTTGATCCTTCAAACAATGCGTTATGCCGGACACTGTGTGCACTACAAGAGAATCTTCAGAAACATTCGGCCCAAAAGGGGCCCTCTGTAAGCCTCCTCCACCGCGGCCTGGAGCCTCAGAAGCTTCAGAGCTCTGTGAAGACGGGGGGTCCTCGAACTCGTCAAAATCGTGTCGTGGCACAGGCGCCTCGGGTTCCGGAGCAATGACGTCCTGGGCGGCACCTGGTCGCTCCGCTGCAGCCACTTGCACCACCCGATCAACGTCAGACAAGTCAGGGTCATAGTCTCCCGCGCGGATGGCTTCGAACATCGCCATGACTCGCCCGTACAAAAGGGTGTACTGCTGCCGGGCGTAGGTCGCCGGTGATTTCTCCTTTGGAGCAATGTGGTGTCCAAGAAGGCGCTTTTCCGCTCCACTGAATTTTGGGCGAGGGCAGCGGCCCGCCCAAGATGTCAAAGTGGCCTTCAACGAATGCGTCGCCCTCTGCATGGCTTGGTCTTGATCGATTCCCTTCAAAATCAGAAAGTCCTGCAGGTAGCTGGTCGCCTCGACGCTCCCCATCTGAACAGAGCTCCAGCGGTTTTGGCTCTCGAGGCGTGACGGCAGCGCAAAGTTCTCAAGGGAGAGGCCTTCATGTTCACGAGCCTTCAGCCAAGCTTTCGCCCAATTGTTGCCAGACAACCCACAGCCGAGGGCTGCGTAGGGAAGCAGCCGGGTTTTTGCCTCCTTAGAGACAGTCGTCTTGGATGTCAAGCCTGATGCAACAACTAAGATCACGCCGTCGGACTCCTGAATTGAAATCTCCTTGAGGCTCTGAGAATCGCTCCATCTGTCAGCCGAATGCGCACAAAACAGCAGCTGTCCACAAATGCACGCAAGTACTGGTCCAGTTTCCACACAGAATGCTTCCAATGCCATCAACATGGGAACCGTCAGTTCAGGTTTCTGTTGCAGAGGACGCTTCATCAAATATAGGTCCCGGCTTATGCCAAGCACCCGGCTGGAGAGGACTGTTTCAGGCTCCATGTGCAGCAACTTGGCGACCCCGTGCACAAAGCGAAGGCCTTCCACAAAATGCGTCATGCTGGTCGGCCTGGCTCCTGAGTCACGCAAGAAGTTTGCATACATGTATATGGTCGGCTCATCGACTGCAAGAGGGCTGTCTATGCTCTCTGTTGTGCACCAGGAAAAATACCTCAGGAGGGACCCACCTCGCTTTGAGATTGTCCTGGAAGCTTTAGTTCTGAAGGCATCCGAAAAAGACTTCTTGATGGCCTCCTCGTTTACATCTGCCCCGAGCAACGACAGCAAAGACCTTCCCAAGCTACTCACCTCTGGATCCCACAAGATGACCAGCCTCATCTTCTTAAGAGCAGCCGTTCGGATGTCTTCCTCCGACCGCTCCACTGTGATGCGTTTCAGGAACTTAACCGTCGTGGGTGGCACACACCTTCGTTTTGCTTCGTCATCGGATTCCTCTGGATCAAGAAAATCAACTGCACCAATAACTTGCAAAGGACTCGTTCCTCTCTCCCAGGAAAAACGCAAAGACGAAGATGTTTCCCATGAAAATCTCGGCCTGCTCTCAAAACGCTGTTGTGAAGTAGCCTCTACAGCTGCACGCTGGAAATCACCCAAGATTCGGTCATCTGGAAGAGGGACCAGAAGCGAAGCGTCATCGGATTCTTGAAAAGAATGGTTTGCCACACGCAAGGTGGCACTCAAGAAATCGTCTGTCTCCAAGTCACGACAGGCGTCATACCAAGCAGCTTCAGAAATTGAAGTAGGTGCACACGACGAAGGCGGTATGCGTGTGCCGAATACAGGCTCTCTGCCCTGAACCCAGCCTGGGTCGACCCAACCCTCGTCGTCCCCTGGAACCCCGGGCAAACCCTGAAAAGGCCTAGTGCAGTTGACCCAGTTGCGACTCTCCAAAGCCTCAGTATCTTCAAGGGCTCCCGACTCACCCCCTTGGAAAGAGCCCTGAAGAGAACGAACGAAAGACTGGGCTTGCTCATCAGCGGCACGCAAGTCACACTCGGTCTGGTCGACCACACCTGCGGGGCTGAACAAGAGCCAAGGGTCGAGATTATCGGGTTCGGAGGAAGGATTCGACATGTTGCAAGCGGCACCTTAGTTGGACAGCTGAAGAAGAAGGCGAACACACGTATGCGGGCGGGGGCCGGTGCAGGCAAGAGCAAGCCAATGAGGAGGGTTGAGAAACAAAAGGATCCTGGATCCTTCTCTGGTACTGACCAACACACCACAGAAAGAGCTCTCGAGGACGTATGAAAAGAGACTGGGAGGAGCGTTTAGCTGACGCTGAAGTGAAGCAGT